AAATATTTATTTTGTCATAAAAAAAATATCTTATATAAGTTACTATTTTAGTTAATTTTGATACGAACCGATAAAATTAAGATTTCTCCCAATTTCATTATTCTAAAACTATTGTTTATTTGTGTCGATACAGAAACTTAACAATGTATAATATTTTATGTTAAGTATTGTAATTGTAATATGGCCTCAAACGTAAATCAAAATAAAATGATACCAAAACGTAGATATTGTTTAGATCATTTTTCCGTTGCGGTTTGATTTGATGTACCTATTTTAAAAACGATTTCAATTTTTGAAGATATCACCATATATGTATATGTATACAAAGTATTCTATTTGAAAATTTGCGTAAATGTAAAAAAATAAATGAAAAAAAAATCGTGCAGTAATCGCTATTCGTCTTTAATTTGACGTGAGTGTGTGTTACATACATACATATACATAATATAAATTATAAACATCACGCTTACCACGAACTAGTATGTTCGGAATATAAGATCGTGTCCATTTTTTCATTAATTAATCCTTGCATTTGAGAGTATAAACATAGATATATGTATGTATATATAGAAATTTAGAATTTTTATCTTGTGATTTTATTGACGGTGCATATTTGTGGTAAGAGTGCAGTTATATCGAAATTTGAATTTGATGAATTTTTTTCTTCAAACTAACAGGAATCAGCATAGATAAGTTTGTATCTTCCTAGGTACATTGATAAATTTGTTACAAACAATTTACACTTTACCTAAAATTGCATAAAACTATTAAGTAAAATTGATTTGTAAATGACAATTAGTATTCTTCAAACATCTTCCAATCGAAACGTTCGTTTTGCTGGATAGAAAAATACAATGAAAAAATAACTTTTTAATAAAACTCCATATATTTATTGTATAATAAATATAAGTGTTGTCATTTACACACTTGTGTAGAAGTTGTTATCGATAAGTATATTGATAATGTTTATAAGATTGATTAGAAAATGTGTTCCATTGATGTCGAGGTAACACATTTTTAAAAGTATTTCACTGTAAATTCTGTAGTATTCTAAATAAAAATGTGTCCGATCTTGTTTGAAGTCCTTCGTAAATTAGATAATATTTGTTTGTTTTGCGCGGAATGATTTCGAAAAGAAGGAGCTATTTTGAAACCAAATATGGATCTTCTAGAAAGAAAGTCTTATGGTGGGTAAGTAAGCAATAGATTTTATGTTAAAATGAACACACTTCTTACATCTGTGATTTAACATCTAAGCCTTAATAAAAAAAATCAGAATTATTATCCTCGAAATGATTGAAGACAGCTGCCTGTAACTCTTGATTGCTTAATTTTTTTCCTCTTAAGTCTTGCTTTAAATTTGAAAATAAATAGTAGTCGGACGGGGCTATGTCTGGACTATAAGGTTGATGTTACATTTCTGTGAACCTGCATTGTTGAACTGCTTTTTTGAAGCACACGCAGGATGATTTATGAACAGGTGCGTTGTCATGGAGCAACAGGACACCTTTAGATAGCTTGCCTCTTCGTTTTTCCTTTATCTTGTTTCGTAATTTATATATTAAAGACGCATAATATTGGCCGTTTACGGCTGGATTACTTTCTGTAAAATCCACCGTCACAATGCCTTGAAAATACCAAAAATTATGCACATCAGTTTTGTAGTCGTTGTTGCAACTTTGCCTTTCTAGGGGGCATTTCGCCTTCATAACACCATTCCATTGACTCGCGCTTGCTTTGTGGATTATAATACAAGACCATAGTGTCATAACCAGTCACAAGTCGCTCGATAACAGTCTTGGAATGTTCGCCACAAAAACCAAGACTCCAAAGTGTTGCGCAATTTTCTTGTTAATGTACTTTCTAACAGCGGTCACTCAGAACGGCCTTTTTGATAAGAGCCATCTTTTCAAGAGTGAGCACTACCACAGGTCGCCCGTCGTGGCCAATATGTTCGACTCCAGAGGCGAAACTCTCACACAATTTTTTAATAGCTATAAAGTATTGGGCAGAGTCCTTATACATACCATCCAATCTTTCTTTTATTTTGACAAATTAAAGAAAGCTAAATTTATATAAGTCAAAATATCTTGCTGATAAAAGAAGATAATAGATTTCAGGTAAAAAATACATGCAGCAAAGATGACTGAGTTTTAATATGGCATATTTATTTGAGATTTCAATAAAATAAAAACAATCACTTCAAAAGGTTTTTGTTATTATTTTGTAAATTAAAAACGATTTTTTTTCAAGATATGCTTGTATCTATAATAAAAAATATACCAAACTCACTCTATATAAACGAGCGTTGTAGTTATTTTCCAATGGTTAGTTAACTACTTTTCTCATTATATGATGCGTCTTACAAAAACCTGATTGACTAACTGACCCTTAGATCTTGACTTTGTTCATAGGACAGTTATAGAAAGAAGTTACTGATGTTGTCATTTGAATAAAAAAAAATATTGTCAGGGTTTCTCGTCGTAATAAAAGCTACAAAGTGTCAGAGTTATAGTTTTCTACTTATACTGATGTGCATAGCCGTAAGATTAATCACAGTTTCAAGTCACTCATTGAGATTTAGGGAGGATTTTGGATATTAGAGGATTAGAAAGCGCAATATGCTGAAAAACCGATAGTCAGGTTGATGTCGACTGTTATTAGATACCAGGACGCAAACCGTTAAACGAAGTGTACTCTGCTCTGTAGGTAGATAGGTGGTTCAATGATTTAAGGAAAAGTTTGAGGAAGAAGCACAGATGAATGAGTTCAGTAGCGAGCTATGAAAGAACACATAGGTATTTAGTGTGAACTATGTTCTACAGTGAACTCATTACGATTTACAGTTGATGAAAATGATATGATGAAGTATCAGTTGTTGAATACGCACTTGCATTATAAATTTAATCTATCGCCTCGTTTTGCACTGGAATTGTTATTAATAACCTGTGTAAGAAGATATTTTAATTAGAAATATTGTTAAAAAATTTATTGGAATATGATATATACATATCTAATCTTTAATCTTAGGTCCCTTTGTTGCTTTATTACTTCAGGACAGCTGTCCTGACATAACTATATGTCCACATACAAGTGTGATGGTTATGACGATATTTAACCCTGCATATTTTTCACTAAAAACTCATTTATAACATCTATGATGTTCTTTCTTACAATGACTATGATGACGACTGATTCAGAATTTTATGATTTTGATAATAATTTAAAATGAAGGAATTATGTAATTAAACGATTATTTATGATATAATACTGTTATACATATATATTGAAACGTGCTGACTAGTAAAGTATATTTTGATAGGTTTCATAAATCAACTCGTTTAAAATAAAAATAACAACCAACCTAACATTTGCGCAAACCGGAAAAAGTATCCAAAGTAAAAACGTAAGATATAGAAAATTTTACGTAATCTAAAACTGTTTAAGGAGTTTTTTATAGCTCTTTAACGTGATGGTATTGTGCTATTATAAAATACTACGTAGGTTTATTTGAGTAATGATAGCGTAAATGTGTGTATATCAGAATACTTATGAAGTTTTAAAGAATAACTTAAATTACAGCCAGTTCTAATGAACTATCACCAATATAGTAATTCGCTACTGTTTTATGACATAATATTTTTTAAAATTTTAATTTTAGGGGCAAATATGTAATGGGACGAAAATTATTATTAAATTAACGAAATAAACACTTATGATGATTAATTAACAATTTTTTTTATTACAACATAATACACAACGGTACCTACACATTCGGGGCGGTCCTAATTGCCGGGATCACCCCCATTCTCCGAGGGAGTAAGTCCGGTCTTTGCCAGGACCGGCCAGTCGCTGGTGTGCCCTGTCGCTGACAGATCCGGGGTACACCGACATAGCGGCCGATGGCTTTCGCAGTGGTTTTAGTGAGTAGGGGCCAGCCCAGGTGGAGTCTCACACATCTCTTCCGGCCTCACCAAGGCCGGTTGGACGGCTCGTAAAAAGAGTTTCCCTGCGACATAAAAAAAGGGTACCTACACACTTTTCTTAAGTAATTAAAACGAATATTTTTCATTAAATGTAGATTCTATATTAAATATAAACCTATTTAGTTGTTAACAAAACTTACATAATGTATGAATATAGAATACATAAAATAATCTAATACTAATATGAAACTACATACAGCTGCTCATTTCACAATAAGTTAAAAAATGCCTTATGCTTTCTTTAGGTTTAGTAGTAACAAAATTATATGAAAGGATTTATTAATAAGTTAATAATAATCACCATGTCAATTTCATGTTTTCATAAGCAATTAATAACAATTATAATTGGACTGTCAGATTCTAAGTTCACCATATAGGATTGTAAAGTGAGCCACATCACCAATATTTTAATTTTGATCGAAAAATACATGCTTAAAATCTTTTGTTTCATCGGAGTTATTAGGATTTTAGTAAATGGAATAGAAGGGAAGATAAAAAGAAGTAAAAATGTGGGACAGTTCTTTACTTAAGTTTAAAGGCCGCAAATGAGTTAAAATACGTTTCTAACAAATGTCATCTCTATTTATTGTATTTTCATAAAGATCTACTCATTCTTATAATGAAAATACATAGATATTAGGTAAAAGGAGCGTGAGAATGTAATCTATTACATAGGCCTGTCATTTCATTTAAGATATTTTTTTTTATAACAGACTCTGAAGGTATCTTGTTCTTTAAAATATCGTTATAGATACATAATATTTTATTAAAGTGTCTTGATTTCATGAATATTGTCGTGATAATTTTGGGTTATTTCAGTATGCAATAAAATAAAGTAAAATATTTAGTCTGTAAAGTAAATCTATGGTTCGGGGGTGTAGGACCGCATGCGCGAAGCAGACCTCGGTTGTGCGACTGGCGAACGCGGCAGAACACGGTTACTGTCGCGTGTGTCCCCATCGATCCACGTTCGTTTAACCATTCGGCAGCCGTCGCTACGGCGATCGCTACAAAATGCAGCCCCCACCTCGAAAGGTAAGCCAAGCTGTAAACATGGCTAACTCTAGAAATAATAAATAACCTTAGCTTTTACTAAAGCTCGTTTCCACTGCATGCGCTCTGCCGCTTCTATATAGCAATGACAATGAACTATATCGATAGCTTGTTTTCTCTTATATCTTGTGTGAAAGAGGTCTTGTCATTACATAATTTAAGCGTCTATCCATCAACATTAAGCCTAGAAGGTACAAATTTTTAAGATGGTCAGTGTCAAGATCAATGGGCCTTGTTTAAGCAAATGGCCTATTTTTTCAGTTTCCTATATAAAAGCGTAGACATCTTTTTGGCCTGAAGCGATTGCTTCTTTATGTTTCTAATGAAACGTATAAATATTTTTTACTAAAAAACTCAAAGTCGAAAGTTTAATAATTTTTAATATTATTGTAAGCAAAACTACTGTACAAACATAAAATATATATTGTAGATTGTTTTATTATTTTAAATTTTAAAATTAATTAATATTTATAAACCGTAAAATCTAAAATACATATAATGTATAGATATAATTCATATATATATCTATAATTCCTATATATGGTTGAACAAAAACTTTATTAAATTATGGTCCTTTTATACATTTCTAAAAGTAGTTTACGAATTTTTTAAAATTATTTTTGAAGTTGTCATGAAACTTGACGAAAAGATGTTCAGCATATGAATATTCAATATGTGGTTGTTTTTTCCGGACTTTTTGGTAGTGTTATAGTGGATTATTGTCTTTATCTTCATTAGAGATCATCACCAGACATCGAATCTTATAGTAGTTAGTTGTACGAATTTATCAAGATTGAAATTGATAGAAATATGGAGAAGCCCAGAATTACAGCACGCACAAGTCTGGATTTAGGGATAGTTGACATTTTTTTGTTTACCATATTCTTCTACTCTATTCTGGTTAGCTTAATTATGGATACTTCTTGACATTCTACGGATACATGTACTTGTAAAAATATATCGTCTAACGTTACTCAAACAAGCAATCAAGCGTATAAAGATTTAATGAACATTTTTAACGTCGTATGTCTTGTTAATATCTGAATTTAAATCATGGTACTTAATATATTTTTTGTTTAATAAATCTTATAACGGACATATAACATTGCTATAATAATAATTTTAATATTTGTTTATGTATTCATTTGATTATAAGTTTATTTTAATATTTAACACTCGTATCCACAATTATTTGAGATTGAGTTCTGAGATGGCCTTGGATGAAATAAAGTATAACTTTAATTATATACATTAATTTGATTTTTATTGTAGGAGGACATTAAATCGTATTTTTTCAATTGAAAATGTTATTTAAAATATTAGTTACAAGACAGGCTATTTCAATTTAGCTTCAATAGTAATTTATTGTATTGAACTGTTAACAAATGAATAGGAGCACCTACAACAGGAACGTGGAAGGATAATTGAGAAGGGACTATAAAAGGAAACCTTCTTGGAATCACTAGCTTCTTGAAATTGCTGGGATTAAACTTAAAATAAATAATAAAATTGAATCGGATTTTACTTCTCCGACTCAATTAATTATATCGGCAGTGATACAGATAAAAGATTTCAATTACTTTAAAGGAGCGATAGGTTAAAAGAAACTAAACAATTGATTTTACTCTTATTTTACTCTTTGTATTTCGAATTTTCTTATAGAACTTGTTGCTGTGTTCTTAAATATTTTTATTATATTTACACTATTTTCTATCGACAAATAAGTCATTCGACACAGTCACATACCTACGGTATTATTTAGGTACTGGTGTTATTCTTTTTTAGGTTAATGGAAACTCCATGATGACACGCTTCAGTATTCAACGACATTTTTGATCTCATTTCGTTCTCCTTTAGTATAATAGTACAACAATAATATGTGGATAATATAATACAAAATATTAATAACTTTAAGCATTTACAAAATTGCTTTAGATACATACATATATTGGTATTATGTATATGGTTGACTTATCATAGAGGGATAAGATTTGGTTTATTGTTACACATATTGTGTGAATAACTAAGATGATTGAGTCACTTGTGATAATCTATATTCTAGAGGTGACCTGTTATTGTCACATACACATACGTGTTCATATACTCGTAGTGTACATGTTTCCACACAATAATCCGACTAGATCTTCTATTAAAGATTATCGATATCTATTATAATGTGCAATGTTAGGAATAATTAACATGTTGTCTATAGATATTCAAATAACATGACATTATTATATGATTGGACTAGAAATAAGATATTTTGAAAAATAAGATAAAGTTACGGAAAAATCTTTTGATGAAGTGATGTAATGGCTGTTTTTATATCTGTTGTGGTATATAAAAACATTAGAGAAACTTTTTTATGCACTGCAAACAGCATTCTCAAAAGAAATTACTGAGAATAGACGTGTTTTCAAGTTTCTTTCAAAATTCAGAGCAAAAAAGCTATATATGCTGGCGAAGTGAAGGACAAAAACTAGTGAGTATATCATAAAAATATAACCCTGTACTCCATTTTAGTTCAAATGGATGTCAGTCTTAAAAGGCACTTAAAATATTATTTTACATAATTTTATAAAAACAACATACATAAAAATTTTAGTTTTTAGTGCATTTATCAAATACATACGAAAATAGATTTGATTTTTATAAATTTTATAACCAATCTATTGTGATGGATTCGGAGACAAAATTGTCGTGGCTATTATTATAAAAAGATTATCGGAAAGAGCAAATGACAAATCAAAATTACAATTAATTCTTGATACATTTTGATCTTTATTTTTATCCGAGCAAGCACTTTAATGTTTCAGATATTCTCTTTCTAAATTTAGTAAACTAAAAAACAAAAATCTCATATATAGAGCTCAAGTAATACTATTTTTAATGGAAATATTTTTGAGTTCATGCAATCATTTTATTTTGCATCCGCTCGTGGATCGTCTTCATATTAGTTTACCCGTCGGGGTTTTTACAGAGATCGGAGATTATTTTGTTTGCGACAAAAAATCCAGACGTAATTACAATTCTAATATGTAGTATTAAGAAAACTAAATTGATTGCTACGATTACGATCGTGATCTGTGGATTAAAAATGGTAGTTGATATATTTATGTATATAAAAAATAATTATACATTATAAAAGGGTGTTATTTGTATTAATACGAGTTATGGCTATCAATGTTAGAACTTACCATTAGCGTGTAGCCTGTTTTTAATTGACTCGATGTCTAAAAAATATCATTATACTGTTAATAATATTTTATCAAATTATAAATCTTGTTTAGTGAAATGTAGATAAAAAATCTTTATTTTAATAACTTTCTTGACTAACACGATTTTATTTATTTTCTCTACACCATAGGCACATCTCTATATGTAATACTTTTAGCTTCACTTACAATGGAGAATGTACAGTATGAAGCTACCAGTTAAATATATAGTTAATTCAATTTGTAATTTTTCTTTAAAAAATATACCTACTTATAAGAAACAGCTGCTAAAATTCCCCTTGCTTGTGCAGATATTACTAATTATGAAGTTACTACTTCAACTTGCTTATTATTTAGTTCTTTGTCCAACTGACTGCTAGTTTCAGATAATTATTGTAAAATAAAAGACTTACTAGTAGGTGTAATTTCGTAATAAATACTTACTTAAATTATAGGCTAACTGACAGTTACCAATCCTTTATAGAGAAGGCTATTTTAAAACATACGTAAGAACTTATGAGGTCAAATTCACAATTACTAGTTAAAGAGTTTATAGTTGTCAGGCCATTATATACTTATATTATATTATATAAAATATGGAATATTTTTTCATTTATATACAATTTTTTAATTAAACCTAAACAAATAGATGGTGAAGATATAGTAGGTACCTCACCGTTTAGGAAACATCCCAAAAAACAGTTCAAGAGTATGTTATAATTTAATACCTAACTTATAATTTGTGTTGTTGCTTTATTCGCAATTTTGCGTTTGCCTATGTCTATGCCTCTGCCTATCAACCTATCAGAAGCCCACTGCTGAGCAAGGCCTCTTTCTCACATGGAGAAGGTTTGAGCATTAATCACCACGCTTGCTCAAGACGGGTTGGTGATTTCAAACTTATAATTGTGAAACTATAAGTCCAGGTTTCCTCACGATGTTTTCCTTCACCGTATGTCAGTGATGTCTAAATACTCTCAGAAAGTACATATGACTCCGAAAAATCACATAGGTACTTGCCAAGGTTTGAACCCGCGCCCTCGGCAACGAGAGGCGGACCCCTTAACCACTAGGCCACCACTGACTTTGACTTGATTTTGCGTTTACTTAAATGTTATTATTGACGAGGCCTTAATTCAAGGAACTAACAAAACCTTCCCTTTACAAGATTCCTAATATAATAAATACAGTGTCAGCAAATTTAATTAAATTAAAAAAATCAACAAATTAATTCACATTTTCTGACTATACTGGCCATCATGAAACACATTTCGGAAAATTGATCATACTCTTACACTACTCTGGCGAAATTATCTAAACATGGTTTAGAACCACTGCAAATAGACTGACTTTAAAATGAAACAAATCGCATCCATATCGGTCAATCCATTTGGATCTACGTTGCCATAGATAGGTACATTTTTTGTGTCGTGGATTAAAATATAATATCTTCTTCTTCTTCTACCGGGCAATTTCTCAGGTTTAGCCAGGGTCTGCCATATATGTTGTAAATAGTTTTAGCTAATTGTTTTTACGACCGACCGCCTGCCTGACATCAACCCTCTTTGGTAATGCATTAATCGGTGATGTCTAAATACTTTTAGAAAGTAGGTACATATGACTCGGAAAAATCACATTGGTACTTGCCAGGATCGAACCCGCGCCCTCATGCATGAGAGGCGGGCTTTTTAACCACTAGGCCACCACTGACTTGATTAAAATATAATTTATATAATAATAATATAAATGAAGTAACTCTGAGTCTTAGAGAACTCTAAGTTATTATAAATGTTTACGACGAGTCTTTAGCTTGCTTCGACATCAATAAGGAAACGTCGAGATACTAACAACTCGTGCCTTCCTGTTACCTTGCAACAGTATAACATTTCCGCTTCCGGCCATAAGCTGTTATATTACAGGAATAGATGAAGCAAGATATTATAAAAAATATAAAAGCAATCGAAGAGGGGTGGATTTTTAATTTTAATTTATTAATTAATATCCTGCGTAGGACTTAACACGACAAAGTATATAACATAATTATTGTAATTAGTTAAATAAAAATGAACATCAATTCTTTCATTTCAATTAGATTTTATTGTTCGTGAAGGATTTTCAATTATATGCTTGTATGTATCGTTATTATTGAAGATTATTTCTCTTTGTGGCATTCATTCCTTTGTTCAATACCATACATATGTCTGTACCATGTATCCATTCCAACTACTTCGTTTATCGAAATACCGGACGACTTTGTCCTATCACATAGCGGTTTGAATCGTATCATCATACCAGAAGCTCTTTGTCGGTTTCAAAACTTAGTTCAATCACAGGTATTTCAAGTTGGGTATTACAAGATAATAACTAGACTGTGTTACTGCTCATGCTTTTACATTATTGTGCATTTGTTAAACAATCATCTGTTGTCCTTTAAGATTAAGAAAATGGTGCGATTTTTTTAAGTACTTCAAGTTTAAAATGTACCTAGTGATTGCCCTATTTTACTTAAACTTTTGATATCAAAAACCCAAAGTATCATTGTTTCCTAGTTTCTTTGTTTTTTAATGCTCAGATTGTTTGTGTAATAGTTCTAAATTCTGCCGACTTTAAATGAAGGTAGTTCATTATTCTATACTATTCGAATATTAAGCTATTCTCAAAGAGTATACATTTAATCGGATTTAAAACAATTTAAAAAGTTTTAAATATCCTTGAGTAATGATATGCATAATGTTTTTTAAGTTTCTAAGCTTACTACATATCTTGTTCCAGAAGTTTCAATTTATAACGACTTTAGCTATGACAATATTGATATAGATTATTTGACACTGTTTTTTTTTTGTGTCAACATTCAAGAGTTCCTTTAAGTACTGACAATATTTTCAAATATATCTAAAGTTTTTAAACAAAATTTATTGGTTTCGTTTTCAAATAAAGTCCCACCAAGTTATCCAATTTTCGCTGAAATATTTTTATACAACTTGAAATTTTCAATACAGGTTATTCGCAGTTTAAAGGCATTTCCGATATAGGAAATTATTTTATTAATCAAATTAAACGCATATCCACGTTTCATATTTTCTTTAATAATATCATTTAATATTAAAACCCGTTTAATATATATGCGTACATGATTCAATTAATAACTTAATAGTCATTTTTGTATTAACAAATTTAAGATATATTTATTTAAACCTAAACAAATAGAAGGTGGAGATATAGTAAGTACCTCACTGTTTAGGAAACATCCCAAAAAACAATTCAAGAGTATGTTAAAATTTAATACCAAACTTACAATTATGTATATCTCCACGTTATATTTTTTTATTGTTACGTTATCCGCAATTTTCGCTCTCTACCGGAATTTATTGGCCACTAATGTGCTTTATTAATCATCTCTTTACCACAACATTATCACGTTTTTAATGGTTACGCCCTGAAAAATATTTATAAATACATCCATTTAAAATAAATCTTTGAAGGTTTAATATAACTTTTTACATAAACATTTGATTACCCAATACCTAATATTTTATTTAGAACGGGAATAACGTAATATACAGCATTTTAAAAAGATAATTATTCCGTTGCATAATGCAGAAAGTGTTAACATGATCCGACCATTTCACCATTAATTTCTTTTGTGATGGATGTCAAAAGCAGCCCACTCTTCGAATCTGTCAATCGAGGAAAATTTATTATTTCAGAAAATTTGGTTTGTACGTCACGTCGGTACATGGAACAACAATATTCACGTTTCTCCTTATACTAATTAATAGTTAATATTAGATTAGATAAATGGTTATTATTTGAAAAGAAAGATTTTTTTCCGTGATTATTCTTTTTCAACTACGTATTAATATTTTATAAAACCTGTATTAATTATGACTTCTTAAATATGAACTTATATCCGTTTAATACTGAAAGTATTAGATAATTAACAACTTTCATAACAAAGGAATTTTAAACTTTCATAGTGAAGTTAGTTTTTGAAACTGGTGGTAATGAGTAGCTACTAACTCTTTCATTAATTATGGAACTGTAATTAGTTCTCTACTTCCCACTTTTCTTAAGTTATATTAAGTTAAAGTTATTATAAGGAAGGGAAATATCCCGATAATTTGAAAATTAAAAATATTCTTTTAGCACACACATTTATGCTCTTTTAGCGCACAGAACATTCTTAGATACCTGTTTATTTCTCTGTAACAGTTAAAGCAATCTTAAGATAGAAGTAAAAGACTATTATATCTTCTTTTACTATTTCTTTCACGCATAAGTATTTTATGTAATACACTCATTTAGTTTATGTAAATACTTTAATTTAACTAAGTACTAATGTAAATCCCAGAAGATACGTTGCTTCTGCAGAAATGCATGTTTAAAAAAATATAGTTTCCAAGCATTTTAATTGAGTACCTAATAATAATATTAAAAACGGAATAGTATGTCTTCTATATTCCGCGAATAAATGTAATAAAATGTTGTAACTTGTAAGTACAGTTATGTAATAAGTTTAACATTTTAAATCAATCAAATCAAGTAATTTAATTAACTTATTTGTAAATTTCGTGACACTGCCTTCACATATTGTGTAACGAGAGTGCAAGCTTTTAATAGAAAAAAAAGCAATATTCTTTACACACTTACACAAATTTTTGTTTCTAATAAAGATTTTATTCTTTAAACTTTTCGTTCCCGTCGACAGATTTCTTATTCCGTTCGTCTCATTCAAAGCATCATTGTTGCGAAGTCGTTTAGTGTCACCTTTGGAAGTCCGCCATATTGGATTCAGAGTGACATCATTTTACTTTAAGAATTATTCTCAGCAAGTTAGCATAAGCATACATTTCATATTCTTATTAAAATTCTTCATTGAAAGTAACTAATAAAACTAGACCACCCTTTTTAGTTGTAGATATGTCTTGTTGCGTTTTATAGAATGATGATGTAAATGTATAACCATCCATTTTTATCCAGATTGAAAATGAAAGTACTTATACAATTTTTAAGCTTAACTTGAAGAGATCTGTTTCAAAATTTGATTCCAAGATTCCAACTGCACATTTTATATTTTAACATAAATTAGGTCTTAAATAATATATTAAAAATGACAACTAATTAAAAAAAATTACTAAATAGATACAAGAACATAAATAAAATAATAGTGAGTAAAATAATTTTACTGACATGATGTGATATTAAATACAGAATAGAAATAGTGACGGTATGTTTAAAAGTCCTTTACTGTTTATGTGATGAAAGACTATTTATTGTAAGCTATAAGTACCTATATAATATTTACAATCGAAGAAACAAGTTTTTATCACGAATTACCTTAAAAAAAACTATTGCTATACGAATATACAAGTGTACATTTAAAAAATTACACTCATACTCAGCGAACTTTGTATGTAGTGATTACGAAATCACAATTCTCTTTTTAGAATGTCTAAAAGTTATGCCTAATTTCATGGACTGTACGTTAGTAAGAAATAAATTAACGCTTTGATTTCTTACAGAGCAACTATACAAAGTTTCTGAAGAACCTTCACACAGAGCAAATAGCGAAGCTTCATGCCAAAAACCAGCATGAATGCGACTTGCTTGAAGATCTACGCTCTTACACCATTAAGCGCTCGGCTATTGAGAAATCATATTCAGAGGTATATAATTTAATGCTTTTATTATACATACATTTACATACATTTTTATTCATAAACTTCATCCAGATTTCAATCTAAGGAACCCTAAATATTATTCTTTTCCTCAATAGTTTCTTTTTGTGTAAAAATCAGATTTAAAATATGTAAATATTACCTACTTAATTTCTTCAATGTAAGTTAAATTTCCTTTGTACATATATGTCTTTGTAGTTTTAGATGTGATTTTAAAAAGTCGTAAATAAATATAAATGAGTCCATATGTATATATAAATATTTGTATTATAACTTGTGATTTGACGTATCTTATTATTTTAAGTACATATAGTTGGGATTTTAAATAAGCGTTTGTGGATTCTTTGTTACAAGAAAATAATAGCAATTCAAAAGAGATTTTGTTCGTTCCGGTTCCATTTTTAATAAACAATGTATATACAATTAGGAAGAAAACTAAAAATATTTTTCTGTGATCCCACGCCGCATTTTATGTTATGTAATAAAATAAAATTGTAATAAAATTATCTTAATATATTATTCACCTTGATATTACTGTGATAAAAACATTTACACATATGTGTAATTTTAACTTGTTTATTCCCAGGCCTTGCTTAAAATTTCATCAGCTTATCTGAATAAGAAAATACCTAATATACCTGATTTGAAAGTTGATGGCGCTGAAGAAAAATGGTAAGTAAAAGTTATAAGTAATTAATTTGAAACAAACAGATATGTATATTAGTTAAAAAAGGAAAATGTAATTATCACGTATATAAAATAATTTTATGTGGAGTAGCCGTGTTTTTGTGTTGAAGGAAATAAGATATACTTACTATAATTACCAACTGTTTTTTTCGTTTCTATTAAAGTCTGATACATTCTTATAAAATGTAGAAATCCAAAATTATAAAAATCTTGAACTTATCATTATAGCCTGATCCATCATCCTCATCAATCGTTAAACAGATGTTACGTAAGATATAAGAATAAGCTTCCCCTATTAACACGATTATATTGTGTTTATAATTCGTACCAGTAACAAGATCATTAATTAAATCATGATTTTTTTTCATACTTTAAGCCTAATGAATATGTAGCAAATACACTATTTAATTCAATAAAATTTTATATGAAAATATTTGACAAAACGTTTTTTTTTTATTTTTTACTTGTCAATAAAATATGCTTTGGTTGTGATCGGTATTCCTTTTTTTTTGCTGAAACTCTTAACCAAACTTACATAATATATGTTTAAATCGTAGAATTTTTTCTCTAGCATGAATATATGCAAAGCGATTCTTTTTCTTCTGGCATTTAACATTTTATCAGCGATAAACTCTTTAACGTTGCGACCGTAATGAAGATTATGTTATTATTTTTGGTATTATATAAAACGTAGCTATCGGGTAATGAATGTTTGCGTTTGTGTAGGAACATGTGGAATGTTTGGCGCACTGTGTTGGAAGAAAATGAGAAACTTGCTCGCGCTAGACTTGCCGCTGTCGAGGTGTTTCAGCAGCAGATTGCTGACGAAGCAAAAGCTTTACGACAACATAAAATGAATGTAGCCAAAAAGGTAGGTCATACTGTTAGCCCCCGACTATATATATATATATATATATATATATATATATATATATATATATATATATATAATATATAAATAAATTACATATCATAAAACACATTATATCTAATTAAAATAATTAAAGCATGGAATTTTTACGTATCTTCTATATATATAAAAATGGATTGCTGTTCCTTAGTCTCGCTAAAACTCGAGAACAGCTGAACGGATTTATCTTATCTTAGTCTTGAAATGTTCGTGGAGATTCAGGGAAGGTATAAAAGCCGAAAAAAATTGATTCATTACTGGGAAAAACGTAAAAACAACCCTTTTCTATTTCCCATACAAACGTTTTTTTTGACATTAGATTTGACAACTAACTAATATGTCAATCATTCTGTCGCACTTCAAAACACGGAGATTTAGGGCTTACAGGTAAACTCCAAAAATATAAATAAAAAAACGTAATAGATATTTCTTGATTATAGGGCGATACGAAGTTCGCCAGGTTTTCTAGTTAAGTATAATTATGTAATGTATGTTTGTCCATATCTTTTAACGAAACATTAGTATTTTTAAGACGGTTGTGGTTTTATTTCACGACTTTTTTTCCTAGATATATAGGAATTACAAATTTGGAAAACAATATTAGTTCATTTTAACTAAATACATGTGAGATCTTAAGCTGATGACTTTCGTATACTTTTAGTTTGGCCGACAAATCAAGTTGACAAGGTTATTTATAAATTTTCTTTCTTTTATATCAATTTTGTTGTCCATATAAAATATGACAACTAAATATTCTTCCTGGAAATATTAATTTCCCAGAAGAATTAGAAATATCTTCATCAATTCCATTCCTAAGCTTGATCTAATTTTATTTCTAGGTCAATAAAAGCAAAAGTATTAATTGTATGTCATGGCAGGAAAATTTTGGTTGAGTTATTTCAAAAATAAACTGATTCAATATACTGTAAATTTAATATTTTTTATTTTGCAAATAAAAGACAGACAGTAGGTATATATAATGTATAGTAATAATTTTAAACTTCTAAAAATATTTTTATCGATGAAACTAATTAATATCTACTGTGAGTTAGCCTAAATAATAAATTACACCGTCCAACATGATTTTTATTGTCCTAGATTATATTTTTTCCATTAATTTTGTAGTGGTTATGAAATGGCGTCTAGTTGTATCACATCAGATTTATTTATAAAATTAATAAATTCGAATTTTTTGCTTTTTGAATTAGATTAATTAATATTTATTAAAACACTTAAAAATCAGTTAAAAATGGTCGATACAATAGTTTATTCCCAAAAATGATATCTTTACAAATCAACAAATAATAAATACAAGCTGTCGGTTGAGGCTTTGCCCGCATATTCAACCAGCCTTGAGATTAGTGTTATCATGATCATGAATTTTCTTTCGATTTCTCGGAGATTCCTTAATCAGCTCATGACTTGATGTTACTGGAACTACATACTTCAGGGTTGTGCTCTCTCAATCAATCCGTCTTTAACTGAAGGAGTAATAGGGTAGCAAACATTTAGTCGTACTGAGAACTTCTTCAATTTCGAAGATAATTTACATAAAAGAAGCCTAAGTCATTCCTTATGACATTATCTACCTGCGAATGAAACTTTTATCATAATCATTCCAGACGTTACAGAGATTAGGACAAAGAAACAGACCGACATACACTTAATTTATTTTAAAGTATAAAAATGAGCTAATGATATATTCGTTTACACACAACCATTTGGTTGGTCGATTAATTTTCAATGACGTCTGATTTATTTTAATAGCGTGCTATAAACTACTGTGAATTTCTTTTTAGGGTAGCTAACATGGCTTCCTAGCTTTTCAAAAAAATTAAAAAAGACTTTTTATAAGTTTTCTAACTCGACCTTTTCATTTATTTCACTCGTGTACGTACAAACAGAAAAACATGTATAAAATGAAAATAATACGTCGAATGAAAGCTTTTAGTGCCATAAGAAAAATAATAAACCTTTGTATATACTTTTTCATTCTTAGTCAGTTTTAATAAAAAAGTTTGTTGTATTATGATGAGAATAATTTATACGAGTAATACGTATAATAAATTGCGTATATGTAAGTTGGTAGAAGTTTTATAGATAAATAAGTTGTCCCTATCGGTATTAACGTTTGTTAATTAAAGATAATATTTTAATATAACCATCAAAATTATCATATTCTAAGGAAAGGGCTTTTACGAATTACTTTATTTTTCACACATCAAAATAAATATTGTTGCAATATTAATAGTAAAAATTTTACATTTACACGGATAGGAAATTCATATCGTATTACTAATATTTAAGTGCTCGAACTCTTTAATCAACAGAATAAACTAGTTTTTGATTGGCTGTTTACTTTGAACGCTAACAAATTTTTAATCAATATGCTGTTATTCAAAAGTTAATAAACGTACATATACAAAAGTGAACTTGTCTTTAACGTGGAACCAAACACTATACACAGTAAAGTAACTATGATCATAAATGAATGCGTATAACTTATTGTGCATATTCTATTGTAGGCCGAGATATCCTGTAGTGAATCTAATTTTTGCTTTACAATTGAATGCAATATATCTTTGACTACTGAGCTAACATACACATATTTGTAATTTAAAAAACCGTTGCAAAAGACGAAGTTTCTTGTAATAAGATTTTTTTCCTTCATAGGAACATGATCTCTATTCATTTTAATTTTTATGAAAATAATACTTTAAAAAAAACTTTTAATGTGAAAATTCGCAAACATATTGAAATATGTAGACTACATTACTGTACATTAATGTTACTACATTTATGTGACATTAGAATAAATAAGCATGATTATAAATATTATAAGTAATTAATATAATAAGTATAAGGATATAAGCTGTTGTAACATCATATAGTGAGATTCCAATACTGTGTTTATATTTGTTTGATTTGTTTATTCAATTGATTTTGTCAAATTATCCTTAATGGAATATCAGTAATCGTCTTTAGGCATTTTTTCATCCAGTTTTAACATTTTACATACTTAAAAGTATTTAGTGGTTAGTAAATTATACACAAAACAAAACAAAAGTATAACGTGTTTATAATAAACCATAAAAAATATATTTTAAAAAAATATATATTTTTATACATATGTAATTTAGTATGAGTGTAGATTCGTGAGTACAATCGTAATTCCAGAATATTATATACCCATATATTTGAATTACCGGAGTTCCGTAAAGCAGAAAACTCGAAAATTGCATAGCAAATTCATGTTCTGACACACAATCTTATTTCATATTTTGTAGAGGTATTGGTGACAGTACACGTTTATTAAAATAAGTTTATATTTTAAATATAGTAATTATAAATCATGGGTGCAATATATTATTATTACCAGAATAATGACTTAAAAGTTTATTTTACTCAAATTGTAATATATATATATTTTTAAATTATTAAACATAATTTAGGGGTGTAACTTTTATTACATGAAATGAAAAATTATTCTGGTCTTCGTTACTTCTTAACTATGACAGTATACATTCAATAGGACATTAATTTATAACCATTTTTTTTCGATTAGCGATCACTCGGCTGTATTGGATACAAATTTTATGGTAATAACATGCAAAATCAAAAAAGCAAAGGCAACCCAAAATCACTCAATCCGAGATATCAGTTCAATGTGATATTGTATGGCTCACAATGACTCAAACAATTATTAGTCGTTGTCTAATATTCCTTAAGCAAAATAGAACTTAATATTTTATTTATTTATTTGAAAATAACTTACGTTGATTCTATTTATAGCGAAATAAGTAATATCCGAAATGCCACCCGTCTAAAAATGAACGAGATAGAGGAGAGTAAACAGGAAATAAGAATCCTGGGAAGCATGATGAGAAATGCCATGAACGCAATTCTTAATTGAAAATTCTAGCTTCTTTCTATAAATATGAACTATTTATATTCCATCCAAGGTATATTAATAAATTGTTTACTAAAAATATTTAATAACAACTACCTAAACATATTGTTATGCTTCAAGTATCCTGACTGTAATGGAAAGAATTTCACAATATTCTGTCAAAGGCTTTTAAAAATCTCTTATTTTTCCATATACCAAACTATACGGGCAAACACGTTAAAAAAATGAAATTTGAGTGCATGTGAGATCTTTGTGATCAGCTTCACAAAGAATGCTTCGTAAAAAAGTCCTTCAATTTCAGGTTTTTGGAAACTAGCTGTGCGGAAAATAAAAATGAAGATGTACTTTTTCAGATTTAATTAGATGGAATGCATATCCGTTCAACTGGATTATATTTAAATAAGCACGGAAACGAACATTAATAATGCTTCATGTGATTGCATTGGATTTTTTCTTATATTTTTGAAGAAAGTTGGTTTTATGGTTTCTCTATAGAAAAAAATGTATCAATGATATTTGTAAATTTAAATTAAACTAATGAAAATAACTTGATAGCTTATGCAGCTGTTGCGGATAGTTTACAATAAACTCAAAAGATGCTTTAGCACTAAAAAAAAAAAAAAAAACCAATGTCACGAATAGACAGCCTCACATATAAGTCGAACAAAGTATTTTACATAAAGATTTACTTTTCGTAATAATAATAATTTCATCGAACATCAAGTCCTTTTTTTCATGTATATAGTTTTTAGAAATGATTTTTAGCGATTGTGTTTTACTGTTTAAATAATTTTTTTATTAAAATATATATAAATAAATATACATAACATTTGTCTGCCTGTTTATCAATACTAAATTGCTAAATGGTTAAACATTTTTATTTCGGAACTGATGTTAAAAAATATGCAAAAATATCAAGCCGTCCCGTACGTCATAATAGAGTAGAGTGGACTTTGGAAGCAATTCTTTTGATATTGCTTCAAAATTTACCTAAGTAGATCAGGTTCTGGTAAGAGAAGTCCTGACAGCACTTTACATAAAATACAATTCTGGGAAATTTATGAAGTTATCTATATTGAACGAACTCTTTCCATTGAGTGGGCGGACTTAATGGAAACAAATTGTATTACAACGCCATTATTCTTTTACCTTCAATGTCACGTTAAATAAAATTGTAGTAACTTTTAATATTAAAATATGTATTTAATAATTATAATTTATTATTTTTATTATGAAGTGCACGGACTCTTTGGCTCAAGCGCATAAAGAATTACAATTAACGGTACTAGATGTTGATAAGACAAAGAAACTATACTTCGACGAAGAACACACAGCACATGATGTCAGGGACAAAGCTAAGGATATCGAGGAAAAGTGAGTTAGAATTCCTTGACGTTTCTTATATGTTGATGGTATAAAAAACAAGTAATTTTGACTTCCCAAATTCTACCTCTTTGTACTTAATAACACTGATACTAAACATTCGTAACACAATGTAATATGAAAATATAAATGGTTTATATATACATAACTAAATCTACTAAAATGTTTATTGCCTTTTAGGCTCAAAAAGAAAAAGGGATCATTTTTTCAATCGATCACTTCCTTGCAAAAAAATAGCGCGAAAGTGTCGTCGCGACGAGACCAACTTGAAGAAAAATCTACAGGAGCAAGGAATGACTATCTCTTGAGCATTGCAGCTGCTAATGCTCACCAGGTTCGAAATATGAGTCTAAAAATTTTTTAAATATAAATCAACTACTTTTATTTATATACATCTTTTTTATTGTGTGACGTTTACAGAATCGCTACTTTTTGGTAGAATTACAAACCTGTATGCAAAGCATGGAATCATCTGTATATGAAAAAGTATCAGAATTTCTAACTCTCATGGGTCGCACCGAACTACTTACATGCTCAGCTACTCAACATTCATTCGGAAAGATTAGAGATCAAGCCCAACAGTTGACGCGAGAATATAATCTTCAGTGTCTATATTTGTACTATCCCGTGCTCAAACAGCACATTCAAGTACGCAACAATTTATACCACTAATTACGAAGATGTATATATATAGGAGTCATAAGTCTAGTCACATATTTTTTTTTACTTTTTAGTACGAATTTGAGGCTTGTGATAACGACCCAGTTGATAATGTAACTATGGAACACGAGTCAGTATCATTAACACTAGCCCAGGAGGCTCGTCGTTGGGCCACCCGAGTTGTGAGGGAAACTGCCCTTGTTAGAGATGCAACTCGTAAATTGCATCTATATCAGGCTATGCGAGATGCAGGACAAAAAGTAAGCTTTTATTCCATACTGGTGACGTTGCGTAACATTTCAGTAAACATTATACTTTGCTTAACATAACATACTTTGCTTTAGGTTGATCCAAACGATCCAAATGGGCCTGAACTTGAAGTGCGCATGGATGAGCTCCGAAACAATATAAGACGTTCAGAAACATCTAAAGCCAAGTATGAAGCTCGTTTAGAATGTCTCAGAAGCAGTGGTGCACCAGTCGATGAATGGTTGAAAGAAGTAGATTTATTAGCAGTGCAAGACACCTTACCTAGAAGCAGTAGCCTGCTTAGTGTTCGAACTGATGCATCTGGAGCAGCTGTACGTAAACATATGTACTATGTATATAACACAGTCACATTCTAATGTTATGTGGCATAAAATTAATTTTTACTATCGTAGGACCAGCCCAGTTCTGATTCGTTCTATGATAGTGATAATACTGAGGGAGAAGTTGCCACGACTTCTGGTGTGGCTAGTACTTCAGGCCACCAACGTACTACATCTGATTCACAACATGAAGATGATAATGAAGAAGATGTTGATGGTGTGTTAAACAAATATTTTACTAAATTTTCTCTGATTAAAATGTTATTTTAACACAAAGGCATATACCTGTTTGCAAACCGTTAAAGAAGGGTTTGAAGAGAGTTTAAAAGAAAGGTCTTATAAGTTTGACGTTGATGTCTCTCTAATGCATAGTTACCTTCAAACAGATTACCCTATTTCGAAACATTACGTAGTTGTTAGATATGTTTGATTAACATCTTAGCAGTACTTTTAGACTCAGCACTACACCGATCCAGTATAACTATCAAATAACGTTTATTGAGTACAGTGCTTTTAAGATTTTATTAATAATCCTTTTAGCCGCTTTAGAAGAAGAGCGTATGCGTATTGAGCAACTTACCGTTGGATGGGATGACCCCACTCAAGTTAACTGGGGTGAAGCGGACCAGGAAGCGGATGCGACTCAGACATCCACTGTTGTGCCAGAGGCCCCTGCTGCACCACTATACAAATGCACTGCATTATATTCATACACCGTAAGATATAATAGCTTATGTTTTACATTTTTTTTTAAATAAAATGATCGATTGGATAAAACACATACCTGTAATAATAGGCTCAAAATCCGGATGAACTATCAATTATTGAAAATGAACAACTTGAAGTGGTTGGGGAAGGAGATGGCGATGGTTGGCTTCGTGCTAGAAATTACAGAGGTGAAGAAGGTTATGTTCCTCATAACTATCTTGATGTGGAGAGGGAGCAAGTAAGTTTTATAATACAGATTTATTCCTATCATCAAAACTCTATATACAAACTACATATAATTAAACTTTCAGACTTCAAGCGCTCCAGGCTTGGTGGCACAAATTTCATTCTCATCTGTAGATTACACAGTTGAAGGAGAAGATGCAGATATTGTACAGTCGCCAGACCAAATTTCAGTTATATCTGCACCAGTTAAACCCGAAGAACCCAAGGAAGAAGAAACGGCTAAAGCCAGTGTTGAGGAAAAACCTAAAACTTTGCCAACATTGGGATATTGTTTCTCTTTATATGACTATGATGCCGAAGGAGCTGACGAACTTAATCTTGAGGAAGGACAGGTTTGCCTTTAAATATACATATTTTATTTTTGAATTATAGAAAAAAAAAGTTTAAGTTGTCATGAATATATTTATCCATAGATTATACGAATTGTTTCTCGTGACGCTCATGGGGTAGACGACGGATGGTGGCAAGGAGAAGCTAATGGAGTAATTGGTAATTTCCCATCGCTTATCGTTGAAGAATGTGATGAGGTATGTATATTCAACTAAGATCTTTAATTAGTAGAGCAATCGATAAGAATTCAATTATTTTTCTGTGTTAGCATGGTGAACCACTTAGTGGGGGAGATGATGATTGGACTCCACCAGATTCCGCCCCTCCAGTATTCGTTTCACCCCCCGAATCCCCCACTGATTTCAACGACGACAGTAAGTGCTCACGAATGAACTTTAATTTTCACACTCCCTTTTTCTTCCTTGCACCCGTATTTCGTACTTTAGCAACTTCATAATTTACTTGATATTTTAATACCCCTTTAAATATACGTGAAGTTGTTTTTGTTCGAATTTTATGCCTTGTTGTCTTGAAGAGCAGCAAAGTTTTAATTTGTATAGTGAACAAAATAGTCGCCATAAAAATGCGGTTTGATAGGCAGTAGTTACGTGACAGAATGGATTATTGGCTGTCGTTGTTTCTCAATTGGTATTGTAATTATCATTTGGTTTTCTTGCAGTTTTTATAGCACGTTTTAAATTGTTAATTACTTTAGATATTGTTATTTAAAAAAGCTGCGACTCGTGAATTATCATACATCACCATAAATGCATGATATTTGCACGAATATTATAATAGTTTGAAATATATTTATTGAAAATAGATAGATTTTTGATTTAGAATAAACACAAATTTAATATATCGAATAAATCGATTCAAGACCAAGGAACTTAATAAAAAGGCAATTGTTTGAACTTTGTAAAGTTATTTTTTATGTCTAAAAATTATGAGATTATTCAACTAAAACACAAATATATTCTTGCACCGACTTTACTTCATTTTCTTCCTGGCTCTAAATTCTAACTAACCTAAACACCTTTCTTTCTATACTTTACACTTTGGTGCAGCTACAGCGGGTCGATAGACTCTTTGTATTATCTAATATGTACCAACTTTTGGCTTTTGTGACTGTGTGTATTTATACTTGTATGTGCGTTTAATATGGTTGTTGTGGATTTTTGGGAGCCTAGTGCTTTAGTAGCCGCTTCATAGCAGAGGTCTTCGCACATTTGGCATTACTCGATTCGATAGTTGAACTATTTACCCTTACTCCGGACGCTGCCAGTTTTCGGTGAGAACAACAACACTAAGAATGCTGCACCCCCCGCGGCTCCTCCCCCGCCCCCGCCTGCTGATTTGGGTGACTCTATGGACAGTCAACCAGACTTCAGCTTTAACCTTGAACTTAGTAGGAACCAAGTTGAGCACTACGATTCACAATTCGGCGAAGAGCAATCTGTTAACCCGCCAGTAACCATAGTCGGTAAGTTAATTCTATTTTTTTTAGTTAAAACAAGTACGATTTGAAAATAAATGTAAAAATGCTGATCAGTGACAAAAAAAAATTCGTGGAGGCGTATTGAATTGTATAATATGTAATTTTATATATTTCAGTAAAGAATTATTTAATTTAGATAATGGATATTGAAAATTCTTTATGTAAAAAATATTAATATGAAATGAATTCTTTTTTCATGCTTCAGTTGATGAGGTTGTCGGTGATATGTTTGAAGAAGAGGTTTGGTTTTTAATTAAACACTTGTTTAGCTTGTCTGTTTTTATGTCTGCTTTATAAAGCGCTTTATTGGTAACAGTGAGCATGGAGATCCCTGTTTCATGATAAAGTCATGTTCCAAATGATCGAATACAATGTCATAATATGCGTAAATTATTTATTCGCTTTTAAAATAACATTGTGAATGTAATAATTGTTTCAGTTTATTTTATGCCCGCTAAGATGATTTTTGTAATCGATCCTTTGAGAGGGGTCATCTTAATTGTGCACTTCGTGACACAATGCTTGTGCGAACTAAAAGTGATATTTTTTAGCAACAATTAATCAGTGTATATTTCGGGAAAAGATGGAAAAGTTGGTAACATAATTTTAAAGAATTTACAAATACACAGTTAAATATATCAACATTTACTCGGTGATAAGAATTCTAAAGTATTGTACAAAACAAAATTTTTATAATAGTCATGGAAGTATCTAGATCTCACATCATCACTAGCATGACAGCTTTTGTAGTTAGAAAGTATTATAACGTTTTAGTTCAACTAGAGGAAGAAAATAATGATTAGAAAATTTTATACGATTTTTCTTATTACCAAAAAAGCACTGTTTATTTGACCTTAAATAATTCGACACTTTATGATGGCAAAGAAATATTTAATTATGAACAATAATACTTCGACCTTGCTAGGAAGTGGAGGAGTTGCCGCCCGCTCCGGTACCAAAACCTGCACCGCCCAAAGTTGAAATTACAGACGACGAATGTGGCCTTGGGGTAGCGCAAATAGTTATCACAGCAGCTACCCCTATGATGGAGGAGCCTGACCAACCATTTCCACCAACTGAGCCCGAGCCTGAACCCGAGCCCGAGCGCGAGACTGAAAAGACTAACCCACCTGAGCGTATCGAGGAAAACGATGACGAAGAATCTTCTCTTTCTGAACAAACCGCTGTTTGTCTCCGCGATTCTGAAGAAGGTCACGCTGATTCAGCCCCACACCCGCAGTCAAGCTCAACAGCTTCTGAAGGAGAATCGACGGGGGCTTCAGTTGCGTCGGGTCCCCCTACTGCTCCACAGTCCCCCCCTTCAGCCCCTCGTGCCGGGCGCGCCTCCATCCCCGATGAATTAGAACCTGCGCAACTCGCAAGGCTCACAAATCTTAAGGAGTCAAACGCTTAGACCTATGCTTCTCGACTGATTTACTATCATTCTAGATCGTCATTCTTCTACTTGGCAGTATTTACTAAGAATAAGTTATTTTTTTTATCTCCCAATGATTTCCTCAGTCAACGAAAGGGCTAGAACCCTTTTAACATTTTTTTCACACAAAAATTCTAATTCTGTCATAGATCGTTTCTCACATATGGATAATTTTATAATGGCGTTATTTTAAAACTCATATTTTTCAATAAAAATATTCAAATTACTGTCATTGATACCTATTGTTAATTAAATTATGGTCGATCAAAACGTATGAATTATTTTAAATCTACATTTGTTTCACAATATGATTATTTTACTGCAATTTAATGAAACTCGTTGATTCTTATGATGAGAAGCGGTCCAATGGTCGTAGCACTCTTGTATATATTATTTTTAGTTGATGGTAAGAACTTGTAACTTTATAACCAGGATATTCCAAATGACTTAGCAAACATACATGTTGTTTAACAATATTTAATGTACATTTTACATGGAATCCCAAACAAAAATTCATAATCTTTATGACTAGTGTGGTAAAACTCATTTCAAAAAAGCTTTAATCTTTCATAACTTTAAAACTATAATTATAAACTACATCTTTAAATGTGTCAAAATGCTCTAAACATGTAAAATTATTTAATTTGAAAGATTCCGTCTAGCGAGTTGCCTAAATAAAACACAAAAGAATAGAACCCTATCGAAGAAAACACTCAGTAAGATTAGATATGCCAAAATATTACCCACTTCTGAGGGCTCAAGTACAACTTTAATGTGGAAATTGTTCATAAGATAACTTACATTAACTTGAAATATTCCCTTTTTCTATTTAAAGAATATTTGGTGGGAAGCTTTTGTACCTGCATACATTTAGTTAACTATGTACCTTTTTATATCCAATATTAAATTATAGAAACCTGATTGTCTGTACTTCAAGAATAATAATAGAATTGAAGGAGTTTTGTAATTCATAAGTATAGCTAACTTTTGTAGAAATTCACCTAGCACATTATATAAAATATTTAATAAACCATTCTTTATTAAGTCGGATGTTAGACGTTAGGTTGTTGTGCTTATTACAGAAATTATTAAATGTTATTTACGGTCGCATCACTTATCTCAAATAAATAATGGATTTCATAATTATCAATACGGAACAAACAGTATAGATATTAATTCTTTTATAAACGTAATCTATTCGGTAAATTGTTGTAAAATTAACTTTTATTTGTTAAGAAATATATTTTGAATGTTTTAGAGATTACAATGTTCTTGGTAATCTTGATATTAAATTGTAATCTATGTCGGAATATATACTTCTATTATCGTCGTTATAGTCACATAAAACTCGGACACAAATTACTTACAAAAGACGTAAAAGGCGAGATAATACGAGAGACCAAATTATTGTTAATAAATAATTGGAATAAACATCCAAGAACAGAAATCCAAAGATGAATTTCCTTTCACTTGCTTCGGACCAGATTAAAAAGAAATTGCTCTATATTTGTGTCCAATGGTAATCATATTTTAAAAAAAGCTCTTGCTTTTACGATTTTCGGAATCCAAAGTTACCAACTAGCACAATTATATTCTATTAATTTTATTAACTATAATTGATATCACCTTTAAACAAACAATGCCGGTTGAAGGAAATTCCTACGAAGTGAATAAATTATTAATATCTTTTATATTGGAAGGGTGTGTTTTATATAATGTAGTAAGTATTCATGTTAAAGAAGATTAGTGTAAAAATTATTACGGAGGAGACAAGAGGCATAAAAATTTTAGGGTTCTTCGAGCGCGAATCTACTGTACGTAGGACTGTAGGACCGGCAGATTAGTTTGTTAATGTTAATTACTTAAATAACATAATACTATCTTAATCTTTTTTCCGTTACTGTTTTCCAAAAAAGAAAACCGTAGCGCTTTGTAGCCGTGTATAAAAAGATTCATTTTACTGATTAAAAACCATAATATTACGTAGACAATTTCTAAGTGTTGTATTTCTTTAGAGACATAAAGGATGTTAGAACTAGAAATTACAGCCTAAATACTGGAAACGCTAAATTAATTAAAATATATTAAATTACTCACCCTATATTCGTTTTTCATTTCCACTTGTCCTTTTTACGTTATTATGACCTGGTTTTACTTTAGAGTTCTACTGAAAATACTACATTTTAATCATTCTTCACATTTAATATCATAATTATGATTACCAATAATAAAAAGATTTCACATCCTTATTAATTATCTATTTATTATAATAATCGCGCAATGCCTTAAATTTTTTTTTCGTATCATAGCGTGGGGTGCTTATTATGTAATTTCCATAATTTCTCTACTTCTACCTATATTGGTCATTATTGTAATAGACAGTAATTATCTACACCTTATATCACAATGGTATCATAATGAAGAGGGCGTAGAAAATGATAACTAATTTCACACAATGATAGCCAAATAACCAAAAATAAAAGTAGTATGAGCAGCTATTGCCATGATTTATAATTAGACCTGTTATGACCCTTACACAAAAAGAATAAATTTAATTACACAAATATATAGCTCATCTGAAAAAATTAGGTAGGAAGGCAGACCCTGGCTAAAGATGGGAAATTGCCAGGAAGAAGATAGCTCTCTGAAAAAATGATAACTAATCGTGGATTTTTTTTAGGACTGTCTATTGAAACGTTGAAATCCCGAATTATTTTTAAAACTACATATTTTGGACCCTACTTACATCAAAATCTACCGAAAAAGAACATAATAAAGAGTAAGTAGTCTTAACTCCAAGAGACTGTAGTGAATCCCTATTTAGAATTCAATATTACGATGTATGTATCTTGGTAATATTAGCTTATACCTATGACTAAAACGATCGTTTTGAAAATATATATCGAAAAAATATTACAACCTAATAAGATCTAACTGTAAGATTTTCGTGAGTATTCAATAAAAAAACCTAATGTTTTCGGATTCTCATCTCAGAATAACGTCGGGAGCATGTAGTTCAAAATAAGTAAAAAAGTATAGAACATCCGAAAATATTATGACCTGTGTGTAAACTTAAACAAAACGAAAGCAATTTTTAATATCAATATACTGGTCTATAGACAGCCCACATCCTTAGAAGAGTTAGCGGGTAACGACTAACGAGACCCGTGATGAATGGTAACTTGTATAAGAGCGTTTAGAAACTGTTTGACTCATCATTTTTATCTAAAATTATATAAAAGTATTGAATAGGATATGTTAATGATATACATATGCAAGTGTAATTTATCTTTGAGAATTTCCTAAAGAAACATTTTCCGGAATCTGAGTACGTTTATGTAAAGGGGTATAAAAATTATTTAATGTGAATTCCACATTTTATTTTCAAATTATCGTCAGAGGCGATATAACGTTAGTTACATAAAGGAATATAAAGACTTATTTTGATCTGAAATTAACACTGCATAATTCTACCTGTATACGTTTTCATATTAATTTTCAAAAATCAAAACTTTTAGTTTCCATGAAATACCTAACCAAGCCTTCGTTTAGTACATTTTGTTGTACTTTTTCTTATACACCTGACTTAAAGGAATGTTATAAAACACAAACATAAACTCCTTTTTATATTTTATTCAAGAGGTAGCTTAGTCATACTTAATACAATATCGTTATTTTACCACAGAAATATATAATTTTTGTGCTTGCATTCACATAGCAATTAATTCATTAATTAACATGTTCTCACAATATACACACACATATCGTCCGTGAGATTTTAAAGCATAGTTAGTAATGATTATATCATTCCGGACAATAACAATATTAGTTGTTATACAAAAATACATTCTCGCTCATATAATATTTTTATTAATTAATATTTAAAAGATTGTAGATAAACAAAAATGTAAAACTGTCAAATATCAAAATATTTAAGGACCTTACTGTCATATAACATCTTTTGTATATCGTATTGTATTAATCTTACAAAACAATTGTAGGGGAAGGAAGGGATTCATTCATTAGTATGTTGCCCGAAAAACCAAATACAACTTTCCCGGCTTGCTATCTGTTTTTAATGATGCCTCGCCATCTTCTTACTAGAGCACGTTAATTGGCTTGGGAGCTCACGCGTGTTTGCACTAACACCGGAAATATGGCGTGTGTTTTGTACTTTAATTTAATATATTAAAAGTTTTTCTAATATAAATTGGCAACGCGGATATGTTCTATGCTACAAACGACCCCTGTATAAAAATTTAAGGAATCTCATTTCATCTTAGACCTTGCTACTGGATCCTGTGTGAAATTTCATTTAATGCCAAAACAAAAATCAAGAGACTAAGCCAAACAACTAGCAATATCTGATATATAAAATTGTTTACAACAAAATATTTTATGGCGTTCTCATATGCCAAGTATATTACAAATATTATATCTTAAAACGAAATAAAATTATTGGAGTAGTACCTTTTTAACTCTAAAACAAAAAAGTGACAAAAAACTTAGTATGGATCTGTTCAATCGGAAATATTGACACGGAATCGAGAAAGCACTTTAGCTACAGGTAGAACTTTAAACTTAAAGCTTAACAAACAAGACTTGAACATTCTCAAAGTCCAAATAAATTACAATAATAATAAATAAATAAGTACTCGAAAATATTAGAAGCTCCTGTCACATAAGTTTCGAAACATTAAGGACCCTTGTTCCTCTTCCCCTAATATGTGTAATGGATGCGTATATTTACGTAGAGAATTGATATTGATCATAGATTTCATTAAACATGTCCCTACAGTTCATTTTGACTTTTAGTTTTGAACATAGTAAGAATACACCGGACAGTTTTCTGTGCAGCGAATATATTTCCTCCGGCGGTGGGCACAATCTATGAGTTAACACTGTGGGTACCAAACTCTGTATACGTCGTGTAGTTTTTTGAGTGCCAAAATCAAATTCTTCACCTTCCATGGTAAAAACTTCTCCCATTATCATTACCATGTCCACGTGCGTTTCTTCCATAATCTGATGAAAAACAGAAAAAGGAACTCAATGATGTATAATTAATTTCGATACATCTCTCATCGCCATTTTAAGAGATGAACAAGTAAGAACGTGCTAGAGAATTATTATTAGATTAACAAAAAACTGTGCAAAAAAAGTTGCTGGGATGTGAAAATAAATAATTTTTGTTTGTTGCTTAAGGCATCAGTTATTTTTACTTCATCCCACTCTATAAGCGGAGTTGACACAGCAGATTTTTTTCTCATACAATATCTTTTTTATTTCTGCAACTTTTTAAACCAACACTAACATTATCATTATTGGCAATTCAATTAATGTAAATGATTTTAATATAACAATACCAAATAAGATGGATTTTTTTACTCATAATCATTACCTTTGACTCATATCCTGTAAGGAATTTCATTTCCAAAGACTTCTTTAATATGGCGGCGCGATCACCCATAGAAGCAGCTTTAATTATTTGAATGTATTGGTCCATGAATTCTTTCGAATATTCTCTAGTTGCACCAAAGTCCAATAGAATTACCTTTAATAAGTAATATACAATAAATTGTATGTTAGTATATTACGTTTCCAATATGATTAAATGGGAGTATTTAATTGAACACGATTTAAATATATATCAGAATGTGTACGAAACTTATCCCTAGAATAGATGCGAAGCAAATGCTCATGTCCAATGATGAGATTAAAGAATTTTACTTGTCATTAATACCTGTTTGGTGTTTGTATTGTAAAAGAAATTAGCCCAATTCGGATCCGTCTGCATACATCTCAACACAAACATTTCACGCAGACAAAGCTGCATGATCTTGTAAGCGATGTCATATCTAACGTGATAGTCGGCATCAAAGAGTTTGTCGAGAGGAGTACCATCTATTAACTCTGTTGTTATTACCTCCTGGGCACAGAGCTCGTCTGCAAAGAACGCCACTTTAAATATCTATACGTATAGAAGAATTAAGCGAAGAAATAAATTTATTCTGGGCAAAATGTACATATGTCACTTTATTTGATATGACTGCCTTTTCTAACATATTGTAGAAAGCGTTACATTTTTTTTATTCCCATCATTCCATAAATGAAAGAGTTGAACCAAGTTAAAAATAATAAAAGTAAAGGTTTTTACATACGACATACCAATCCTAATGTTAGCCAGTTTATTTGTGAATAAGTTAAATGAACAACCAATGTCAGGTTAAAGTGATTGTGTAACGAATTGAACTATGGACATAAATCCAGGAGATTGTTTAATTAGTGTATCAAATGATACATAAAAAATATCGAATATTTAAACTAATATCTAATGTTTTTATATACAACATCTAAGTCTACGAACCACAAGTATAAATGAAAACATACCTATAACTGCAGGTACAAAGTACTCATTGTATGGAGATAGCAATTGTTTAAATTTTTTAGTGCATTCAGCCTCCCTTCTGTAATCTACTTCCCAGGCAAGTTCCTTCTTTGCAACTTCCACTACATTGTCTATGAACATTCCTTTTGGGAACATATTCCACACCTGAAAAAGAAATATGGTAAAGATATACAATATTATAAATATACTTAACATTGGTTATAATTCGCTCACTTTATATTTCCAAATCAATGTTCCTCAATACAAATATACCATATGATAAATGAAGATGATCTGGAAGGATTCCATAATGTTAGTTATTATAAATAATATTAAAATATTTAACTCACTTTCAACACCCCAACAAGGTTGTCAATATCACTGTTGATTCCTTGGGCAACACCAGGATATTGTACTTTAATGGCCACTTCTTGACCGTTATGCAGCACGCCTAAATGTACTTGCCCTAAACACAACACACATTGTTCTAAATATAATTAGACGACACAAACAACTGATTTTAAGTACAAAATGTATTTTTATTTTTCTACAGGATAATAGGTAATTGAGAATATTGGTGTAATATTAATTTTAGGTGATTTACCAATGGAAGCTGCAGCAAAGGGCTGCTCCTCAAAGTGTTGTATCTTAGTCCTCCAATCGGCCCCCAGTTGAGAACTCATGACCTTCTCAACTTGCCATACCGGCATGAAGTCAGCTGACTGACGAACCCGGTCAAATATACGCTGCAGATCCGTTGGTATGACAGACTCATCCTGGATGCTTAACAGCTGACCCAACTTCAAAGCCGCACCTGGATTTATAATACAACAGTAGGGTTATAGTTTGTGATTTCTATTTTTTTTCGTCAAAAAATCATTTTCACTGGAATATCCCTAAACTTCCACAGAGTTAAATTGTATTTATGGTCTTTAATTTAGTTGAGAAATATATTGATAGACAATAAAATGTTAAAAAATCATGTAAATGTCCGTGATGAAATTCATAAACACAAATTTTATAAAATGTTTTGTGCAGAAAGTAGATAAACATTTTACTGTTTTACTTACATCATATAAACACTATCTTTAGTGTGATACAGAATTTTAAACCCATTGTCAATAGAAACATTAGAAATTTACTATTTTGCTTATTATTTTGGTAGTTTACATTTGCCGAAATAACAAAAAGGATTGTCTAAGATTATATATCATTAGAATTACCTCTGACTTTACACAGGGTATCCACAATGCGTTCTGCGTTGGCGGGTGAAAGGAAAACATTTGCTGAATCATCCGTTTTCCCTGTCATGGACTGCAGAGTGTTTCTTGCATATTGCGCTACTGTCCCTACACCAAGCCCAGCGGCGAGAGAGCCGAAAGACATCATTCTGCCTATACGAGAAGAGGGAACCACACGAGCTTTTGAGTTTTCACTGAGCTGAAGCAAATTATACATATTGTTAGACAATATATGTAGAAGCATATTGATATAACAACATCATCATTTGACCATATCATATCAGATATAAGCAAACAATATAAAAGGGCTCCCCACTTGTACATCTTCATTCTTTCTCATAATTCAACTGTTCTCCATAATGGTTAAAGAGTTATGTTACGTTGATATTATATTGAAAACTTACTGAAACCTTCATCTTCTTTTTGGCTACAGGCTTTGGAATAGACGAACTGCTCGCCTCTGCGAGTGGTACAACTTTTTCCAAGGAAGGAACTTTTTGCTGTTTTGGAGCTTCTGGTCTTATCACAGGTATTGCAACTTCTTCAACTTTATCAATTGGTTTCATAACTTGTTCAGTGGGTGATGTTATTGTAGTTGAAACTATTTTCTTTTGAGTCTGTTTTAAATTCTCAAAGGTCTCATTGAACTCTTTATTGAGCAATTCAATTTCTTCTTGCAGTTGTGGATCCATACTAGATGCACTATGTACATTATTAATTGGATTAGTTCTATACATAGTGACATATTCTTTGACACCATGAATGACAACCATGGCCCTATCAAAAACATCACTAGACATATCAGCACTAGGCTTATAAGATAGAGCATTAGTAGGACAAGACTGTAGAGAAGGCCGAAAACTAGAGTTATTCCATATTAGTCTAGAATTTTCTTGTTGGATTTTAATACCAGCTTCTATTACCTGCCGCAGACCTCTCACCACACCTATGAAGTCATTAATGTGTGTCATAGCCTGAAAGGGTTAAGAAATGTAAATATATATTATAAAGCTTACAAGCATTAATTACATAGGAAGCTGAGTATTATTATGAATGTGTGAATTCATTATTGATAATTACAAATAGTAAAATTAAACCATATCAGAAAAGAAAACTTTGCAAGTAAATGAATATAGATGTCTCATTGCCAGTCATCTCCCCAAAATTACTAAATATATAAGGTTTTTTTAAATAATAATATTAGTGTCTTAATAAAAGCTTGATGTATTTGAAGGAAAGTCTAATCTGTATTAAAAGGAGCACTAAATTATGGCTTGTCTCCAGTATTTCTAAATGTTACATATGATTGATCCATGAACCCATCTTAAAGATTACTTTTATTCTTTCTGAGGTAACAAATGTATTAAAACAATTTTTATTACAAAATATTAAAACATATTGAAGTCATTCTAAAGTGAGTCACAATAGAAGGTCAATTTGAATCAAATCATAAGATTACACACATGGTACTTGTTATTGCATAATCATTTTACTAAAATACCTTTTATAAATTACTAAGTTTTGCGCCATCTTTAAAATGTGAAATGTTAATAAAAATTTATGGATTTTATTTTGACATTAAAAATTAAGGTTTTCATTCAAATATAAGTGATTATAGTGAATATTAAAAATAAATGTTACATGATTTACGCACCTTGGATTAACGTTTTTACCTAGAAACTCTTAGTCAAAAATATATTTTTAATATAACGAAATAACTCGTAAATAGCGCAAATATAAATTTATATTTAAATAACTAAGAGCACCAACACTTCTCCAATGTTTTTCCCGTGCTGTCACTAATACTGTCATATTTGACATATTAAATTTTGAAATAAAGTTTTTAGCATTGTCTATATTTTTTTTATTCAACACATTTAATTACTTTATTGTATAAATAATTTAAATTAGTTCAACTCTTCTTATCGAAATAGTTGAGACTCATGTTTAAATTTATTAAATATTTTTAAACATGATATTTACATATATGGAACGTTTAACATGTAATTATTATTTCGTTGATTTTTTCTACCACCACACAGTGAAAAAATATTTTTGATCAAAATTAAAATAATGTCTTATCAAAAAATATATTTATTATTGAATATAAATACAAAGTTTTTAAGGAAATTTTAAAGTAAAGCTATTTTGAATTGTAAATTAACTTTTAAAGAACCGATAATATACCTATTTTTCTTAATATACGTAAATTACATAGGATAGTGCTTAGCCTTTGAATATTGTTGATTATAATTTCATCATTACAATTAATTGTTAATCGGTGGATGTAAAAAAAATAATATACAACCCTTTATTTCCCCCCAACCCTCTTAAAAATCGTGCACCCTTTTTTTATTCCCATGAGTAACGTTTTAAACTAAATTGAATAAAAATGTAAGGGACAAAATAACGTATACTAAGAGGTATGAAAGCATCTTCTGAAAATTTTCCAGTTTACAAATATGATGTATTATAACTTAAGATTGTACTGTGCATCTTCACCTTTATTTTGAATATGCCTCCTATCCCTTTTGTATACATATAGGGTAGATAATTATGAAAAAATATACAAATAAAACACCAATTTGGGAGTATATTATATTTTACATCGATAAGACAATCAGAATCCAATACCGTGACAAAAATATTTCAAATAGTAAAGATTAAAACATTAAATGTCAATAAGTCGTACAACTATAAATTTTATCCCGAGAACCAAACGAGTATATTATAAATTGGAATTTTTCCATATAATATCATCAATACAACCTAATAGAAAGCTCGGTTGGTTCTTATACTACGCCACGTAGGTAAATGATCTTAAGATCACATACCGTCTTTTAGCCGCCAAGTAACTTACCACCATTTTTAATATCAATCAGTTCTAATAATTAGCACATTGATTAAGTATATCTTATAATGATAAATATAGTCAAACTACACATCAATATGTTTTTAAAGAGTAAATTCAAATTTTATTTAGTATCCATCCATTGAAAATTACACCGAAATAGTTTTGATCAATTATGAAACTATTACACATAACTATTTATTATGTGATTAAATACCAGAAGAAACACATTGTTTCACGAAGTAATAGTAATTGTAATAGATTTTGCATAGTTGCATAATGATCCTGTCTTACAAAATTGCAGGTAACATTAATGCATACATTTACATATTTAAAAGGGTTTCCATGACTGCTTTGAAGTTTGATTCTGGCAACACGGTGCAGTGTGATGATCGGTAGTCACGCATGTACTTCTCAATCTTAAAAAGAAAGTATTGCATTAGATATTTTCGTCTATAAAACTGTATAACCTAGCGATTAATTTACATACCATCCTAAGAAGCCTCCTCTTTGACTCAGGTAAATCTGTCCTAGAGAGTACAATGCGTTGTTGATCAGACAGAGCGACGCAAGCCTGAAGTAGATCAATCACTGGCTTCTCTCCGTTTATCTCCTCGAAAAATTCCGGGTGACGACTCACCACAAGTCTCAGGAACAGGTAATTTCCGCGGTTGGTAGCAAGCTGGCCTTGGCTGCAAGAAATATTATTAATTAGACCATATTAGGTTAAGCAAAATTTTTTTAATGAACAAATTAAGATTCCTAATTATAAATTCATAGAGCGGATTGCATTTTCTATGATGTGTAATATAAAATTATCACCGTATGCAAATAACTTCATCTTCAGTACGGCGAACCAATTGTACGGGGCCAGGATATCTCACAAGCAAGTCGCCAACGTTGAGATCAACATAAGAACGAATAACTTCCTTCACAAGATAATTCCATGAGCTGGGCATTTGTTTGATAGCCAGGGGCAAGAGATCGTCGAATGAAGCATCCAAAATCTGAAAACATGGATATAGTAAGGTAATCATCGATAAAATAATCTAAACAGCAAGTTTAAAGGATATATGTGGTTTTGTTTGGTACTTACAAGACCTCTCATATCAGGATATGAAGCAGCGGCCCAGGCGGATACGTAGCCTCCAATGCTCCAACCAAACATGACAATATCCTCAACTCTGAAGTCAAGTTCGTTAATGGCATATTGGACAACGGCGTCAATGGCATTTTGTTCTTGACGTGGGAAGGGAAATCCCTAAAAATATATAAATTGGTCAAATAATTAAGGTGTCACTTAAATCGATATGAATAAGTCTACGAAAAATAATATACATCGATATCCATATAAGTGATTTTAAAATAGATATAGTTACCTGGAGCCGCACTCACAAATGAAAATTTTGATTATTAAAATATCATAATATACGATAACGAGTAATTTCATTAAGACTAACCGTACTGTCACCAAATCCTGGATGGTTCCAGCCCAAGGTCGAGAAACCGGCTTTAGCTGGTGTTACCATTATGCCGACTTCATAAAAGCCAGAGTTACCCTCGCTGCAGATCACAAGGATCCTTCCATTCAAGGAAGTCAATCGGTTGTCGACAAACATCGTGTCGATAGTGTTTCCATCAGCAGTTACAATTCTTGCCCTTTTACCATTATAGACCTCGACGAGGTTCAATCTTCCTTCTTCTAGCGCCGTCCCTGGATCGCCAGTATATATTAACGGAGAAAAATAGTGTGGTCATAATCAATGATTTAATTTCAGTTCTGATAAACATTATAACGCTACCCACATAGAATGTTCTGGAGCACCCCAACACAACCAGGATATATGAGGCGTATGGCGAAGGTGTTAATAGCGAAGTAGGCTAGTATTTGTATGGCAACTCTCTTGTAATACGGAAGTTCGGGATTAGCACATTTGGAGAATGGGTTGACAGCAGGTTCACTGGAAATGGTAAAGGAAATTATTATTTTTATTACAAGGCCAGTAAATTAACGTTCCTACTCAATATCCGATTATAGCTTACCTGGCAATCGGGTCCATGATAAAAGAAATTGGCCAACGATTGAAATCGAAATCATATTTGCGGATGCTTTCTACGTAACTCTTCTCGTCAACAACGGGTCTGTAGAGAGTATGCAAAAATTCCACGTAGTCGGGATTAGAAGCTCTCCCCAGCGATCTCATGAACAGGGTCAAAGAGAAGAAACATCCGACAGTTCCGATGAGATAGAAGAGCGTGTTCATCTCCTCAACGGAGAAAAAGCCTCTTTTAAAAATATACATGCACAACAATGGCGATGTATATACACCCATGTTTACAATCGTCCTAGTCTGCGGATCGAGAAATTAGCATTGTTATTTTACTTGACTGTGCTTGAAGTGTAAATTGTTTCAATTGTAACTTACCGCTGAGAGCAGTTTAGTAGCGACTTGTTCCATAATATTAGGTTCATAGGCACCCTAGAAAACGACATAAATAATTAAAATGTGAAAAGAAAATTTTATTACAAATAGGCTTTAAAAATATGTCAACATGAGATTGATGCAATAATATTTAAGAAGTATACAACAAATAAATATAGATATTCCGCCTGTAAGATTTGTTTATTGTTGATTTTAAAAAGCGGCAAAATAAATTAAGGAAAGCATCTAACTTTAGAATTCAACCTTAGAAAATATATTGTATACATTTTAATTAATGATGCATAAGAATACGAAACATTGTATACAACGCGCAAGGTATCATGATCATAACATCGTAAGTCCCAATTCGCCATTTGCAGAACTTTTTAAATTGCATTCAATGCGTTATTAAATGTAGAGAGGGAGAGCCTGCGAGGTTTATGTATTGATTTTGTCCTATAGCAATTATAGAATTGAAGAGATTATGTGGAAGCTTGCGCGGTAAATATTTGCGCAGGTAACAAAAGCTTTCAAAATTCGATATTACGACGCAGATGCAATGGATCCTGTAGGTATATCATCTATATAAGTCCGATGGCGCCGCTGGACCCTATGCATATACAAACATGTATGTTTAGGTATTTGAGATCATAATATGTTGTTGCCCAGTTTTTTATACACACACGTTTTGCCGCAGAAAATTATATTTTACTTGAATAAATAAAAAAATATATTTTTTTTTTGTAAATAAAGGTAAAACAAAAATGTATCAAAATATATTCATATAACGGTCAGAACTGATGAAAATAATGTATTTTTATGCACTAGGTAATTATTTTTAATGCAGTTACATCTGGTATTTGTTTTGTTCTTTTCTATATCCAATAGAAAAGAAATCAATTTCTTAACATAATAAGCATACTAGTTTTTTAGTTAACCGAGAAGCTGACAAATATATTCCATTCAGGTAAATATCAATATATTATAAGGCTTAGGTAGTTTTTATTAATAACATCTCCAATTTTATTTGCCGGAGAATTGCAATATCCACAGCTTTTCAATAAAACCCTCATTATGTAGATATTGAAACTATTAGGAATCAATGAAGATAGCCAGCGGATTAAATTAATTAATTTTTGGTTGTTGACAAATGATAAAAGAATGGAAATTCTTGTTCATTCCATAATGATGTAGAAAAGATTTGCATTTGATACAGCCTTCTTTTGATTAACCATTATGTTAGTAAACATAAATAAAATATGCATCTCATCTTCATGATATGTAGTAGGTTTCTTCAAATATGAACTTGAGAACCACATAGCCAAAATCAATGAACACAAATTATATTTGTATGCATGTTAGAGGGAGAGAGATGTCATAGTGGAGGTGGAAAATCAATATTGCAACGCATCTTGCTCCCTCTGCAATTTTGGTGATGTATAACAAAAATAAATACATGACATATAAAATACCAAGGATTCCTTTTTTGTTATATTTTATTTAAACCAAACTTTATATTTCAGTTTCAGCACCCTTTACAAAAAGAAATAAAATTGATATACATATTAAAGCATGCGGATATACTTACATCGCCGTCGCCTTGTCCATAAATTCTGTACAAACGTGGTGAAAATACGCAGTCTAAGATTAATTGCATCATTTTCGGCGTCTTATACTCTCAAGTTAATAGAAATAACAGTATTTATTTTAGCTTTATCAAAAAAATATCAAAAATGTAAATGAAAACTGAGTTTATAAAGATTTAGTATACCAAAAGATATTAAAATGATATATTTTTTTATTTGTACGCTCTTTTATGCGATTTAAATTTATAGGTTTTCCTATTATTGCACTAATAATACACACTTCCAACCTATTCCACTTCAAATCACTAACTGAGTCCCTGTTCCTGTTTCCTATATTACGTCTGTGGTTTCTGTATGCTGAAATAATGAATAGGTAATCAATACTGAACTCGAGCAAGTCTACCAACCTAGTTGAAAATTGTTATAGTGTCAACTTAAAAAATCAAAATATTATTTCGTAATTAATTAATTCGCATATATAATAAATTTTTCAGTAAACACACACATTAAAAAGTAAATGAATATTTATATAATAGATTCTACTATAATATGTAAGAGTCATAAGTTTGAATAAAGTTTTATTGCCCTGTCATCTTTTCAAATATATTTGGTAAAAATATGCAAAAATTTAAAACATTTTTCATATTATTTATCGACAAATAGCATTTGAAAAAGTCGATGAATCTCTAAATATGAAATATGAATTAATAATAAAAATATTCCCATTTATCACTATTGTCAGAATGTATTGATTATATTTAATAAAAAAAACATGTTTTATAATGAAATAAATTAGAAAAATGAATAGGACGCACTTTACATCACAATATTATTTTATATTTATTTGTATATTTTATACCACAGAATATGTATATTTTATCACAGTCTATATTAGGTAATTGCGTAGACGATAATGTAACTAATAATTGACAATTGACAACTGGCTCTGGCTTTTTTGAGATCGTTATATTTTTATTATTTTAAGTATCCATTTGACTTCAATTCAACATATTTGGTTTTCTGTTAAATAATTTAATCATATAGTCATGAAAAATGATTGCGTTACGTATGAAGGCCTTATTTATATTTTTTGTTGTTGCACCGTCTGTTACACCCAGGATACACAAGCTGTCTCTTTCGGTATATAATAATACATTTACTAACCTTTAAATGCCTTTATATTTTTAAAAATTCCCTTATATCTTTATTAACTCACAAACATTTTATAATTACTATATATATAAAATCTTAACATCTACCTTTACCATTTACACCATTTTTTAATATTTGGCTTTATAAGTAGTGCCCTAAATTTAAGTCCTTATTGCTTTATCTGAAGAATGATTATATTAAAGAAATTTTCGTTTACATTGTTTAGGATGATGAGCGTCATTATGTAGATCTTACTACTTTTGGTTTCTATCAAGGAGGCATATTAGATGTTCAAATGGTCAACTTTCGATTACCATCTGGACCAGTTTATGGCGAGGTAAGTGAAAAGCATAAATCTATAATATTCGTATACGCCTTAGTAATTTGACTTAATCTCATTTCATGATTAGTTTTATTATGTATGAATACAATTGATTGTTGTTAGTTATTTTATGTTATTTTGTGGCTGTAATGTAAGAACATGTAAAGTCATATACATATAACACAGTAACATAATTTTTTTTCATCAAATTAATAATGAAATTAATATGGCCTTGAGAAATTATAAATGCTGTCATAAACAAATTTAAAAACCAGTGACTCACTTTACAATGTACAAGAAATACTTAACAGCAATCTTATCAACAGAACTGGAACACATATATAATGGTTCAAAGTTTGTTGATAATGATACTATTTTGTGAATTTGAAATGGTTTTTATCAGTTTTGTAATTATGTGGTTGCATTAAATTGTTACCAATTTGTTGACTGATGAGAAAGATGTCTAGTATGTCCTTTTATTAAAAAACAGTTTGTAAGATTTGCCCTAGTTTTATATATTTAAATGAAACTAATATTTTTCAGATTATGCTACATGACTTTATTTTTGTAAAAAAGTACATACTTTCGATGTTTCGGCTACTGTACAGCAACTGTGATTTTATAAAAATTAGTTGCATAGTATAATCCCAAAAATATTAGTTTCATTTAAATTAAAAAAAAATATAAGATAAACTTGATTAATCAGTAGTATGCATCTTTAATACAGTATGGATTCACCTTGGACCGCACAGCAAGTGATGCTATCAACCCTTATTTGGAAGTTCACTCGGACACATGTATATTAAAAGGTGTTGAGAGTAGCAGTACCTTGTTATCGCCTCACCATCCGGCAATTGTCTTTTTGAAAATGGACTTTGAAAACCTCAGGTGAGATAGGATTTTAACCCATGCATACTTTTGTTATTTTTTCATGACATTACCTGCCAATATCATTTTAAAATATTAGCTGAGCAAATCATTGCATTTATGTATATTGTTTTTTTTTATTTGTTGTATATAAGCTGGAAGAATATTAGAATATACTTATTGACAAAATGTATGTTTTAAAATATGAACAGAGATCTATAATATAAAATTAGATGTATTGTGAGATATTTATTAACAGCTGTTTACTTTTTGAAAGCGATTGTGGTTGTATTTTTAAGCAATGCCAATTATGAAGTTGTTTGTATATCTGACATGAAATAATATGCTTTTGTGATAACATGATATGTTTACCATACCATACATTTGCCATTCCTCTTAAGAATTACTATTAGAACGAAGAATTTACAATCCTGTCTAAGATTATCTCAACTAGTAACTTTGTATCAGAATATATATTTTATTTACAACTAGTTTTCCGCCCGCAGCTTCGCCCGCGTGGAGTTCGGTTATATCGCGTTTCCAAGAGAACCTTTCCAAAGTCTGGGATAAAAACTTTCTTTTCTGTTCTTTCTCAAGGTCAACTCCATCTCTGTACTTAATTTCATTAAAATCAGTTCAGTGGTTTAGGCGTGAAAGCGTAACAGACAGACAGACAGAGTTACTTTCGCATTTATAAGTAGGGATTAGATTGATTGAATTGTATCAAAACGTTTTATCACAGTTTGAGAGTTCTTTATATGTAAATTTATTACTATGGCGAAATACTATACTTTTTTGTTCAGTTAAATTATTTAATTATGCTATTAATGCGAATATTATTATAAATATATGTTATTTTGTAATGCTATGCGTTTATAATTTTGGAAATAAAAAGAATTTCTTGATTGTCCCTCTTATAGACATTCAATGTGAAGCTTTACTTGAACTGTATGTATCTTTAACGTGAATATTTCTTATGTTGTAGGTTGAACATAACTTGCGAAGGCGAAGTTGTTGCTCTGCATCTTTACCCAAATCGTTCTATGATACCTATCGACAGGACCAAGAGACAATCGCAATATATGTTTGTGAATAGGCGGCGAAGATCACTCGACGGTATTAACATTAATTTATTATACATTTTCCTCATTTAAGACAAATGGCTTTTTTATATAAGTTATGATTATCCTATAAATAGTAAGCCTATTATTTGCTATAATCACAGATGACTTGGATGTGAAAGTTCTTGGTCCACAATGCTCGCACGCTGTGCTACCCATAACAAAAGATACACGCGACGGTTACGACTATTACAATACAAGTGTTAGTATAATAAACATGAAATATTAAATCCTATTATTTAAAAAATAATGATATAAGAAGTTTTTAGAATTGATACATCACTAGGTGATTGTATGATATTTTAACAAAAACCTATTATGTAAATATTTAGCTAAATATTGTCATAATTAATTGGACATTTCAGTTTGCAATGTATGTGGCATCTGATAAAGAAGAAGGTCTGTACAACTTATATTTCCACAATTGTCCACGAGAAGACACCGGTGTTGCCACACCTATTAATGTTATGGTAATATTAAATTTTTTATCTACAATTAATGAAATATAATTTTAAAGAAAAACACATTACATATAAAAATTTCAGATCGAAATATATGAAAGCAACGACGGAAACTTCTTATCAGCTGGTGAAATGCCACTTCCAGCTCTATACAGCATGATGTCACTAATATTCTTCCTAAGTGCTGGCTTCTGGACATTCATACTAAAAACTAGCAGGAACAAAGTCTACCGTATACATATCATTATGTGTGTGCTTGTGTATTTGAAAGCTATATCTCTGGCATTCCATGGAATAAACTATCATTTCATACAAACAAGGGGAGAGCATGTCACCGCATGGGCCATACTCTTCTATATAACACATCTGTAAGTTTGTCCTTCAATATCTATCTCCTTAACTTATTGACTTACAACAGATTTTCCTAATACATAACAAAACAGGATTTGAAAAAAATGTATAGGTTTTTTAATTAACAGTTGGAACAGACCGTCAAACGGATAATATTGTTCTTCTTAATATTATCATGTAATTAACACTCAAATATTGAAACAGAACAATACTTTCTATCTTATATCAATATTATTACTGGCTAAATTTCAACTGTATTTTCTAAGTTTTTCTTTGAAAATATATTGTACAAAAACATCTAAATCTACCACGAAATTCAAGTTTCATGAAATAACAAAGTTTTTTAACCACTATCAGTTCAGCGATACTTTGTCGTGCATCTATTAACTCTATGTTAATATAAAGTATTTGGCTGAAGTCGAGGTTATGAACTAGTTAAAATACAGCTTTTATATGTCAAATAATGTATTATTGAAATATTTTTTTCTCTAATTGTAAATGGTTTAAGCTCCTGAATTGTTTTAATAAATTAAAAATTTACTTTATAGAAGTTCATACAACTACTTTTTAATAAGCAAGTTATTACATTAGTGATGTAAATAAATGTTTCAGGTTGAAGGGTGCTGTTTTGTTTGTGACTATAGTACTGGTGGGCACCGGATGGAACTTCATAAAGCACATCCTCGCTGACAGGGACAAGAAGATATTCATGATAGTTATACCGCTGCAGGTGATTCATTATAGTACATTTTGTATTTATACAGGGTGACTGGTGAATTACTATCAATATTTAAGGAGAATACTCGGTACATGATTCTCATTCGAATTATGTAAAAAAAATAGGTACTTAATTTTTGACCAAATTTCCGTATAAATAAATAAAGTGTGGACACGTTCCAAGTGTTCCAAGTGTGGACGCGTGCGGCGGCGTGCTGATACAACACCACACCGCCGCACGCGTGTGTGTGTGTGTATACCTAATCTGTAGGGTGTTCACACGATGCGTAATTAATTACATAACTTTTGGTTAACTTTACTTAGAAGTTTATTAATATTTATGTTATATTAATTTTTATTTTGTCATATATGAACGTCAAATATCACGTCCTCAAATATCGATAGTAATTCACCAGTCACCCTGTATATAGTCTTAAATTTCATAATTAATTTTTACATATCTGTTTGTTTTATAATCTATGGGTTGACATATTTACTTTGACTAGCGATGGGTATGATTTTAGCAACATCCTTTAGCAGAGTTTTGATTATATTTAACGACGTAACTCCAATTATAAAGGAGTAATATTTAAAATACAAAGAGAGGTTTAAAATTTCATTTGAAGGAATAAAGAGATTTATTTGCTATTAGATGATGTTATATGACTCAGTGAAGCAAAATTTGCTTTAACATGGAAAAGCCTTTTTAGATAATTCCAAAATAAATGTTAATAATACATTATTGAGTTGTATCTTTATATGTATCCAATTTTCTTAGACATATGCAATAAATATGGATAGGTTCTTTTATAGAATTCATTTACGTTATATTATACTTAGGAGTCAAATAGTTATTGCATTTTAAGATTTCCATTATGATTTTCGTGTAAAAAAAGTAACTAAACGCAATGTTTCTTTTAGTTTTACCGTAATGACAAGAAAATAAATTTTATTAATTTATATATCAGAGTAAGTACGTATATCCTTGTAAAACTTTGGTTTATTAAGTATTAGTAGGATGTTATGAGGAATTCAACACTTAAATAAATACTTCTTAGAAATATCTTTGTAGTTAATAAATAACGGCAAAATAATCATATAACTCTATCTGTATGTTTAGCGAAAATTTGTATTGTTATACAATAATTAAAATTATTAAAGTACATTATGGAATTTTATAAAGTTTACCATCGAAATACTGTGAAATCTCTTAATGGAATTCAGAATGATAATACGCACACCGGACATTTATTCATATGTATAAGAAATGTTGTTTGTACAAAATACATAGTTCAAAAATTTCACAAGTACTGCACTATCCACACAAATTTTTAATACTAGGATTTTTTCTGATATGACCAATTTATTCGTATATATTTTTAACCTGTTACATCTGTAGCGAATTACGTAATAGAAACATGATAATATGTTTCTCTTGATGCTACCTAGTTTAAAGTTCATAAGGTTGATAATTGTTGATTGTCTAATAAAAAGGCTTACTTTGCGACATCGCAATTTTGTCAGAGATTTTTAAAGATAACATTTGATCATTATACAGGGTGACTGGTGAATTACTATCAATATTTAAGGAGAATACTCGGTAAATGATTCTCATTTGAATTATGTAAAAAAAATAGGCACTTAATTTCTGACAAAATTTCAGTATAAATAAATAAAGTGTGGACACGTTCCAAGTGTTCCAAGTGTGGACGCGTGCGGCGGCGTGCTGATACAACACTACGCCGCCACACGTGTGTGTGTGAGTGTGTGTGTATACCTAATCTGTAGGGTGTTCACTCGATGCGTAATTAATTAGATAACTTTTGGTTAACTTTACTTAGAAGTCTATTAATATTTATGTTATATTAATTTTTATTTTGTCATATATGATCGTTAGATATCACGTCCTCAAGTATCGATAGTAATTCACCAGTCACCCTGTATATACACATACCACTTATAAATCATAATGCTTATATTATAATTTATATATTATTGATTTGTTTATATTGTAAGTAATTTCAATAATCAACAGGTGGTGTCGAATGTTGCTGAGATTATTATAGCTGAGAGTGAGAAGGGAGCGGCTGAACACAACGCCTGGCGCATACTCTTCATATTTGTGGACATGTTATGCTGCGGCGCCATCATGTTTCCGGTTGTTTGGTGAGCTTAAATATGTTTATATAATATACTTATTATACATATACAGTAATGATATCTTGTATATATGATTGCTATTTTTTATTACTGTTTTTATGTACGTTTGTGATACTAAGTTTAGTAATTACATGTTCTTTCCTGACTATATATTATATACATTGATAAAATCATGTAATCATAATTATTTAACTTGTTTCTCTTACTCGTGGCTAATTATTATTAATATTTAATATTCAATCTCCAATATATTAAATGCTCAATCATTGTAAAAAAATATTCTAGAATACATTATGTTATGTTATTCAATCGCTCAACTTAAATTAACTCTGTGTTAAAGAAGCTCATTTAAATACACCTGTATAGGTGTAATATATATTCTACTTACTTAATGATCCAAATAATAAACAGTTATCAATGTACAGGTCAATTCACCACCTAGAGGATTCATCGACCACCGATGGCAAGGCCGCTGTGAATCTCCGCAAGTTAAAACTGTTCCGTCACTTCTATGTCATGATACTCTGTTATATATACTTCACGAGATTCATCGTATCTATTTTGGAGGTAATTTTGATCATTTATCAAGACATAAACTTCTTTGTATATATTAATTCATACTTTGTATTGGCCTATTTCTATGGGGAAGTTAAAACTTTGTTAATATTCAGAACACAGTACCATTCCAATATTCGTGGATAGACGAGATGTTCCGTGAGATGGCTACCTTCGTGTTCTTCGTCACCACCGGGTACAAGTTCAGACCGGCCGCTGCCAACCCTTACTTCACGCCAACAAATCTAGACGACATTGAACCTAAAGTGTAAGCCGTCATAAGATTAAATATTCAATGACTCAATTTATATTGAAAATTATATAGCCAGAATTTTATATAGTTTTAAAAAATATGTAGATTTAGCGGACTGTGCTATTGTTTACATACTTCTATCTATCTTTTTCCTAGTTACTGGATCTCGCCAGGGTATGTATAGATCGTGTTATCACCGGTTTGATAAGATTTCGTTTATATTAGTACCTACATCAGATCCATTAAGGGACATTTTTCGAGTTCCTAATTACCGTACCAACTACATCCATCGCTTATGCACGCACTGGTCATAGATCCTTTCAACACGTGTACATTAATAATAATAATAAATCATCCTTTACATATATTAAAGATGTGGAAAGATACATTAACGTTTCTTTATATTACAGATTGTCTGATATCGGAGTTCTCGACGGTTTGACGAATAGAGAGAAAAAGAGAGAAGATATGCAACCACTGATGCAAGAAACTAATTCGGATTGAAACAGCTCAAAAACAAAATATATTGATGTATTATATATATGTTGTAATGTGTAAAGAAGCAATTTATAAATATCGCTGTTCTAAAGAGTCCGATTCGTGGATGTCGTTATAAAGGACTCATATCAAAACGTGTATTGTAGAGGAGTGATACAAGACATAGTAAAATATATATAAATTATTTCAATATTAGCATATACAGATTATAGATGAAATATAAATAGGACAAGAGAAATAGAGCAAAGACACGTTTTTATCACAAACGGTTGTCAGTAACGAACAATAGACAATTTAATTTTTTTATCAAAATTTTGATTTAAAGGTTATAGTTATAGCTTTATCCAAAATAATAATAATAATAATAGCACCAAATGCTTTAAAAACAATGAAATTTATAATTAGCATATTTCACTTTTTAGTGTCAAATAAATTCATTTACGGCAATTGGACTAACAAAAATATTTCGTAGTATAAATAATATTGTAATAGTATAGCAACTGGTATGTATTTTGAGTAAAGTACGAAAACGAAGTCATAATAAATAGGTAAAATTTCGTTCTTGTACTTAATGATTTTTAAAAGAATAAGTTTTGAATTTAATTAAAGAAAATAGTTTTTTAATAGTTCTTATATTTCTATATATTTCGCTCGATTTAAAATCTCAGTTTAAAATTTTAAAAAAAAGCAAAAAAAAAACATCTCTTATAGTAATAAAGTTACTTAATTTTTTTTATTCTGGCACTCCTCTACTCTATGTACTTAAACACCATATAAAATTACATATTATATATTAAAATTATATATTATATTTAATATCCATGTTATATAATATATATTTTTAGACATAGATTATATAATGAGATGGTCCAAGGCTGTAGTTTTAACCCACAAGACGATATATTATTCTGATTTTGTTTTATTAATTATTTATATATTTTTTTATTATTTTTATATGGTCTGTGGATTTCGTTTAATAGACGTTCTTCTTTGATCGAGTTGTTTTTCTTGTAATGTATTTTTGAGATTTGTTCGTGTGGTCGTAATCAGTTAATTCCTAATTTTTTAAAGCCTCTTTTTTTGACGTACGCTCCGTCCTACGTAACATTTTTTGCTTTATTTTTGTTTCATTTCGTTTGTGATTATATATAAGTTTACAATAAAAGTGTAGTTGATTATAATAATATTATTAGGTAATTGAATACTGTAGTAATAAGTTGGGTTGTTTATTGTCAGTCATTGGTATACAATATTTTAGGATTCTTAACAAAATATATTTTAATGCAGTATAGTGTAGACTCTTTATAACGACTTTCAAACGCATTTCCATTATTATATAGAGTTTTTCTTATTTGGTTTTAGTAAGAATACCACGAATTCTTATAATATATACCTATATAAAACTCTTAATTTGTTAATTATGTTATTTAGAACACCCTGTTACTTGTTACGTCATTGTCATACGTTCTTTAAAAATCTACATGTTTCTGAGATTTTCTGGAAAAAATATTATTGTATTTCTAAGATTTTTCTTGCTATCAAGTCATGTGTTCATGAACGATTGTTAATAGTACATATTCCAATACATTATCACTAGATTCTTTAATGTGCAACTTTGACTAGATTCTTTTCTGTGGAACTTTCTCGAGAGCAAGTTCTGTTCTGTATTTTTGGAAATCGATGCTATAAATTCAGTAGCATAGTGTGATGTTTAATTATTTCGCATAATATCTGTCTGCCTGATATATATTTGGTATTTAAAGATAGTTTTTCGTTATAAAGAGTTTTCATGTAATTTCAAAACTTTCTGTATTCAAACTTTTCTTACCAATACGTTGTTATAGAATAGACATGATACTATCGATTAAAAAGTGATACATTAAAATGATAACATCACATTTTCAATATTAAATATCTTTTCAATTATATTCAACTAGTACTCTTACATTCCGTGAAATAAGAAAATTTATCGCATTTCAAAATATGTATTTTGATTTGTTCATAAATTTGAAATTACCATATCTTAGGATAATATACTGTCAATTAGAAATGCCATTGGCAGTATATCTTGGAGAGGATTATCGATTTTATTTATTCAGATGAGGCTATCAATACTGACTAATAAGTTACTTTTTTATATTTTTTTCTCTTATTAATTCTTCTCTGATATATAAACAGTTAGTCGGTTAGATAGTAGAAGAAGTACCTTTGAAAATTCTATAGTGAATTACACAATAAAGAAGTATCGAAAATATGCAATAATTTTTAAATTTATAATAGAGTAATAATAAGTATCAAAGATTTTATAGAATTTATAATTTTAGTGTTTAGTAAAAAAATTTTTTGCACCTCACATCTTATTTAATATGCATTACATTAGTTGTACTAATCAGATAACAAATTACAATATATTATGTCTTTGTAGTCAACCGTTTTCAATAACAATTTTAATATCTTTGGTAATTATAACAGGTTAATTTTATATTCTAATAGTCTTATCTAATATATTTTAGTGCGTCAATACATTATAGCAATAATAATAATAATAATGTTACTTGATTTTTTTTTGTTGTACACTTAATTCAGATGGTTGTACATACATGAATAAATAGTAAAAGAATTTTGTGTTTTTATTGTTACGTCGGGATTTTTTAGGTAATACATATATTTGATTGATATAGACCGTAGTCTAGCTTTAAAACTTTACATTTAATGAGAACAGAGACAACAATAAGCATTTCTATAAATATGTTTTAAATAAAAATTACCATGACGTTTATAAGAATATATATTTGGAAAGTTTGTTTCAATTTTGGTAGTTTTTCATACAACCGTCTTTGTTGATTGGTATCGTAAAAAATATATTATAATTTAGTGTGACTATAATGTTGCTTGAAGTTATTAGTGGTGTGTTATTTTCGTAGTTAATTCACAACTGCGTTTAATTTTATGTTTTTAAAATTAATTTTTTATTTATTTCTGACACCACACCGCACTTGGGTGTAAAAAATGAGTTACACGTTGAACAAGGACACCATAAAGAGTAAAATCATTTTTGTGGAAAGGCTACCAGAGCTTTGGAATATTTAAACCAGTGTTAACATATAGACTTTAAAAGCAATAAATAGTTACAAAGTTGCAATATTTTTAAAGGATAATACGAAATCTTTCCTTGTTTATATTCAATATGTTCATTTTTAATTTCACAGAAGTTTTCATGAAAGAAAATTTCTGTATAGGTATAACTCATTCAGTCATTTATAGTTAGAGTTAAGACTTTGCATTTTGTATTCACTCATTAATTATTAAGATTGTTTTGCGTTGGCGTCTTTTGAGATTTAGTATTACAATCGTATCAAAAGCGGTTGCACAGCGGTTATCTATGTTGAACTAGTATCACCTAATAAGTTGCGTGGTTTCAGTTTGGGAACAATTTCTGTGTCATTTATAAACAGACATTTCTCAGAAACAAAAATTCCGTACAAGTGTGAACAGTGCAGAGATTAATGTTTGACATTTATGTCGTAGTCTAAACGTACCATAACTTATAAGGGGAATGTACAGATCGTATAACGTATACGCTTTTAAGCTATTTTAAGGATTCTTAGTATTTAAATTGTTTGGACTACAGTCTAAATGTAAATTAAACTTTTCAACAAACATTCCGTATACCTATTTTAAAAATGAACGTAAATATATGTATAACTATTATAATAAATGCATTACTATGTATTCTTTAACATTTTTTTGCTCTATTATTTCAAATTATAGAATGAAAACATATAAACGTATATAATGACTATATAATATCCATAATTTTTCTTAGCTTAAGATTTAGACCAAATACTAGATTTCAAAAAAAAAAATAAAATTGCCTGTTTCTAATTTTCAATTACCTAACAGATTTTACTAAACGCATATTATACATTCGTAAAAGTATACCTATACAATAAGATACAAAAAAGCACTCAGAACCACGCAGTAGTAAGATATATTGTAATATAGTATAGTTGGATATACCTATTAATAGAAAAGTGTTGTCGATAAGATTAAAATAGAGGTATGATCTGTGACATATTAAAATGAATGGCCTTCACATTGTTTGGGTTGTCCTCCGGAAATTAAAAACCACAGTCAGCAGTCTGGCTTCAGATTTTTTTTATTACAATACATCTTATCTTTTCTTAAATGGCATTTTTACCAACAATTAGATTTCTTTATACAGGTATTTAGACTTGCTTATAACAGTTATGAAAATAAATATATTAAAAGTTAAATTGTAAAACTCGCGCCCAGAGTAAAATCACCCCAGAGTATAAATATAACAATTTCAATCTTCTACAAATGATAGTATCATAAATTGTGTCATATCCACCAATAAAAATAGATCCCACAACTCTTAGCAAAACAAGATTATAGTACGGCATTTATTTATTTTTTAATATAAAAGTGATTATGTAATGTAATATGTTAATGATTGATTATTATCAAATATTACCTTTCTTTTAACACTCGCAGACAGTTTATTGTGGTTGCGGAGATGAATTGTGGCAATGGGCCAAACATTCCGACCGGCCGTACATAGCATTGATGTGATTAAAATTTTACTAACACAAATATTTCAATAAAGATAAATATGATAAACGTGAGCCACAAAAATTATTAAAAATTATGTCGTTATAATATAGATTTTTAGGCGAATCATAAATATGTCAATGGTGATCTATAATCATCTTATACGTATTTGATTCGTGAAGCGATTATACCTTACTATTAGTAGTAAAGCACATAAATTATAAATACTCGTATATAATATAATCCATGCTTTAAACTTTGAAAATTTTGTATGAAATTAATTTGCGGTATCGGTTATAAAGCAATGTCCTCTAATCTGTGATCGTCATTGTAGTGCACCTTAACACTATAATTATACAGAAATCGAGATTCGCGGAGGAGTTTGGCCTGTCGCCACGGACACGTGGCGCATAGCGTCAGGAAGCTGTTCGTCGCGACGTAAACATGCCTATTTGCAAAACTGATCTTGGCCAGATCTTGACCCATTAACACGGGTGCCGATGTCAGAGTAGTGTCGCTTAATATATTTTTAGCTGTTGGGCGGGAGCGGGGTGCTGTTGAGCCACTGAGTGTAGCGGCTAACGTTCGGACGCGGCACGCGAAGCATTCACCAAGTTCACCGCACGGCCGTACCATGCGCTGATAAAAATGACTTCTCGGGGCATCAGGCGGAAGAAATCTTCGCTGTCTGAAGTTAAAGTTGCGGTAGTGGGTGCACCTTCTGTCGGAAAAAGTGGTATGTGTGCGCCGATGGCAAGTGTAAGTGCAACTACTGTTGTACGATTTTCAAGATTTTCCGACAGACTGTAACATAGTGTTTTTATATTAGCTTATCTTAGTGGTTTTAACTTCATTATATTTTTAGAATAATTAAATACTATGGTGAAACAGTTGTAGTTCGGGATGTGGTGATTTTTAATGAAAAAGTTGGTTTGTTCGGTATTACAAGATAGCAGTATTTTATTTACTGTTTTAATTTTATTTTATTTTTAATGCAATTAAACAATTATTAATTTAAATACATTTATCAGTCTGGTTACAAAAAAATAAAAGGTATAATTTTCTTGAATAGTTTTAGAGATGTATATAAATATAAACACGGAAAAGAAAAATCATGTTGAAGCCAAAAAGGCAAGCCTGTCAAATTGAGTGACCTTAAGCGTTTAAGAATTGTTTCAATACACTTTTAAAAGATGCTTTTCTTACATTGAAAATTTACGTCGGTATTTCAATGACAACATCTGTTTCTCTCTCATGTTTCTCTCAACTGTTCAAGTTTGAAATTATATTTCTACATTAAAATTTTATATTTTAAGATAAAAATTAAATAATTTTGTTAATAACATTATTACAACTATTTTCATAGCTGTTGCGATCACTAATAAAAAAACGTCTTAATAGGGATGCTACTTAGCGATTATATTTTTTATTTTTTTTCTGTAATAGTTCTTTTTATTAGTAGTTTAAAATAATATTCATAGCTCAGGCGAATTATTTTAGGCGATTAATTTGAATGAAATAAATATTATGTTTATTGTGATTCCGTGTTTTATAACGAATCTCATTTTTAATAATCACATAGATACTTAGGGCTATATTCTTACATGAATATTAGCTTATTAAAAACAAGTGTGAAATAAATTTAGTTTCCTTAATAAAGTTTGGTTATAGCCAATTTTGGCGCGGACGTTATTGTTGACTTATTTGGGTCAATGTTCTTGAATTATGGTTAAATATTATTATACTATATTTTTTCATCATATATTTTATTTCATATATATATAACTAAGCCGATTATAATAGACAATGACGTGTTTTTAAGATCGACCTCTACAATTGACTAAAAATATCTTGGGAAATGTGTGAACAGTTTCATCGTACAGTTGATACGAGCGATATATCCTTGCGTCAATGCCCATTCTCTTAATTCAGTTAAACATTATCTATGTACTTTAATTTGGCTCCGAACTCTAGAACACAATTTATTAAAATTATCTTCTATAATATCCAAAATCTGGATCAAAATTGTACGAAAGATAATAAATTCCATTATATAAATTCAAAATATTGTATTATACTATTGACAAAATTATGTTTTTGAGCTACAAATAGTTTATGAAGATAATTTTACCACTCAAACGTATCCAAAAATGAACACCAACTTTCAAAAAAGCACTTTGCTTTTAATTTTCATATGTTTTAAATTTTATAAATATCTTTTTCAAGGCTGAAATATATAATTCTGTAGCAGTATTTTAAATAAATGGTGTAGTTTTTATGAAATATACTTTACTGTGTGATAGAAGTTCAGAGACGCGATCTTCAAATGATCTTGAAAATTTTATTAAATTGATGATAATGAGTAGTAATTAATGTCTTAAAAAAGATAATATTAGATGTTTTTTTTTATCAATAAGCGTATATTTAGTTTTAATATTAAATCTGAAATATAACATTTATTTTGAAGCTTTTAAATATATTTATGTGAATTAGTTCTTTATTTTCAATGGAGCTAGCATTCGTATTGTCTATAATATATACTACATATATATTATATATCTTGTTAGTATGTGATGAAATTAAAAGTTTCCTAAAGCTAACAAAGCTAAACTGAATGCTTCAATCGAACATCAGGGATTTAAAGATTACATGTAGTACTTGAGTTCATATTATTAGCGTTTCTGTTTTCGTTCTTATACACTAAAATGATAGTCATTCATTTCGGTATCTTAATAACATAAATTAGTGCCAAGTTATCGGTAGAGGGCTGGATTACATTCGAAATGAGAATAACATATCATTGAAAGATGAAGGCCTTTGACGAAATGCTTGGCTCCTACCTAATGATACATGAAACATAAAGAGGAAATAATCATTAACAGATGTAAAGGTTTCACGTGAACTCAGGGTCACATTCCGAAACATTTTTAATGTTTTAGCATTGAATTTAAATATTATAAGTGTGAATATGATACATTTTATAGCAAGGGCTTCTTTCACGTAGTTATATAGAATGCGTTATGAGAATTGGCTTTGATCTCGATTGGATCTTCTGAGAACTGGTTTGAATTCAATTGAAAAGTAATCATGAAAGTGGTCGTCACTTGTCCTTCTGTAAAACCATGAAGGAGTAAAAAAATATTATTATTATAAAGACTATAAATTCGCTTTAAAATTTTATGTTGTCTTCTTCTATTATAAAGAACAAATTTTCTTGTAAGGTAGCTATGACGAAATCAATATCATATGATGTTACACTTAGATTTCAGTGATGGCATTGTATAATTGAATTGAAAACTGATTACATGGGACGATAAAGTAGAGTTATATAAATTTTAATTTAAATAAATGAATATGTTAAAGTAAATTGGTGAGAATATGTTTAATTAATCTTAAGTACTGAATATCGTTACATTTCAAGATCGTAACACCGTCGGTCGTCAAAATATGTATGTATGGTGGTATGTAGAATCTACTTTGTTTCAGAGAATTAATTAACATTATATATTTAGTTTTAAAACCAAAATTACTTGATAGAAGTTAAATTATTGGGTGTTGTTAAATGTTTATTTAATACAAGTTTTTAGTAAATGTACAAAGTCATATTAAGTAGTCACAATGAGTTTTGTCCGTAAGTATTGTATATGAACATTTCAAAATCGTCAATAGATTGTCTTCCATAAAATATTCACATAGATATTAAAAAAGTATATTTTATTCTTTGCGTAGCTAATTAAAACAAAAAAAATGGTTATTTAATTTTAAATAATACCTATCTATAATAAAATTTAAACAAAAATGTTATAGCAGTCGTATGTAAATAACAGTTAGTATTTTTATTATTTATGAAATTCGTAGCAGGATTCACTTCTGTTAAATTAATTTCATTCAAAATGTACCTCAACAAACATAGTATTAAGTAGTTTAGTTTCTAAAATTACAGCCGTATTTTGTTTATTTCTTAGTTATATTTAGCAAATTCTCAGTTCAGCATGCATCTTAATTGCAAAGCGAAGGAAGTGGACTATAAAAGCAGTAATTATTCCTAATTAAACAGTACAAAATGGGCATAGTTACATTCAGATTTACAAAACATTTGAATTTATTCTTTTTTATATAGTAGATTCTTTTTATCTGAGAGTCTTATTATTATCTTACTATTAATAGTAGTATTGTATAGTAATTTGCTTTTTATATTTATTGATTAATTAGCTTCAATGATAAATACAGCAGAAGATAGTAACTTTTAAATAGGTAAATTGAGCCATAATTTTACTTCTTTGAAATTTGATTAATAATTGAATAATTATTGAATTAGCTGAATAGCCAACACATATACATATAAAAATCGTATGGAAAACTTGGTTTTCATAATACCATATAGCATTTCTTTCTAATTAGAATGCTGTAAGTTGGTCTATCGTCCTTCCGACATGTTAAGACGTTATTTTTATTGAAGGGATAAACTGAATAGAGGGGTATTTATATTTAGGGAAGTACAAGTGTAAGTATAATATAGTAATCATTGTACGCGCGTATTTGAAAATGCACAGAGGACCCTAAAAATATGTTCTGAAATGTAATATGAAAGTGTTAAGTATTATATTATTAGGTAATGTTTTTCATACTTTTATATTTAGTATGATTACATTTTCGATTCCTATAATATTTATAATCAGGATTTCAATTTATACTATAGTTTTATTATTACCATATAACATTGAAGTAAGCAGTCAATATTAGTTTCACAATAATTCTGCCAACTGTATCAGATATGCAGTGTAAGCTGTGAGAAATCGATGCTGAGTCAGGGTACATACTGCAACATCAATTTATTAAGATTCTATATTTGATTCATACACAATATTTGCTTTAAACTATTTAGTACCATACGAAAGATATATTTTCATTTTTTTATAAATTATAAGTAGGCAAGTGAAAAACGTGTCATAAACTGCATATACATATTTAGATTTTAAAATAACTTTAGCGATCGGCGTGGGCTCTACGTAGTTCCCAAACTATAAAATTCCTTGTTGAACGATGCGTGGCAATCCTGATATAACATTAAATTTATTTTTATTAAACATGAAACACACGCTAGTATTTTAATGCTCTCGTAATTTCGAAAACGATCGTTATTCTTGAGACGTATTTATTGTGTTCCGAACAAACAATGCTGACGCAAATATTAAGACAGATGCCGTCTGATTTTAACAGTTTATTTTAATCGGTCCCCCATTGTTGTGATTCAATTACTATTGCTTCATTCTCTACTTTTTATTCTTTTGAATCTTAACACTAAACTGTGCATTATACGATCATTGCAAAAGGTTTGGATGAACAAAAATTAATTATTCATATAAAATAAAATAAAATAAACATTTAAAAGATAAACCTTCGGCATCTGCCATCTTTGGCTATAATAAGTAAAATTGGGACTGAATGTTTAATTTTGAAATCTGTTGTGTTCACAATTGTAATATTTGCAATTATTTAGTTACTAACAATCATGCTTGTTATCAGGGAGTCATTAACTTTTGTCTTTCTAGGTGCAAATAATTTGAATTAATAAAAATATATAAAGCTTTCATAAATATACATACATAATTCACATAAACATTGTTTATACTCAGACTCGCTTTTCTTTTATTTTTAGTTATTGATTAGAAAAAATAATTGACCTTAAATAAAAGTTATTTTAGTCTCCCGATAGTCAAATTTAACATCAGCTAAATTTTCTATCGATGTTTATTTATTTAATAAATTCATCTGTCCTTCGATCAAACAACGTTTGTATACTAACGATTGGATTATTTTTGATTCAATTTTGTAAGAAATATATATTATTACAATCTGCTCCATATCAAACATTTCTAAAAACGTCGTGCCCTTCGCTTTAGTTCGCAGCGTTAAAACATACTTATACATTTTTTATACCTAATCGTGAAGTGTGTGTAAGATAATGTTATTATATATTTTCATACAAAAAAAATCTTTATTTCAGCGTTGACAGTCCGATTTCTCACAAAGCGGTATATCGGTGAATATGATCATCAGCAAGGTAATACTATCTTCATCAGTTCCGTTCTCCCTCCCCTTCTTTCTCTTTCTCTATATCCAGTTATACCATACAAACAATTCAAAAATCAATCACTTTCTTTTGGCAATAAAAATAAATTTCAAATCAGGCTAATTATTACTAATTATAAAGAGTAAACATTAAAAATATGAACCTGTCGATCATATTTATTTCATTCTATTTATTTCATCGATTGCATAATTTTGTTTAATTAAATAATTAAATTTGAAAATAATGGGTACTGAATAGTATTGTTCATTCCAATACAGAGTCTGTTTTATTTTTGTAATATTTAAATTAATATTATTTATGAATAACTTCTTAATGAACTTAAATTGTGCAAATATATTTGTTTCAGAAAGCAAATACAAGCACGAAGCACTTCTTGACGGTGAACCAATACTTTTTGAAATATTGGACACATGTCCAAAGGTAAATGTATTTTTAAAGTGTAATCAATTATAAATAGTTTAAGAATTATAAAATTATTATTATTATTGTTATGTGGATAACAGCGAATATTCACCAAAAATATCTATTAAATTAAATATATAGGTAATTCGCAATATTATTTCGTAAATGTGGCCATTTATAAGTTTTGTTTTATACGATGTATGTATGTACATGTGTGTATAATTTTTTTTCAGACTCTAGATGAATTGCCAGGGAGTGAAGTGGCTCAGTGGGCGGACGGACTGTTTCTCGTTTATTCTATAACTGATCGGGAATCATTCAACTACATACGACGAGCGAAACAGAACCTGCATCCAGAAGTACCAATTACCTTAGTAGGAAATAAAGCGGACATGGTCCATCTGAGACAGGTGTGATTTAATATTAACCATCTAGTGTTGTATACAGTATTTTCTCGCAAACTATTAATATGAGGCATTATCTTAATCTTATAGGTCAGTCAAGAAGAAGGTGAAATCTTAGCCAAAGACTTTGAGTGTAGCTTCGCAGAAATAGCGGCAGCTGAACAAGTGAACCAGGTCGGCGAAGTATTCTTTGATTTGTGTCGTGAGGTTCTGACGCATCGTAGAAGAGCCAAACATAGTCTTCTAGATAGAATGTTGGGATCAAAGACAGCATACAGAGTATACTCTCGTGGCAAGAGTGACAGCGCTCTACCCAAAGACTAAATAGGATGTGTATGCATTTAGTTTTATTTATGTAATAAATTATATAATTAATTATTAAAATATAATTAGCTCATTTGATAGCACAAATACTATGCTGTATGGTACAATGAAAGTGAAACATGTGAATAGTTACAAATATATTGATAATTGAGGGTATAAAGAAGCAAACACATTGATATAAAGTTGAATAGGGGTATTAAGTTATAGTACAAAAAAATATTTAGTATTTTAACTTATTTATCGACCATTTAAATATGCAAAAGAATTTCTTAACAAACTTTCAAAAACTTTTACTGTAGTCTTTGTTTGATTATATTTATTCATTCAATACAGAATACTCGCATATCCACTTCTTTAATACAAAATGTATAGTAGGTACCTATACTGTTAAGATTATGTATAAGTAAATATAACATTTCATTTAAAGACACCATTTGTATTATTTTATATTTTTCGTATTAATTATTATTAAAAGAGTTTGTTTTTCTGTTCATTTCGAAATTTTCACCTACCCGGAGAGAACGCTTGGAGACTTTTACATAAATACTATCTATGGATTTTTAATATAAATAAATATAAATGACATTTTGCTAAATAAAAGTGATGGTAGTTTGTATTATTTGAAACTATTGCTGAGGCAAGTAACGATTATTTTAAATGATGCGGCTTTGTAATGTATTTAAAATAATTGTTGGCAATGGAGTTTTATTTGTATTGTAATATTCTAAAATGAAATCAATACAATCCGCTAACCATTTGAATTCGTGAAAAGTATGTATGGAATACATCTGTGGAATCGGCATGTATTATTTGTATACATACCTACATACATATATACTATGAGTCATTATAATCACTAGTAATCAGTTAAAATTAAATAAATATGCCAATTTTATTCATTGTCTCTTGGACGATCACATAACTCGTCTAATGGACGTGAACCATTTAATGAAAATCAAAATAATAAAGCTATCAAATAACACAGTATTTCATTTCGAACCTATCTTTTCATACAAACGTTAGTGTATTGTTCAGCTATAATAGTTTTATCAATCAAAGCTTTGAAAAACATTCTTTTATTTACAATAGAAATAATGAGCTGCGATTAAAAAATGACTATCCGTCACAAAGGCAACCCCAGAGTCATGTATACAAAGGGTAATCTGTGCAAAGTGGCCCTAAATTAATATAAAGGCGCCTCCCTTCGCCGCAGGGAGTGCGCTGGAGTCACCCAATGGGCACGCAGCTTTCGAGTTACGTCACACTTTTGATGTCACTGCCAGATTTAAAGATGGCACCGTACCGATTTTGTTATTCTAATTATTATTATTATACGTAATACATCATCAACTACTCTATATTCTCATGACTTTTCAATTCTGTTACCACAGTTGCGGATGTTAATAACCGTAACTTTAATTGTAGTTTAAAAGTATTATAAAGTATATGTATGTTTACTAATAAAAAAATGTTAGTAAAAATTTATTCATTCTACGATGCAGTAATGTAAATTAAATTTTTAATTGTTCCTATTGTAATTAAAACTGCAAACTTTGAAAATCATTGATAACACATAAAAGCTTTGAGCTTTAAATATGTACTTGATCTAAAATAGATAAAATTCTAATAATGTATGCCAATTCTATAAAATAATAAAAAACTTATTTATACTTAGTTACATAATGATTGAAATAAAATGGATGGAATATAACAAATGCTAGTGCAAAAAAAATAAATCAACGGTCATAGAAAGGTAGTAAAATGTAATAAATATTACAATATATAAAATTATTACTTTGAAATTCGCTTAACTTATCAACATTAATTGTTAGGGCGGGCTGTAATGCACCCCGCGCGACGCTTCATCCCTTCAAACAGGCTGCGCGTGCGTCACTCGCCTCCTCGTCATTGAAGTAAACACATTAGTGACAGGCTGACAGTGCAGTGATAGTGATTGATTTATTTACAGGTAAGTCACCCATACACCATTATATACAGCCGAAGCGAAATATATAGCGACTTTTTTATTCCTGCTAAACACTAATATATTGTCTATTTTATGTATTTGCTGTGCGTACGTCCGGTTTAAGAATTTTTTTCGTTATAATATTTTTTATCGTTTGGTTTTATTACTAATGAATACATATGTGAGTTAGAATTTATGTTTCTGGTATTTATTTTTGGTAGTTTCTATCTTAAATATTATACCTATTGTTTTATTGTTAGTTAAGAATGAAAATGTATGTGTATTATTTTCTTGCATGGCAATTGAACTCTTATTAATTGAAGTTAATAAGAGACATCACCTGATATCGAAGTTTCAAAATTATTTTTATAATATTTGTAACAAGAAACCTGAGGATGCTTTTCGGAAAGTATATAAAAATTATCTTTTTGCCATATCTTTACGTATACAAAAAAGTCCCAGTCGTTTAAATAGATTGAAATGTTCTGATATAAAACCCGTTGTTTGTGTTTTAAATTAGCTCCTTAATAAATAAATATTGTTATAAACATGTAGGTATATAATTTTTAGTATAAAAAACACAGACGACAGCTCTATTGAAATTATCCATTGAAGTCGTTGACTATGAGTGTTGCTGCGGTAGGTCCGTGAAGATCGTATGTCAGAGAGCTTAATGAAAATTATGCGGGCGGTAAAATAATTTGAATTTCACAATACACGTAGCTAATATTGTTGATATAAAACAACATAAAGAAAGACTATCCAACGAGACAGTAAAGCAAAATTTGATTAAAAAATAAATATCATTTAAAACAATGATGATCATAACACAATTAAAATTGATATTTTCTTCAAAATAATATTTTCAGCAGAGAGTAAAAAAGTAAATTCCTTGTATATTAAATACGTTAAACTTTAAAACTTTTTAACATCACTGCCCTCAATATTTTCTAGCGTTAAAAAGTTTTTAAGTTAATCTTGAACCTATTAAGAGACAAGATAGGTATAATGACTCCAGTCTGAAACGAACGTTTTGTCTGATTATTTTGCTAACATAATTTAATGTGGTATTTATATCTTGCAGATTAATAAATAAGAACTTGTTTTATTAAACTTTATAATATTAATATTGTGAAGTATTTTATTTTCTCTACAAACATTAAGCGTGTATGATGTGATTTTAATCGACTTTTCCCACATCAAATTCAATACAAGCCATTTGTTATGTATCTATTATGTTTTTTAATACCATTTAATTTGTTTATGGGTTCACTTGTTTTTATAATGTACAGAAAATTAAAAGTAAATTGAATTCTAGAACAATTTTGTATTTATTGCCTTAAATATTTTCTTGGCTTACACAGAAGTATTTAACATATAGGGTGTTGTCAGGTTTTGTTGTGTTGGTTAAAAAAAAAAAACACAATTAAAATAGTTTTATTATTACTTGCGTTAAATTAATTCACAATCGGAAGCGATAACCGACGCTTGTAATAATACTCTAAATTAATTTTCACTTACTTGTCAACTCGTTTACGCGAAGCTGTAATGTTTTTCGGACACGGTTATTGAATGTTAATTTTAAATTGTTTCATATAACTTGATAACTACTATTTTCACAGTTTAGAACGTCCCCCCGGCCCTTGTAAGTCAATTTAGTTTTATTATTTAGAAAATTTAGAAATATAATTTTTATATTACAAATCGTCGATTAAAATAAATTTTTTAAAGCTTTAAAAAGGTTTGCATATTTTAAAGTACATAGAAGATATTTTTTATGGCAGTTATCATTTTTAGATTTATGTACCTACACTGCAATGAAGAGACATCTGAGTTCCGATAAGATTAGTCTTATTTTAAAAGTCAGCATTGCACATCAAATATATTTATAGGTATAATTTACTTATTACTGGAATTTTTGTGTTGTACATAGATAAATTGTAGATAGGTAGATGTTCGATAAATTGTATAGAATGTTTACGAGTGTTGATATATATGTTGCGGTCATGATTTTATTGTGTAATAATAAAATAAAGAATCTCATTTCATCTTATCATCATTTTTCTGAAGAGACATTACGTGTGATATTTTTAAAACCTACTATTTATAAACATGAATACGTAATAAGGAAATTCAAAACTTCGATAAAATCCCAAATCATTATTATCATTTCAATAATACACAGTTCCAGCTCACATATACGATAGAAAATAATTTGTCTTTATTTATCAGCACATTTCTATGCCACAATACAAACTATTGTGTTCAGTGAATATAAGATACTCTATTAAATAAATATAAATGCAGCCGTATCAACCGAAAACATATTAGGGACTTACGCCAGTTTTTTTTGTGTTGCAATTTTAAAAGTAAGAAGCTACCGACTTTCCGATGTTATTATTGAGGATGCTTTTGTCAATGCCCCTATAGTGTACACCGGGCCCATTTGCCAAGGTTCGGCTCATCCACTCTATTGTACTGCCATACTTATCGGGATTATCCTCAAATAATTACCTGTTTTGAGAAACTGTAATTATGGGTTAGAAAAAAACAACTTTAAAATCTCAATGTCCGACAAACAAACAATAGAGTGAGAAGTTCATAGCTACTGCTGATTGCGATTCTTCTTCTGACGTAAAAGTAGTTGTTTTTTGTGGTTAAAATATTTTTCTAAGAAATACATGCTTAAAGTATAGAGGCGAAAGTAACTCTGTATAAGTATTTGATCAATATAAGAAATTTATAAAATTTGTTACTGAATTAAATAAAGCCCACGGGTAGAGTCGTGCGCAAAGTAAAGTAAATTAAATTAAAAATTTCCGATAAACATTTATTGCAAGGAAGCCTTCAAGTCTATAGTAATTAATGTGTACATGCAAGGAGTAATAGTAGAATAATATATTTTTTTACAAGTTTGTTACCTTTGTTAAAAAAAAATGTTCTATCTTATCTTTTGTTTGATGGTACTACATATATCTAAAACTAAATTTGCACAAATTTCTCACGCAATAAAACATTGGGCAATAAGCAAGTGTTTAAAAGAATTAAGTGCTAACCACTTTATGGTACTTGCGTTAAAAGCCGTTTAGTTTAGTTTGACAAGTAGCACTAGAACAATGTGAATAATGAACAAAAATTATAAGTGGCACTCAGCTTTATGCCAAAAAGATGTCAGTTTGGTCGCGGGAACAATGGTTTATTATTTTCATACATTTGTTGCGATTATATTCCTTTTCTTTTTCTTTACACTGTATAAAAATCTTGAGGACTCTTAAAAAACCGCGGACCATAGCATAGCCACTCAAAGGTTAAATTCGCATGAAGCTGTGTGAAAGAAAATATTTTAGGGAGTTATAATTTTTCATTATGATTGATTTTTAATAGCTTTGTCAGTTCGTATTCAAATTTTTATATTTAATATTATGTGCGTAGTAAAAATTTTTCATAAATATATTTGATTTTGTTGCAGATGATGATATTATAGCCATATCAAGATGGAAATGCAGTCTATGCCAGCATCCTCAAGTACGTATATGTAACAAATTAAACACTCCGCGGTTACATTACTTTCTGTTTATGTCAAATGATAAATGACATTTAAATATGTGTACAAATTATGTCTGATGTATCGAGATGACGTGTCATAGTTAATTATGATCAGGTATTCCCACGAGTGGTGAACGCATCTGCCTCCGCTCTCGCCCCAAACCAGCCCTCTTCAAATTAGCAGGATAAGAATTATATTGCATTAAATACTAATGGTCCTAAAAGTCGGTGCGGATTTAAATTATATGTAGTGTTTAATTTATTAACACAGTTAGTTAATAAGACTTCATCTTCAAGGCTTTTAAATGTGATAATTAATTTATGATTTTCCGGTGTCCTTTCTATTTTTATAAAAATATCGGTTGAGTCTGATTACCAGTTCAGTTGTATTAAAATAACACATGGTAAAAGTTTCTAACACTTCAGTAGGTAGTGAAAATATGAAATATTAAAATTTTAGGTTCAGTAAGTTATCGTTAAAAATTTCCATTGTATCTTGCCCCTGTATTAAAATTATATAAAATCAAAGCATATGTGCTTTGATTTTATATAGTACACAATACGTTACATATTATTTGAATACCTGACCTAATATAATGATATAGTTGATCTGTATAGATACTCTATTGTCGTGGGAAACGATGTATGAGAGTTTTCCAACACATTTTAAAATAGTTTCTGTTCCCTATCAATGGCAATTAATTATTGATGCTCGTTTTCGATTTAACCCCGTGTCGGTGTCACGCGATGCTGCCGACACAGGTGACCGTTCACAGGGAACTTGATCGGGGGATGATAGCGCTCATTAAACAGGGATGACTAAATACCCAACATTTTCAGAGTGTACTAAATAAGTAAATTAATCGATATTTTTTGTTGTTTAAAATTGACCTAGTATAAATGAAATAAAAATAAGAAGATAAACGATTTGTTCCTTTACTCGTTTATAATGCGATACGCGTTCATTGTTATCTGTCGGCTATCGTCAGGCTTTTATTGAAATATGCTAAGTTGTTCTCAAGCTTCACATCTCCACTTTAGCTTTTACAGGCATTGTCTAAGGCGGGGAATTTCGTAAATCTTTTTTTATATCATCTTATATTCGACACCGCGTTTCCTGCCTCGCAAGTGTACGCATTCATGTGCACCGCTTTATTTGGAATGTCTTATTGAATGGAAGTGCCTTTGTGCCTTTTCGACTATGGTCGTGTTTGGAGGTGTATTAATATGGCCATATTATCTGCTCTTGCTAAAAGGTCTGTTAAGCCGTGGGACCGTATTGGAATAAATAACAAAGCAGATTTCGGCCATTTTTTTAACCAGTTTCAGTTTTGCAGATACGAATTAAAAAACTGAATAAAAAACTTTGTTTCAAAAATCGCCTCACAAAGATTTATAAACAATCAAAAATTTTTGTGATATAAACTAGAATGATTTTTAATTGTTAAAAAATGTGGGTTAAATTGTTATTTTTACAAATTATATAGCATGGGCACCATTATCATTGTAAAAGCAAAAGTTAAAGTAATAAATAACGTGCAAAATTATCGGGTGGAGTTACTAGAAGGGCGGAGACTATGGCACCCTATCTATACTCTTCGTCTGGTCTCTTTAATAAATATGACACTATTGTTGTTGATAAGTATAATACTTTTATGACCGTTATAAAAATAAGTCCTTGTAACTAGGATATTTTTAAATATACAATAAAATTATGTGTAACAAATTTTAATTGATTTCAAAAGTTTAATGTTTATGTGGTTATGATTAATTATTTATTATGGGGATGCATGAAATAAAATTAACGGAAAACTTCCAGAAGTTGACACATGATTATTGAGCAAAAAAACCAACGAGTCTGTTTAAGAAGAGAAGAATTTCCTTTATATAAAATGTATAGAATAGTTATAATTTTACAGTTTTCATGTTTTCACCAGGTCGTATTCTATATGATGTTCCTTGCGCCGTATGTCGAGATCATTCTTCGGGAAAGCATTACGGAGTGTTTGCATGTGACGGATGTGCTGGTTTTTTCAAGAGATCAGTTCGACGAGACCGTAGATATGCTTGTAAAGCTAGAAATTCCGGAGCTTGCTTGGTCGACAAAGCACATAGAAATCAATGTCGCGCTTGTAGATTAGCCAAATGTCTCGATGTCGGCATGAATAAAGATGGTGAGTTGGAGTATTTCAAATATTTTTTTATTTTTAGTAATGTATTATATATCAATTTTAAAACCAATCCCTTTTTCCAGCTGTTCAACATGAGAGAGGACCAAGAAATTCAACGATACGACGGCAAATGGCTTTATTTTTAAAAGATCCAGCAATGCCCGCTTCCGAAATCTCTTTAATGCCTCCAGTTTTGGATTTGGCTATACCAAAGCATTCTATGCTACCCCCACCACCACCTTTATCTTTATTTCACAATCCTTATCAATCTTATAGCAGATTTAATTTATTAGCGTCTCCATTACCGTCTTGTCCACTGAAAGCTCCATCGCCGCCGCCACCTATGACATCAAATTTAATAAGCCCCACTGAACCAGAAGCAATTTGTGAAGCAGCCGCCCGATTATTATTTATGAACGTTAAGTGGGCCAAAAATGTTCCAGCCTTCGCTTCGTTGTCTTTGCAAGATCGATTGATATTATTAGAAGAATCATGGCGAGATCTGTTTGTAATTGGATCGGCACAATTTCTATATCCCCTGGACTTAAAGGTTCTATTAAACACAAAACATACAAAAGTAGAATCTCAACATATTGCAGATTTTGAAAAGGCTCTCATAGAGCTAACAAAGATGCAACCAGATAGTAACGAGTATGCATGTCTTCGAGCAATTGTTTTATTTAAAACAAACTTCAGTGCTGCCCATACGAACAGTTTGCCTCAATCCCATATTGAAATTAAGAAACTAAAAGACCTACCTGCAGTAGCTAGTTTGCAAGATCATTCTCAAGCTGTTTTAAACGAGGTAATCCTTTCAATACATAAAATACATATATAGGTACGCTTAAGTTATCATTGTTTTCATTTATGATAGCTAAAGATTTTTTTAAATTCTTGTTTTTAATATACTTAATATATTTTCAGTACATTACCAGACTATATCCAGGAGATACAACACGTTCAAATCAATTGCTTCAAAGTTTGTCCGCAGTTCGAAACGTTTCAAGTACTACAATAGTGGAACTATTTTTCCGAGCTACCATAGGAGATATTCCGATTGAAAGAATAATAAGTGATATGTACAGAAGTGGAAAAGATACTGTTTAAGAGCTATCAAACATTGCATAAACGATAAAGTAATAATGAAAAAAGTATTGTCTTAAAATATGTATATAGGTACATATCTGACGTATTTTTTCTGACCAAGTATATTTACAAGTTTTAACGGTAAATCTTATTACGATATGCGATTATAATACATTAAATATTTATTATTCTTCTAGTCATTTTTCGGTACTGCAAAATCTTTATTAACATAAATTTAATTTACCTACGATAAATTAAATCAGCATTATTCGTTTAATACAGGTTTCAAGTTACGATAAAAGTTTTAGTTTATTAAAAAAAACGGTTAATTTTACTCTTTCGTCTTAAAGGATCATGAAGAAATGTATGTACACACATAAATTTAATTAATAATAGGTATTCTATACATTTATCACGAGATCCCATCGTCAATCTATATGAGGGGAGTTTTTAAATACATATCAATGTAGGTTTACGAATATGTAACTCGCAAAGGTCAGGCAATGCAAAACTTGTTTTAAAGTAGTGTGGTCAATTAAGAAAATTTATCATAAGCATTTCAATAGTCACATTTGTAATAGGTATGTAGTTATAATTATGAAATTGTCTGTCGTATTCATTGTCGATACTTAAATAATACTAAATGAATACCCACCGACTCTATTTTTAAGTTGGATTAACGAGAGACTGAAATCTTTTTAATACAGTTTTAATCTAGAAAAGCTTTTTTAAATTTCTTTTATGACTATCGACAAAACAAAGTACTAAGTTACTTTCTATTCACATTCACAAAGGGTATGAAGTAATATAATATAAGCCAGAATTATTTAAAAAATTAAAAAAAAGTACTTTCAGTACGTATCACAAGTAAGATGATTCGGAGATAGGCATTGCTATTTTGTACATTACATATAAGTAGGTACATACTATTTTGTGGGTATTGCATATCCAAGGAATGTAATAATTAAAAAAAAGTGGGGAATGCTAAATATAGAGAATACATATTTTAGTGTAAGTATGTAAGCATATATCTGTTTAGAAAAAGTTTTCTATCTTAAGGAATAACTCAAATGTTTCTTAATTTACGTTATAAACATATCTATAGAGAATACCTAATATTAAGCTGTAAATTTGATGTAAATAAATTATACTCTACTAATAAATTAATTAAATAATAATTTTTAAGTTTTATGCTTACTTTTTTCTACCTTTTCCTAACACTTACAAGCCGTCGGATATTAGGATAGTTGAGATTTAGAAAAAAATACAATTTCTTTCAATAGTAAACATATTGATTGAGTAGGTAAAACACGGAAGTAAATTTCTGAATTAATTTTTTGGCTTCAGAAGGTTTGGGTAAAAAATTAAATCCTCATAATAATTTACCAGAAATTGCGATAGCTGTCTTTCATAGATACGTTGTAAAATTAAAAATGTATAATTTAATAATTAAGATAGCGGCAGATATATTTTTACATGATTTATTTCATTTTGCTAGTTACTTCACAGATACAATTTTGATGTCATTATCAATAAAAATATTTTTTATTGGGTAGTAATAGATATATAGTTTAGAATCAATGCAACTCCATCTATTTTATATATTTATATTAAAATAGAAAGAGATGCATTATAGAACATCCCATTATGTCGGTATATACCTACCCTCCGGCGATAACATCCTCAAACAAAACTATAACGGACGTCAGTTAGTCAGTCATGACATGTGCGCTCTTCGTTTGTATTGAGTCTAAATCCCCGATTAATCTCCAACTTTATGGGCTTTTGTTCAGCCCTATTCATTTTTTACATCGTTCCGAATTAATAAGAATAAATCACGACCGATTTCATATAAACAACCTTATTAAAACTTCATAGTGTTTAATTTTGAATAAAATTAATACAATCATTCGATTTTGCAATTTTTACTTTAACTACATAGACATAAGAATCACTTTTGTATCGGGGAACAACAAATTTTGCCAGCATTAACTTTGTCTCTCGGTCACATCAGTCAATCCACGTATTGTCATTTTGACAAAATAGTAATACCATCTCTTCAGATTTATTGGTTAGAACCCGATGAAAGTTACCATAGGTCGATAAAGGAATTTTGCATCCTTGTCATATTTTGTTGAAAGAGTGAGATGTGAGACATTGATGGCATAATAAAAGACCTACTTACAGCAAAACGGAGCCATAATGTAGTGATTCTATAAAAACCGGTAGAGTGTATTACTGTCTACCAACGGAACTGGGGGTTTAGAAACTTGATGAAATAACGTTAATTTGATTATGAAAAAATTTATATTAACAAAATTATTATTAAATTCTGCCCTGTGTATGTATTACCTTAAATGTATCGGTCTCTTAACGAACAAATTGAAATTAAGTTACACGACAAAACTTTGTAGGTGGTAGCCTAGCTGTAGTAATGTAACTAAAGATCGAGCATGAGCTGGCGCGACCGGGAAATACCACCCTCTGACAGCAGATCGGCGTCAAAGGGTCTTTAATGGCTGCATTTCGTCCGATGAGTCAGAAAGCCGGTTGCCCTTTCACTATTCCTACCTTTTCCTAACATTTCCTTATTCCCACCCCGCCCTATTCCTAAAAACCAAGGTTGGCAACGCATCCGCAACAGAGATGTTGCGGATGTACCTACATAGGTGACGGTGGCTACTGTCCACTAAGTAGGCCGTCTGCTCGTTTGCCACCTTTCACATAAAAAAAGACAATGACAGAAAAAGTAAATATAACTATAAGGAAAGGAACTGTTAATTTTGAATCTCAAGACTGTTTTATACTGTCTATCACCATCAAAATGATTTTTAGGTATAATTTTTATAGGTACCTACTTGAAAATTAATGTAAACATTACTAAATCCAAATATTAACAGAGTGAAGGATATAGTTGCTGACAAGTTGCTTTACGTAAGCAGTCAAGCGGAAGTTAAAAATAAAGTCATTCTAATTGAAAATCACTCTAAAATGCATCTCCATTTATAATGATATTTTATGAATTAAATATAAGTTACCAAATTTATTGTACTTTTTGAGGATAGGAGTTAATTTTTTTCTATATTGGCATTTTGCACGTCAGTAATATAAGGATGTCTGCTCAAGTGTTAACTATATATATATGAAATGTTAAATACATTTTCATCTACATATTACATCGATTTTTACATATTATCTTGTTTACTACCTACAAGATTTAAGTATACTATAAAATACCGCCATCTGTTGCTAGAGTTCTGAACTTTTTGATAAGAGATAGTTCAAGTTAGTTTATGTTTACGATCATATCATAATTAAAAGCGATGTTAAAACTATAACAAAATCTTCAATAAAATGTTAAATTGTAGCACAAAAACCATAAATTTTAGATAAAGAATATTATATTATTGTTCTTTTATATATAATTTATCAGTATATTTTAATTAAAGATATTTTAAAATATAAATAATTATGTAAATACCATAAAAAGAGATATATTTTTTCCAGTAGCATTAATTTTTAAATTTACAGTTTATTGTTGAAAATCTATAGACAATTAAAACTTTTATGCAATAAACCTAGAACTTAATACGTCAGAGACGGAAAATTAGTGCAGGCCGCAGTGCCGTATATTTCTATGTGTGAGTTTGCGTACTTTATTTACGATATTCAAACACATCGAAAGAGAACACTCACACTACAACCACAGTACTGAGTAGAAGCTAGTAGATAGCTGTCAAAAATCTTTTTGAATGCAAGACGAGTGCAAATTCGTAAAAATGAATTTGGCTATAAAAATTATTTAAATCTAAGTAATGTATGCTAATAGTTTGAATGAAACTATTTTCTCTTGTTGGATAACAAGAAGTACTTACGCTGACGATAGACACCATGGTGCAGTGTCATCCGCCGTTGGAAATAGAAGAATTACCAAAAGAAGACGAAGAAAGATTAGAAAAATTATTTTCTAAATTAGACAACGATGGAAATGGAAAGATCGATATCCACGATCTTTCCGTTGCGCTCAAGGAGTTGGCCCCACACATAAATCGCAGTTACGCAGAGGTTAGAATTGAAAACATTTTTAACTTTATAAATGTAACGGTGCTTTTGCTAACTTTCGATTCAATGCGTCACCGCGTGTAACTGTCTATTTTGTCAAAATAATAATTCCATAGTAAGAGTTATATAAATTATAAAATTAAAATAAATTTGTGTCTGTAGCTTGATTTTGTATCAATATACCTATATACTTACTTATGTAAACAAAGTCAAAATTCGGGAGAGTTCGATATAATTGTTTTTTTTTTCTCTCGTCTTTTATCTATACATTAATATTATGATGTCTGAAATTATAGTATTACTTCTAAAAAATGTTATGACCTAAATATGGATCACTGCATTTATTCTTAAAGTGTTACTTTGGTTTTAACAGTAAAAAAAATCTGTATAGATATTTAGACAAATATATAATTTTAATGTCCAAACACTTACTTGGCTTCTAAATTTTACTGATTCTTCGAGGTGAAATTAATAAGCTTTAATCAACATGTCAAATTGGACAAAACTCGATGTCATTTCTATAAAATTATTTAAACAAAGTAGGTACATATTAAAATAGGTTACGAGATTTTGTTTTCTTTGAGTTATATTTAATTTAAGTAACAAATGTAGATAAGCTTACTTTTTTGTGGTAAAATGCTTTTCATCATCTACATTTCAATTTTTTAAAATATTTGTCAGCCATATATTCGAGGATTTTATTGTTAATTATTATATTGAACTAGTTCAACACATATATTGCAAATGTGTTTGGTGTTTTAACACAATTCTTAATTACTTTAACTGTTTCAGACATAGAAAACTGAATTTGATATCTTTCCATACAAAATGTTTAGTTACCACAATGAAAGACTAGTCATGAAAGTTATTTCAGGATTCTTAGCATTCTAGTTTAAAGATTTTAAATAAGCTTTTAATAAATTTTCATAAAAAATTAAAATTGTTGTGAATTTCCTCAAAACAACGTCAACTGTGTAAAACCTGGCTGGTATAATTCAAATGTATTGAGATATAAATTTAATAGACAAAATGGATTTCAAAGTCCAACTTTCTACAAAATTTGTGAACTGGAATATTCATAGCGTGTAACTGAAATATAATTTGGTGAAATTTCCCTAGAATACATAGTCTTTGCCCTAATCTAATACATGTTCTTGATATAATGGGATGATGTGTGCAAAGCGTACTATTGCATATTGGCTAAGCTAGGCATTAAACATCATAATACTGTTATAGAACATGTTGGATTGAACGGAGATTTGCTTGAAGCTTAACAAAAGAAATCCATGTCAATGTCACCAATGTCTTCACTTTAGAAGATTTAATATTTATCAAATATAAGAAAAAGTTGCTAGCATTACCATTTTTTATGTTGTAGTCCCATTATCATAACAAAGTAATAATATAATGGTTAAAGTTATTTGCCAACAATTTTTGGCAACATTATTTCCATTAACCTATTTCAATTTAGGTTACTTTAAAATTTATACACATAAATGATATCGTCTCGCGGTGCCTTAAATGTATTTGGCTTACACTGGTTTCTAAATGTTCCAGAAATTTCTGGCAAAGTCTGGCAAGGATGCTGGTGATGTAACACTTTCGGAGTTTATACATTATGTGAGGGAGCATGAGAAGAATCTCCGGTTACAGTTCTCTCATCTTGATAAAAATCAGGATGGTATGATTTGTTAACTGCATTATTAATTAATTAGTTAAACTTGAAAATAATTTAGTATTTATACTTAAATATTTAGTCATACAACATATATATATATATATATTTCTGGATTTTGTGCAGACATTATAATAGTATATTTTTTTTTAATTCATAGGTAAGGTTGATTTGGAAGAACTTATATCTGCGTTTGCTGATCTTGGTATTGCCATCGGAAGGAATGAAGCAACTAATTTATTGAAAAGGTTAGTGTTAATAAAATTTATAATTGCCTGCGTAGTCTCTTTTATTTATTGAACACAAATTTATATATTTGTAAGTTTATCCTTTAGTTCGACTATTTATATAACTTTGGTTTGATTTTATTGTTCATAGCAATTAAATATGTATAAGAATATATATAAATTTCAGAAGAGCTGGAATGAGACATTACTGGTGGTGAGTCTGTGTGTTCTTTAGGGACTGGCAACCCTATTGTATTAATATTTATTCATCATATTGTCCGCGTTACAAATAACAAAAAATCATATTTTGTCTAATAAATATCTGTATGACATTGTTATGTGGTATATTATTTGCATTGTTTATGACGGATATATTAATCGAGTGTCATTTAATGCAGTACGTGTATGAACAATATTAAAATTTATTGTCCAGCGTTTTATTTAATCCAATGTTTGGATAACAGCGGAATAGAATTTTATCATATTGTAACGTATTTATTTGCAATAGGTTCAACTATAAAAGCAGTATGTATACTGTCATAATTGTTTTACAGTTTGAAATTGTGATTCATTCTAAATTTAAATAATACCTATTTCTTGTTTGGATTGTTATTTTCTCACCTTTTTTATAGCTGTTACTTGCTTTGATATAAAAAGACAATAGCCTTCAACGCTGTTATAGAATTTCCGATGATAGTGTCAATTACAAGTGTCTATTTCGTTAATATAATTGTTTGACTCCAAGAAGCAGGTATTCGCGTTGACGTCATTCGAATTAAAAATAATCGAAGTCATTTTAAATAGATCGATACATTTAATGAAATAAAATTTGAGTAAATTTATAAATTATAATGGAATCGTTTCATTGTATAAGTTATCGTGACTACCAGACACACTAGCTTTTTTTATTTAGCTTTGTTCATAATAGCACAGACATATAGCTATTGTTATTATGTAGCAATATCATTAATTGGGTAGGATCGTAATACATGTACAAGTGGAGCGGTAATGGATTGTACGATATAATTAAAACAAGTGTTATAATATATTAAAAATGTTTTCACAGGATGGATCAAGATGGCAGCCTGAATATAAGTTATGATGAGTGGCGTGACTACCTCCTACTGGCCCCAGCGACAGACATACACGCCCTCATACACTTCTGGAGACATTCTACTGTGAGTATTAATAACATCTCATATATTATTTCTTATTAATTAAAACATATTTAGGTATTCAGATACGTTGGTAGAAAAAACAGAAATGGTTCGAGTTAACGTTTTATTCTTTCTGGCTTGGTTACGTAATACTAATTAATTAAATGATATCGTGTCATATAATAGTATTAATTTAAAATATTGCCTGCGAATGTTGTATACTATCAAAAAAGAAATGCGTGAATTTTATTTATATCCAATTAAGTACTTAATTGGATATACACAAAATTGTTTAAATAAAGAACACTATTATGAAGCGATAATAGTGTTCTTTTTTTTAAATAATTTATCAAATTTGGGTATATTATAAAGTTTAGATGTTTTCGATGGATTTGTCTCATTGAATTTTCTTTAAAATATAACATGAGTTTCTGATGTAGATCTCAAGATCCCTGAATGTATCTACTGGATATTATAATCACAAAAGTTTTGAAGTTGAAGAAGATGGAGTATAACATTATTTATAAAAGTCGAATGGAAGACCGTTGGAATATTGTTAGTGAAAACAAATTATGTCCTTTATAAATGTTACTTAATATTATTAAGTGATTTCATTATAATAGACAATTTCCAATTTATGTAGATTTTTTCTATTTATGACACAGATAAAGAACTCTAGAAAGATCGAAAGATTTATGTAAAGCAAATGAATTTTTCTCACAATGATAGTCGATGTAAAATGTATTATGTAGGAATAATGAACTAACTCTCATCCTACAGTACGGTTCTGTCTGTATTTCGTTCGCCCTGAAATATTTGGAAAGGTATATTTTTCTTTATTTTTCACGATGCTCATTGACATATTCAAATCGAAATTGTCAATAATATTATTCAACATAATATATGATTTTTTAAGACTACCGATATCACATCATCAATCATTTATTAGGCGACTTTATCGATTACGATACTCTTTAAACGAGTAATATGAAATATTTCATACAATTCATACAAATTATTCATAAATCATTAAATTCAATAATTTCGAACCAGTTCTAAGTTTTGTAGTTCTAAGCGTTGTAGTATTAAAGTCGATAGCAGTTCATTCCTTATCTGTTTACATACAAGATACATTTATAACAATTCTTGTTATAACGTAGTTTAGTCTAATAATTATATTGCAACGCCATTAAACTTATCCAACTGTTAAATATAATGTTCTTGACTTTACTACGATTAATGTTACGTAAAAATTATGCAATCAGAATGCAAAATCGTTTGTATAGACTAAAGAGCATGGAGCTGAAACATTTACAATCATAATTGTTATACAAAACTGAGATCTCTTCATATGTACTATAATTATCATTGTTCATATAAACACGTAAAGCCCTTGATGCTGTTTACTCAGCGAAATATATTTTCTATTTTAGAACATTCGAATTTTAAATGTTTTTTTTTTCGATATTTGTAACGTGTGTTATGTAACTCCAAACAACATTAACCCAGACCTTAGATGCGGATTCGGCAAATCATAATAAAAATATGTTTATAGATATGACTACAGGTCAAGTGTCACCGAGTTCAGACATATGACCGTACTAAATGTGCGTCTTTTAGCCCCGGTGTGGCTGAGTGATTCGATAATTGGTTGAATCTTGAACTGCTGTAGAGGACGCGCTGTGGGCGGGTCTACTACGCAGTTTACAGCCACGTCATACAACCACTACTGACGAGTTGCCACTGGATATTGGATAATGTATTGCGTAAATCGCATCTAGATGCTAGACATATTATACACCGCTGTTAATTTTGACATTTAATTTTTTTTTTATTAAACTATGGACATTTTATTAACGATTCGGTTAATTTATCGTCACTGACAATAACTGTCATTTTGTTATTTTTTTTATCTATATTTTATCTAAAGGTTTTTATTAGATAACAAACGGTAATAACCCATTATATTTATTAGGTAGAATGTATTACTATTGAAATGTCATTATATTTGGAGAGTTCCAGCTTTTGTCTTGTCAATATATAAATGTTTAAGTTCTTAGCCTTAATTACACGTGTACTTGATAAGTACGTTATTACTAAGAGCTGTCATAATATATTAATAATAGTTATACTATAATTTCAATAATTTAAATTGGCCATCAGATTTTTGTGGATACACCAAAAAGACGTACTTTCCCTAAAACTAAATTAATAATGGGAATTTTATGTTAGGTATAAAACAATGCTGTACTAAGAAACGTTTCCATAACGCGAGTCTTGTGTTTTCTAAACCTGCATCTTAATATTAGAACGCAATATCTATCACATGAATACAGTGTAATACTAGCTTTATTTTTGCACTGCTTAGGTGGAAGTTGCATGTAATTTTAATATATGAACGTAGTGCATTCAAGCTATCTTCTCGATAGGATAAGGGGCGATAATGGGAGACTAAGGTACGGTGCTTGAAGCTCGCCCGTTGAACTGATGTTTACTATGGAAAATTTTAATGTTACGTCTCGTATCTAAGGAGTTTTTCCATTCACACAGTTGGCATACTCTCTCTGTTTCACTTATTTCGTTGTTTTATGACTATTTAGGATAAAAATTGCTTCGTCCTACATTAATAGATACTTTTGTTCTAAAGCTTAATGAGCAAATATTTTAATGTTTATAAAATTTCTATTATTTTTGTTGGTTAGACTTTGACGTTTTTGTCAATTTTTTGATTATATTAGGAATTTCGGTTATCTACAAGGACAGTCAATGAATGAAATAGATACTTAGATAATTTCGTCTGCTCTTTGTTTGGAATACGTAATAGTTTTGATAAAAACATTTGATTTTGAAAGTTGTTTGACTAAACTAACTGAATTAATGTATAAAAGCGTAAAAAAGTAGTTTTGACGATGCAAGATACGTACATGGATATTGTGAAACCTAAAACGTTTAAATTTTTTATTTAAATACATATGTACATCACTTAATTAAATTTCTATGTAAATTTATTTAAAACTGTTCTAGCTGTCTGTTAAGAAAAATTTAAACATATCAACTCAAAATGTTTCTCTTTAAGAGGGGACTAGCTAAAACAATTGAATTAAAACATTCCCATACTTTTATTTGTTTAATGTATTCCTTACTTCATATTCACACTTCTGTTTAAAAAACTTCTAATGATTGCTCTGTTAAAATTTCTTCTTTAACCTCAATATTTTCAACCGTTTTACCTGTTCGATAACGGAAATAACGCTGATGATAAGGAACTTAGAAGGTCCGTGCTTCATTTCCTGTAATGTATTACAAAACTACAAGGCTTTATAAGAAAAAAATAATAGTGAATTGATATGTATTAAATGTTTTATTGTTACATATTACGGTTTGATATCATTCAATATATTATGTTTTTTGATTTTTTATTTTATTCAATATATCCAAAAATAATTGGAGTTGAGATTGCATTTATTTTATTTTTTCATTTATTATATTTATCCGGTAACGAATTCGAGTGTAAATTTTGCCAAAAATATTTCATTTTAAAAATTCCATTTCAAAATCACGTTCTCATATGTTTGGAAATATGTAGTAATTTTAGACGTTTTTAAGGTAAATTGTATTAAAGGATATTTTAGGTATTATGTGTCAGAGTTTTGTTTAATTGGTACATTATGTTGATACATATATGCTAAAAGCTATAGGAATAATAAATTGATTTGTGAGTTAAATCAAAATGGCCTTTGAGCTTTGGTTTATATTTTGAAAGTGACGGAAAGCATTCGTTTTATGAAATGCTTATTTACAAATGATTTTTGTTTCGTACATTGTATTTTACTTTAGACAGTACTGCAAAAGTTATCCGTTTTTCTTTTATTGAGTTACAGTATTTTTCGTAAGCCAAAAATTAATGAGGGTCTTATCGTAGTCAGTCATAAATAGGTATATATTTTTTTGTAAATAATGTTTTGGAGGATTAAATATTTAGCAATTTATTCACATTATATCCTGCCTCCATATACGGTTGGACTTTAATCATTCAATGAAGTAATGCCATTAGTCATCACTTCTGCTAATGATTACGGATTTTACATTTATATTCTGTGATAGAAACTTATTTATTTGATAATATCTTGTAGCATTTTGCTTAATAATAATTTTGCGGAATATTTAAAAAAAAAACTTGAAATAGTTTGCAGTTACTTGAAGACTCATCAAAGTTTGTAGTTAATATGCGTTAACAGTACTGGATACGCTGACGTTCTGAATTACATTCATACATTAAAAAAAATCGAGTCCTACTTTCACTATGTTAATTACTCTATAAGACACGCTTCGCAATAACTTTCATTGGTGACTTAGATAGAGAAACTTTGCCGTATTTAAGAAATTTATTAAAATCCCGGCTAAGCGAACAAACTTTTATCGAATCCCCTCCATATTCCACGAACGGCATATTTTACAGTACAACATTAATGATAAGCGGCGAAATATTTTAGTATAGTTGATTAGTGGGGGCATGGCAGTCCGGTGGTTACTGTACCGAAGCGGTTCCTCGTGTGTCGTACGTTCGACACGCGGACTTAGTCATCATTGTGAGAATGCTCTTCAACTAGACAATACGCATTCTAGTATGTGCTGTGCCAATACGTTAGTTTGAAGTATCACCGTTGATCTGATAGTAAAGTTCCAAAGAAATATATCTGTGATTTATTTTTTAATAGTTAAAATATTTTTATACAATTTAATTTTTTATAATAAATAAATAAAATGTCTCTGGAGTTGGAAGAAGTTACGGGACCGACGGGCGATGTGTTCGAGGATTTCCTCATAGTTTTTCGTCGTTGTTTGGCAAAGGTAAATGCATTCTAATTCTGAGTGAACTTAGAACGTCTTTATAATTTACGGTTGGCAGTCACAACATTGCTCTAGACGTTGTCGGTTCTATATAGTTTTCATACCATATTGACCATGAATGAACATAGTGATATTCTTGAATGGATCCTAAAGGTAAATTTATTATAGTAAAACTCTTTTACGAACATCTCTTCTATGTTGTTGCTGAATAAATTGGAACGATTTCAAGATGTATAGAAGTATTTTTATACTGTTACATATCCTATATTCCTTACGACGGCAAGTGAATGGTGTAGGTTGAGTTTTAAATGATTATTTTAGGTCCGTCGCCATGGAAACAGCTGTTCTATATGTCATATAGGTATGTAACCAAGGTTTCACGTTTAGAATACGTAATCACGGAACACGACACATGAGTACATATTGTAACATCTTGAAACTTCGCAGACTATGAACGTCGTTATATTTTAATTTGATATTGTCTTCGAGTAGGATAACCCAGTGATAATGGTCTTGTTAAATATATGGAACATTCTAGATCATGTCTTATCTTTTTATTTATACAATAGTCAATATACATGAACGTTAATTTGACCTCGACCTTATGAAAGGTTTTATCATTAAGACCAATATGTATTTACTTTCACGATTCATCTGCTATGTCTTGACTTAAACTGACATACATACTGCTTGTTATATTAGTTTTAGAATTTCTTCTAACATATAATTTGCTATGCGAACTTTCGATTCGAGTGTCATTGCCACTTTCATATCATATTCATGACATTAACCTCGATCTGCGGTCGAAGATTTTTTTTTAAATTTAATAATATGATATTTAAGTCTAACTATAAAGATAATGTAATACTTGATAGCCATGCAATTTGAAAATTTGGAAAAGCTGATTGAAAACAATAAAAATAAATGTTTAACCATTACGTTAATAACTTAACTAAAGAGCAAATCAAATATACCTATTAAATATTTTTTATTTGATTTATTGTTCAATCAACAGTTCCAAATGGTATTTTAAAATCTGGGAATTTATAATTTTATGCACGCTTAGCGAATTCAAAGGTCACGCGTTTGCTTAGCAACAGCAAGTCCATTTGACATTTATATTGGAACAGAAAAGTTGGTTCATTAAATGTTTTTTTAATATCTTTAACTAAAAGTCACTAGCCTGACAGCTGACAGATGAGCTATACATATATTGTGCTGTTTGATATCAGAAATATGCAGACGGTCAACGAGAATATAGGTTACCATTTATCTGTTAGGAATGACGTCACATTTAATGGGGACAAGTTTCCTTAACATTGAAATTGTCGCTGGCCCCAGCGATGATTTTGTACTAATAAATTGGTACGGTTTTATGTATAGGAAAATATTTAAACTTGTTACATGTTAAACTGTATTGTTTTATTTCGATCAAGCAAGAACTATGTATTATGTACTAGCTTTCCGCCCGCAGCTTCGCCCGCGTGGAGTTCGGTTATAACTTATAACGCGTTTCCAAGAGAACTTTTCAAAAATCTAAAAACTATCATATGTTCTTTCTCAAGTTCAACTCCATCTCTGTGCCAAATTTCATTAAAATCAGTTCAGTGGTTTAGGCGTGAAAGCGTAACAGACAGACAGAGTTACTTTCGCATTTATAATATTAGTAGGGATTACAATATTTAAAGGCAAAGGATTTGTTAAATCAGGATGTGTGTATTGCTGAAAGAAAGATATTTTCAATCACTACCGACTGATTACTTTGTTGGATTTGGTCTATAATGTATACATGTATACTATGATTCAAGATTTTCAAGAGCTTCGGAGACAATGCCAGGAAACCTTTCAATAGTAACAAATCAGAATTGAAGACAAAGTCAATATTATTTGACACAGAACATCCTAATGTGATTCTTTTAAATAAATCTATTAATACATACAAACAATGCATGTCCTATATGACGAACTAAACTTTGATTTGCGAGCGAAGGTCTGATACGATTATGTACCTAAAGATTATATTTATTAAGCGTTTCTCATTTCATTACATTTTTTTATTATTTATATTTCAATACATATTTACTTTAATTTTGCTTATAATTTAGTTATAATATTCAATTTGATTCATAATTCATTACTTTGACTTGTCAACGTGTACTCATGTGTCGTCACCGCGTGCGCAATCTTTGAACTCCTTGCGTCATTACAATGAAACTCAATACGGGAAAGTCCTAACGTTAGGTTTTATATGTAAAAATGATAAAAAATATATTTTATACATTATCATGTATATTATTATCAACTGGCTTCATAAAATTCAATGTGGTTATAAATATGGCGTTTGTAAATCAAATAACATCTTATATATAATAAGACGAATCTGCAATACATGAATGAAAGTAATTACAATACCAGGAGTCGGGTCATGTGTACAAAAATTTAATACTATTTCTATTTGAGAGTTATAAAATAGTAAATTTTGTATAGTGTATAGCATTTTTTTAAATCACAGATAAGATAACGTACACAGAATCTTCCCGTTCACTTCTTGCTTGTAGTGCTTGCCACATTTTTTTACTAAACATAACAAGCGCCCAAGGACGCTGACGTGTTGTACATACGTATTTTACGTACTGATAATGTATGACAATTATGGATAAGATATAATCGTTTGTTATATTGTTAGAGGTAACTTTGATCAATTTTCATGATACAGCGACAGAAAACTAGATTTAGGTTAAACACATAATACTCTAGTCACGTGTATTGTGTAAAAATCATACTTTATTACACCTTATGCAAAATGTATCGGTATTTTAAGAATATTTAGCCTTGAGACAAATTTAATATAAAATATGTACATAATACGTACCTTTATTACATACGTTTATTGTGGTTTATTAAATTATTCACGGATTTTATTATTATATACATTGTATGTATAGTTTTTAATCTTTTTGTTTTACGATGATTGCAATGACGAAGTTCAGTCTTTGAATATGTACGTAGTTTATGAAGACTTCTCTTTAGTGACGTCGCAAACCAAACTATGATCCCGAATCTATTTTTACATCACAGGAACTGCTTAAAAATACACATTGAGCTCTAGCGAGCATTACAGTCAGCTACGGTCTCATTGAGATTCATAACATTTTAAACGTTTAATGTGAAATAATATCGATGTTGGAATAATGTTCTATATAATAATAAAAAAAAGTAAATATAATTTATTGGATTACATTATTTTAATGTATAATTTTCTGTAGATAAATTGTACTAACAAGACATCAATTGTTGCTTTTGATTTGTTTACCGATATCTTGTTTATAGTTTCATTTGTTGCCTTTCTAATTATTTTTTTAAATATTTCTTTACATGGACATTCACAAGGGCAGTGTAGAAAAAAACCACTGCACTATTAACATATGAACATTTCCTTTCATATTTTATATAGAGAACCTATAGAGTAGTTTATTTATTAATTATTATTATTCAATTCGCTCATGTGAGTGTACGTATGATAGTTACCAGTTGTACATATGTTATTCTAACGTTCGAAGGAAGTTGTTAGCTGTGACATACGCAGTTAGGTTTTTACATCACAAACAAATTTACAGTCGTGACGTTTTATTGACTATTCGAGACATTTATAATTATTATTTATCGATTTATTATGATTAAATAAAATAAACTGAGCACAAATAATATTTTATTATGATCTAAAAAATGAAATTACTTCCTGCTGAATTCATTGTCAAATAATTATTTTCTTTTATTGAAAAATGTTGTGATGTTTTAGAAATGGTTGAATATGGTATTAATTTGTTTTATACGAAATAATGACAAATTATCATTTAATTCAAATTCCAATGTTCGCCTATTTGATTGATTGAAACAACTATTATGTTTAAGCAATTGCTGCGTAACAAAATCGTGGGTCCGTTCGATCACCCTTGACACCGTTTTAGTTCAACAATTCAATATTTCTAACCTTCGTCTACAGTTTTTTAATAACGCCTTAAATTACATTACGTTATGTGGTAATCAAACGGATGTACTAGAATCCATAACAAGAGCATTCCATAAATGGCTATGCATAGAACTGCAGTTATACAATCTCCTTTCAAAGTTATATTGAATCAATTAATAAAATAAAATCATTTCCTCATCAGATATCTTTAAATGCAAAAGGCATTTTTGTATGTGGCAATTATGGATTCATTATCTAGAAAAATTATTAAACATCATTTATGAACAATTTTTAAAATCATAACTATTTCGTACGAGAAAGAAATTTTGAAAAAAAAAACAAATAAAATTCTCTATGCTTCCGAATCCCGATCTCTTTACTCATTACCTATAAAGGAGATAGAAAAAACACATCATTATATGTCAATATGTAAATTTGTCACGTAACCTCTAATCTTATCAGGCATTGAACTATATCATTTTCGTCTTGTCTTAAATTAATTAATTATGAATAGAACTGTACAGTTCCTCATTAAATTCTTCGTGGAAGCAGTTCTTTTCAAGACGAAAATGATGTACTGGGAATACTTAGTTGCATTTATAACCATGACTTTGGATACAAATGCAATAAACTCTGTATACAATGCAACGGTAAATATTATACACGTGTTAAGACAATGTTTTAATACTATATTTATCGAGATAAAAGAATAACTTAACTCTAATGTTTTGACAATAGACAGAACACGTAACATCACGGACGAAGCTTTTAATAAGCACGATAATTAAGAAGCAAAATGGTTGTAAGGAAGAGGATGACGAATCATGCGGGGCTGTTAATACCGTGATTAAGCAATATACTAACGTGTCTATTTCTATAATATTTGAGTATAATAATTGTTTAATATTTATCGGTGATTGTTTCCAGTATCTCGACATCGGGGAGGATATGAACGTACCTGATGACTTCACTCCAACTGAACTCCAGACAGGGAAGTGGTGGCGACATTTGTTGGCTGGCGGTATCGCCGGGGCTGTCAGTAGGACTTGCACAGCTCCGTTAGACAGACTAAAAGTATTTTTACAGGTATGTGTATATGTACTTAATTATTTAACCTTATTTTAATATAAAGTACACATCGATAACTTTATGACATTTAATTTCTGGTGCGACTTTAACCCTGAAAAGTACTTAAATTTGACCTTCATTATTCTTCTATACCGATATATACATATTGAGTCCTATGGATCACTACTTAGTTTTAATTAACACTTGATGTTTCTGTAAATGTCATGTTTTTTTTAATCAATTACAGGTAAATCCAACAAGAGAAAATATGGCCAAATGCTTAGCAAAAATGATCAATGAAGGTGGCATTGGTGGCCTCTGGAGAGGTAATGGAATAAATGTCATAAAAATAGCTCCAGAGTCAGCATTGAAATTCGCTGCCTACGAGCAAGTAAAACGTCTCATAAAAGGAGAAAAGAATCCATTAGAAATATACGAAAGGTTCCTCGCCGGAGCCTCGGCTGGAGCCATAAGTCAAACTGTGATTTACCCACTAGAGGTGCTAAAGACAAGATTAGCTTTAAGAAAAACAGGCCAATATAGCGGTATCGTGGATGCGGCGAAGAAGATATACGCTAGAGAGGGATTGAAGTGCTTCTACAAGGGATACATTCCAAATATCCTAGGGATAGTGCCTTACGCTGGTATAGATCTCGCTGTGTACGAGACGCTTAAGAAGAAATACATAAATAAATACCAGACTAACAATGAACAACCGGGTATGTTACTGTTACTGGCTTGTGGAAGCACGTCTTGTACGCTGGGACAAGTGTGTTCATACCCGTTAGCACTCGTTCGGACAAGATTGCAAGCACAAGGTATATATGTTGTAAATATTTCGTTTTATAAAAGAGTAGACAGTGAGCTAAATCACTTTCGTATGTGTCTTTAGAAGATTTTAAGCGATTTTAGGTTTTATCGGTTATTGATTGATATGTCATAAATTTGATTTGTGTTTTAGCTAAAAATCCTTGTAACAAGCGATGGCGATACACAATATTTTTGTCCCTTTATTTACATCTTAACACATTTTTAGTTAGAAAACAACTTAGTATAGTTATAGTTTTTGTTATAAAAGTATAATGTTAAAAATAAATAAATATAAGTAACATTAAATACAAACAAAAATCATGTTATTACAGAGAAAGCTGCTAAAGGCGCAGAAGGTACAATGCGAGGCGCGTTCCGAGAGATAGTTCAGCGCGAGGGTCTACGCGGGCTGTACCGCGGCATTACACCGAATTTCATCAAAGTCATCCCAGCTGTATCTATCTCATACGTTGTGTACGAGTACGCGAGCCGTTCCCTTGGTGTCAACATGACGTGATTGATAACCCTGAACACACCATCTCCGGTACACACGCGCTCACAGTGTCACATCACAAGGATGTACCATTGCATTTCAAAGTACATAGCGATTAAGCCTATTTATTATTTATGATTCAGTTTAATTTCGACCACTCGTAAAGACGCACGTGTTATGTGAATTGTCAGTTACAGTTTGTATATGTTCTTAATTTGGATTTGTTATACGACGTAGTGAAACATCTGTGATTATAATAAATTATGTTTTTTTTTTATGTTTGTGTACCCTAGCACCTGATTACGGCGTCTCAAATATTAGTGTGGTGATTTGATTGACGGACTCATGAATAAAAATCGCATCATGAAAACTGGTCTTATACATTCTTAGTATAGTTGAAACAGAAAAGTATGTGCCTGTATGTAACTGGAAATAAGAAGATAGATACATATAACAAGTGTTATTATATGCAATATAAAATTATATTCTTGAAGCGTTTTGACCTCATTAAAATTAAATTGTTATATATTCCAAGTTATAATAAATGCTATAGAATGTGTATGGGCAATTACAAGCTTATTGCAAAAAATAATAATGTATTATTCTTAATATTTTATTATTAAAGTATTCAATGGAGCTATCATGGAGATATAAATATATCGTCAGCTGTTAAATATGAAAATTTTATTAATGTAATTATAAAGTCTTGAAATCTTTAAACGTTTGTCCAATAAGTGAAATAGCATTTGAAATCATTTATTGTTCTAATACGATCATTAAGATCGATTTAAAATATGTATTGTTAAAAAATAATAAACAATAACAATTACGGCATCAATTTGAAACATTCTTAGAAAATTCTCAAACTAAAACAGTCGTCCAACAAAAGAAAGTCAATAAGGTTCCAAAACATGGTGTTAATTTATACAATTGATAGTGAGATAAATTAATTAGATATATTGATTACGTATTTAAAAACATCTGTATACAATTTATAATGTTTTAATATTATAATTGGTGTTTTTAAATATATGGATTTTCTTAAAAAGACGCAATAAATATAATTGTTAGTTTTTTTAAGATATCATTCATATATGTATAATTTTTGAATATTGTCGCTGTGTATTGATATTAGGGCAGCTTAAATTATAGATAGTACTTAGTATAAATTTGTTTAGATAGTTAACAAATTATTTATATCACCTAATAAACCTTACAATGTTAGTAAATGCTAGAAGAATTTTGTGCTTTTAGTCATAATAATGAGTGCCGCTCAGATTTAGTACAGTTGGGTAACAAACGTGACGAAGATGTCGGGAAATATTGTCCGTGAAGGATATTTTTCAGTTACAATATCGCATCGAGCTATTTATATGATTCAATAGTTTCTACCCAACAAAAACGGCAGTAAAACTGTGATTGTGAACGGAATTCATATGCCTAAATAAGTACTAGTTGCAATTGTATCTAAAAATCATTTATGTAAAATGTCGAAGGTGACCACCAGATCATGGTCAGTTTTACTGTGTTACTTAACTTATAGCAATAATATTCATCTCCTGAATGCCTTCGAATGGAATATATAAAAATAAGATATTTTAAATAAAAAGGAAATATAAAAATTAACAATTCTTATTTATAAGCTACATTAATATTTTTAATCCTATTTATGCTACGAATATATTAAAACAAACTTAGATAAACATTATCTTTACTATTTAATTATTTATTTTAGATGAATTGTGAGTAAATTCAATTTCCTTTATGGGAAAGCTGTAATGAATTGTTTGAATAAAATTTACGGCAAGTTAACATCATTGAAACTGTTCTTTTAATTTGTTATTAATTTATTTTATGAAGGATGGATATGGATGGAACTGTTACGAAATGTTATTGGAAATTTTGGTATTTGTGTAACATTAGCTAGATGTGTTTTGTAATTTTTCATCTGTGGAGTATTTATTTCAGATGTCGTATTCCGTGTATTTAATTGTTTCCATATAACTTATATATTTTTAACAGGTTTCAGGTTTAACTTTAAACAGTCCTTGTTGTACTTGTCTACTTGCTGTATAAGAGTAACCGTTAATTGTATTTACGCTTCGAATTTTGCGTAGTTTAATTGTAGTTTGATTAGCAGTAAGAGCTGTAAAGTTGAATTAATTTGCATGTGATGCAGTACTATTATTTATTTATGCATTATGCCTTAGGTAAGTCCTACAATACTAGCCACTCTAAAAAAATCAAAAGCTTAACACGTATGTTAGTGTAATTGATTTGTTCATCTACTTCAATATTCAAATCATTTGTTTAATGTTCAATCTTATTAAACTTCTGACTTCCATTTTGTGTTCATTATTTTTAATATTCCCAAAAAATAAAAGACCAAAAAGTTATTGGCAACTAATAAAAAAGTTCGGAGCTAACGAAAGAATTTTGAAAAAGCTTTAAAGAAAACATTTTCACCTGTTGTTGTTAAAAAACAATATTCAGAACAATAACCAAGATTAATATTTTTCTAAAAATTTTATCCTATCTCATATTCTAAGAGGACTAATAATAATTAGGCATTTGTATTATAATGTTAACGAATAAAGCTCGTGTTTTGTTTTGTTTATAAAGTCGACCGAGACGTACTGTATTAAACAATAGTTGAACAACGTTGTAGTTGATGAAGTTTATATTTACAGGGGTTGGTTAAAAAACGGATTGTACTTACCCACCTACTGACGAAGATTTTTTTTCTTCTGGTGTATTTCTTTTTTCTTTAAATGTCATTTCCAAAAATATTTTAATCTTAAGTCTTATTGAATAGTCAAACGTTAAAAAAAATCTCAACAAAAACAACAAAAGTGTATACCTACTTTTTGGTTTGGCAGCGATGGAGTTACAAAAGTCAATAATTTTTAATCACGTCTCGGTTAGAAAAATATGATTAATTTTAATTACTGAAGTAGATCCTATTTATTTTTATGATAGTTAGATTTTTATTAGCTATTAAATTGGTTCAATTCTTTTTTTTATATTGAAAACAACTTTAAGTACAGTACCAAATCACTTATTTTTTTGTGGATATACGACTTTCTGTGTGATTGTAATTTACTATTATTGTAAGACCAGTAACAATTTATTGATTCGTATCTGCTAAAAATGAATCGATGTCCACGATACAGACCTGGCCTAGTGTTGACGTCAACGTGTACTGGAAATTGCATTGTGAAGTGTTTTTATAAATAAATAAATAAAAATAAAATAAATTTTAATTAAGAAAACGATTTTTAATTATGGCTACCCAGAGATTTAAGATCCAGCTGTTAATGTCAAATTCAAGTGACATTTCCCATCATCTAAGTACATAGAAAAAAAATGTCTTTCTTTCTATAGCAGCACGTGTAGACGCGGTCAGCTTGCTTATCATCGTATAAAATTAATAGGTATTAAATAATAAATTTCATATTTTTGAGCGCTAAAGATTATTGAAAAGCTCTTTAGTAGTCTCACAGTACCTAGGAAAAGAGGTGATAATTGTGTGAAATGTACCTCGACAATATGAAGTGTACATAAAAAGTTAACTGTATACCTTGATGTTATAAAATAGCTTTGAAATCTACACGAGTTACTCGCGTGCAAGGATTGAAGGAAAATTTCTTATTACATAGGTTATAATCAACAATGCCTTCGGACGCAAAGAAACGAGCCCAGCAAAAGAAAAAAGAACAAGCTACTAATAGAAACAAAAAGCCTGTGGCAAGAGTGACGACTGCGGAGACGAATGGTTCTACAAATGGTGCGGTAAAAGAAGATCGAGAGCTCACTGCTGAAGGTAAATATTAAGTGTTATAATTTTACAATATGACCACAATTTTGAATTGTTTCGACTTTATATTGAATTTTAATGTAATTAACATGAATTTTTTATATAAAAGCAAAAAAAAATTCTATATTTTTTATATACCTTGGTAAATATATTTGTTCACTACAAAGACAACTGTTTTTAAATAGTCTTGTAAAATCTGTAATTTATGTCCTTGCTTAGAGGCACTATGTCTGAAGTTGGAGGAAGAAGCGAAAATGAATTCCGAAGCCCGTTCCTGCACTGGTTCTTTGGCAGTTCATATAAGATCAAGGGATATAAAGATTGCAAACTTTTCCATCACTTTCTATGGCAGTGAATTGCTCCAAGACACATTGCTAGAGTTGAATTGTGGTCGAAGATATGGCCTTGTTGGTCTAAATGGCTGTGGTATGTAAATAATTTTTATATTTCTTTTTGTATAAATTTACAATATTTTATTTAATTAAGATTTTTTTATTAATATAATTTATTGCTCAGCGATTTCTTGTTCTTGCAATTTTTTTATTGCTAACTAAATATTATATTCTTGATTTGGGTAACTGAAAATTAAAAAAAAAAAATAGATTTAAGATGCTATGTCAATTTTATATATTAAATATAATACTTAATACAATTATTTTATATTGAGATTAAATGAAAAACATGTCTTGTTTTTTTAGAAAGTAATTGAATACAACTGAGCGATAGTCTGTTCCATTGGTATAAAAATAGAGAAAGGCTCCTAAAGTTCTATTATATATTTTTATATTAACTTACTCATTATCTATTAATTAAATTAATGATTTTAAAAATTACTTGCTCTAAGTGTTATTGCTTATAAAGTTATACAGGGTGACTGGTGAATTACTATCGATACTTGAGGACGTGATATTTGACAATCATATATGACAGAATAAAAATTAATATAACATAAATATTAATAAACTTCTAAGTAAAGTTAACCAAAAGTTATGTAATTAATTACGCATCGTGTGAACACCCTACAGATTAGGTATACACACACACTCACACATACGCGTGCGGCGGCGTGGTGTTGTATCAGCACGCCGCCGCACGCGTCCACACTTGGAACACTTGGAACGTGTCAACACTTTATTTATTTATACGGAAATTTTGTCAAAAATTAAGTGCCTATTTTTTTACATAATTCGAATGAGAATCATGTACCGAGTATTCTCCTTAAATATTAATAGTAATTCACCAGTCACCCTGTATAATCCTAATAATTTGCTGTTCAGTTCATCAAGCCATAAAATATATATTTTGCATTTAATATTTTGTTTATAATATGAAAAATATTTTTGAATTTCCTCTATTACATAAAAAGTAAATTAATAGAATGCAAGTCAATATTAACAATTAGTAAAACTATAGAGCATCCTATTCATTATGTGGTTTTGCAAATAATCTATAAAAATATTTAATATTTAATTGCTACATCATGACTACTTATAATAAATGCAATGCAATAGTAAATCTAATGTGATGTGGAATTATTTTATGAGTTTGATATTTTAAAGCAGCCAAGCGAAATGCATTTTTTAAAGTTCATACTGTTGTAATATTATTTTTTTACATTTACATTTTTTTTAAAATCCTTTATGGATATATGGGATCATTAGTGTTGTAGTTAAAAATCATTTTAAATGTATTATTCTTTGTAATCTAAACAAGTCACTTTAAATAAGGATTTATCCAACATAATAACTTAATAATGTATCTGCCCTTGCAAATGTTTTTGAATGTGTAAGCAAAAAGTCCTTTCTATATGTATTTAGTACATTGACCATTATTTATATGACAAAGAAGTAAATAACATTGTTCTTAATTTCAGGTAAGTCATCATTGCTGGCTGTGTTGGGTCGGCGGGAAGTACCGATACCAGATCATATTGATATTTTCCATCTAACTCGTGAGATGCCGGCATCAGATAAAACAGCCTTGCAATGTGTTATGGAAGTTGATGAAGAGAGAATCAAGTTAGAGAGACTTGCCGAAGAACTCGCCCAGTGTGAAGACGATGGTATGTTTGGAAAACATTACAGATTTACTATAAACAGATTTTATTTAAAGAGATAAGTGGTTAAAACCTACAGTCTTGTGTGATTTGTATAAAATTATATCTAGTTGGCGCATGCAATAATATGTGATGATTATTTCATCAATAATTTATTAACAATTTTTTAATTATATGGTGTCCTCAGGTGTTATAGTAATTAATAATAATAACGAAATGTTTATCGAGAATTAATATTTATTGTTTTAAATTTATTGTTAATTACAGTTGTGTAAATAGTAAAATGAAATGTTTTCACCATATACAACTTGTCAAAAGATATTGAATTGAATTTATTTTGAATTAAATTTATTTTGTTCTTAACTGTTTAAGAATTCTTTTCTTTAACAGTAAACAGTAGAGTAGCATTAAAATTTTGGACACAAATACTCATAGTCTACGCTGTTATTCTTTTAAAATATACAATCATACTAATTAATATATTAAAATTAAGTATTGTCATATTTAAATAATTTTTATTTTAACATAATCATCATGTTACTTTATTTATACATGATTACTAGGTATTAATGATGTTATTATTGCTTTTTAATATTACTTACATTTAAAATTTGTAATATATTAAATAAACACATTTATTTAGCTTACATTTTTATCAAAATATAAAATGTCTTAAGCTATTGTTGTTAGTAGCCTCATCTTCACTAAACTGCAAAGACAAATGTAGTAGAATTCCAATTGATATTTATAAATAATTTTTTGAAAAAGTCTTTAAAATTATAATTAAAGAAAAATATTTTCTTCTAAAATTTTACAGAATCCCAGGAACAGCTATTGGATGTTTATGATCGTCTGGACGATTTAAGTGCAGACACTGCCGAGGCTAGAGCAGCCCATATTCTTCATGGTCTAGGTTTCAGCAAGGAGATGCAACAAAAGGCCACCAAGGATTTCTCAGGAGGTAAAAAAAAACAATTGTTATACTTATCCTGCATCATCTTTGTATTAAGATGTATATCTTGTTAAATTATTTAACGAATAAATAGTAGATCTTATAACAACCATTTGTTTAGGATGGCGTATGAGAATTGCTTTGGCGCGTGCGTTATATGTGAAGCCACATTTGCTTTTGTTGGACGAGCCGACTAACCATCTTGATTTAGACGCCTGTGTGTGGCTTGAAGAGGAACTCAAACAGTATGTACTAAAATGATTTTTTATGTAAAAATTACATGTTTTTGAAATTTATTGTGAAACTTGTTTTTATTTATCACTATGTATCACTTTTAGATATAAGAGAATCCTAGTGCTTATATCACACTCTCAAGATTTTCTGAATGGAGTGTGTACTAACATTATTCACATGAGCAAGCGTAGGCTGAAGTACTACACTGGTAACTATGAGGCCTTTGTGAGGACCCGCATGGAGTTGTTGGAGAACCAGATGAAACAATACAATTGGGAACAAGATCAGATCGCTCATATGAAGGTATTGAATAGTCTTATGATTGAGTTCAGTTTATTTTTACATTTTATTATCTAATCCTAATAGGAATGATCTCATTTTATCTATTATCATGTTTTTTTAGAACTACATAGCTCGGTTTGGTCATGGTTCAGCTAAACTCGCTCGCCAAGCCCAGTCCAAGGAGAAGACTCTAGCCAAGATGGTAGCTCAAGGTCTTACTGAGAAGGTCACGGATGATAAGATACTCAACTTCTATTTCCCGTCATGCGGGAAAGTGCCGCCGCCCGTTATCATGGTTCAGGTAAAAAAAATATAATACAAAGGAATAGAAACTGTATATACAAGAGTTCAGAGATATAGTTCTGATAACACTTGGTGTCGTATTTATCTAAATTATAAATGAATCATATATTCAAATTATTTCGGAATGCATTGCTATTTAAAACTGTATAACTGCTTAATTCAGTTTCTATAATAATTGTAAATTTTAAATATATTATGCATTTGTTTCTAGTTGAAGAATAGAAAAATACTTGTAGTTTTTATCAAATATTGCTTATACACATTATTCATGAATAATGCCACTACATTTGTTTTGTCAGAAATTTTTGAACCTCAAAATATACAAATATGTTATAATCAGAACATTACAGCTCTTGTATAACAAAACTGAAACTTGGTCATTGAAGTGTGAAGCTGTAGAAAAGATAGAAAGTTAAATTGACCGAGTTACATTTTTTGTTTTATATTTTGCAACGGTTGTCTAACAAAAGCAGTGTTACTTTCACTTATTTTGTAAATTCATGTAATTCTCAAGTATTTTTAACATTTATTTCTTTTAACATGTTTTGCAAACTAAAATCTTCTCATCAATCTTAGTCTAAAATCTAAATAACACTGAGTCTAGAATGGAGACTTTATTGAACATAAACATTTGTAGCTGTTTGTTAGAATAGCAGAGTGTTATTGTTATTATTCATTTTATTCTTTTACAGTCATCTTCAAACTATTAACAGTTCTTATAGAGTATAAGTTACATAATTGGGACAAAAGAAGTCATTACATAGTTTTGAAAATTTTAAATCTAATTCTTATTTAATTGCTGTATTTAGCTCTATCTCTATGCCAAAATTTATTGGACTTACATCAACACGAAAGTTTAACATTTATATTATGTTATTACATAATGTACATACTATGTTATTTTATACATGGATGATAGAGTGATTTCTTTTTTGTTCATTCCAGAATGTTTCATTCCGCTACACAGACAGTGGACCTTGGATATATAAGAATTTGGAGTTTGGTATAGATCTGGACACACGGCTAGCGCTTGTGGGACCAAATGGAGCCGGAAAGTCTACGCTGTTGAAACTTCTATACGGAGACGTAAGGGATATTTAATCAACGTATATATATATATATAGTTTGTTTGGCATCCAATACTTGTTGAAGAGAAGATCACAGATTCATATTGTTATAATGAGAAGTTGATAGAAAACTATAGCAAATTTTATATTTTATCTTCCAGTTGGTACCGTCGACGGGTATGATCCGTAAGAATTCTCATTTGCGCATCGGTCGTTACCACCAGCACCTTCACGAGCTGCTAGATCTGGACTTGTCTCCGTTAGAGTATATGATGAAGGAGTTCCCAGAAGTACGAGAAAGAGAGGAGATGAGAAAAATCATTGGAAGATATGGTCTTACTGGGAGACAACAGGTAAATATTATTAATATAACATCAACCTAAATACGTTTAAGTGCTAGCACATCTCACACACAGAAGACCTGAAGCAGCTAATTGACTTGTTTTATACGATTATTATATTTTTATAATAACCATAATATTTCCAGGTGTGTCCAATGCGTCAATTGTCTGATGGTCAACGTTGTCGCGTTGTATTCGCCTGGCTGGCGTGGCAGACACCTCACCTGCTGTTGATGGACGAACCGACCAATCACTTGGATATGGAGACCATAGACGCCCTCGCTGACGCCATTAACGACTTCGATGGCGGTATGGTGCTCGTCAGCCACGACTTCAGACTTATCAACCAGGTACATTCACATTAAATATATTACATATACAACCGTTGTACTATGATAAAAATATTCTTCATCAGTAGTTTTCAATTAAAATACAGTTTTACATAGTGATAAAAGAACATTACTTGTTAAAAATACTCAGTCCAAACAGGATATTTAGAAGTTCTTACGACGGAGAATATTTTTTCAAGATTTTACTTTCATATTTAATTTGATTTATTTATTGTTTTCACAAAAAAATATAGAGCTTAATAATTTTATATCTGTTTAATCTGAAACCTTTGGTATTGTCGCTGAATATTTTGTTAATATCATTCACAGGTCGCCGAAGAAATTTGGATCTGTGAGAATGGTACAGTAACCAAATGGCAAGGAGGTATCCTGAAATATAAGGATCATTTGAAATCTAAGATCTTGAAGGATAACGCCGATAATGCGGCAAAATTTAACCGCAAATAGAAAAATTTATAGAATATTTTTAGATTTAATTATATTCTACCGCTCTTTAAACACCTGTCGAGGTTTCGGCGGCGGCTATTGATGTAGATATATAGTATTATAATATAATGGCTGTTTTTCCGTATCACGAGTATTTGTAGCTTAATATACTTATGTAAAATAAAACACAGCTCTCTATTTTTCCTGTCTTTGAAAACTCACATTAAATCTTGCACAGTATTAATCAATATTATTTAGAAATGTTATCAATACGCCGCATGAATGTGTCTTATAACATTTTTTCGATTCAAAGCTTTCGATCCGCGACAGGTATTTATTGATTCAATTTGTGATCATAGAAGTGTAAAATCAATTCCCCCAGCTTTTAAATAAACGTGTATGTAGTGTTTATATAATATGTTATCTAAAATGTATGTGCATTAAAGTATTTATTATATATTTAGTGGATATCCGGAATTTTGGTACTGTAATGGTACTACATATTATGTCATATATATATATATAAATTTTATTTTTATGACAATTACTGGGTAGTTATACAACACACAATGAAATTACAATTGATTTATATTTCGTTTTAATGTAATAATTCAAACTAATCTCTGATTTGCATGTAACGCCTGTAAGAACGAAATTATAATTATTTTAAAATATGGATTTACGAAACTGCTAACTTAATGTGCAATGATTTTTTATATAGCATAATACTTATTTATTTAAGCTGTTTCCAGTATTCCACAATAATTTAATATCCGCTTCCATATAAAATGAAGTTAAAAATTAATCTGCTGTGGTTATTATTAAATAAATTACACCATCTTAATAATTGTGTTTCATTTAACAAGGCATTCCAATATAAAGTATCATGATATTACAATTTTAAAATTTCATTTTGTTACAATACAAAAAACGTTATGAATTAAATTATTCAAGTGTGGGAGTTATTTTAAAAATTGTTCATTAATTATTATTGAAGTCACTGATCAAAATATATGTGTCCTCGATTTTTGGAAAAAATAGATGAGATTATAAATCGGTGAACTGTTGTAATTGGATCATTGGAGTAAAGTTGAGCTTCACAGATATGGCTTATGGAACTCCTGTTTTATGTGGTAGTTAGGTATTGCCGTGACCTTTTTGGTGAAGAAATGCTCTTGTGTATTGTACCTATATAGTTTTAATTGGATCGTAGTGTTAATGCCATCGAGAATGTTATTTACTCCGGTTTTTGTACTGTTTTTGGGACAGTTATACTGGTATCAATGTTTTTATTTTATTTTATAAATAAATCGCTTTGTTTAGAGTTCGTCCACAATTACGTTTCTGTTCTTCTTCTGTACAGTAACAATATATTTTTAAAATATTAGAAGTGTTCAATATATATTTATTAATTCTTTATCTGATCTGTCGATCAAGTAATTAAAGTAAGGAATTCCGAAAATACCTCCACATGTCGTGGAGTTATTAAATTTAATTATGACATGATTGATGGTGAAGTTACAGTACCATCCTAGGATTAAATATCTCTTAGTTATTACGACGGCATTCTAACGAATATATTATATTAAAGTAGTGTAACTACTTAGTCTTGAAAGTAGGTACATCGCTTCTGGAGATTTTATACGAGATTATGGTTTACAATTATTATAATTGAAGTAATTATTGAAAATTATAGATAAAAGAATAAGTTGTAAAATGTGAGACGTAATGGCAAGCAATACTAATCTTAAATAATGTTTCTGCTCGGGCAGGTCTGTTTATCTCAGAGCAAGACTAGCACGATAATACAATATCTATGTTTATAAAATAAATTAATACATACAAGACCTTAATGCGATTTTCGTGTTGTAGAAGTGCTTATACGTAATTGTTTTTTGTTATATGATACCCGTAGAAGTAGCAGGCTTTTTAATTATTTTAGAAATAATTTATCTAAAAAATGTTATATTATTTTCAATATGTTTTTTTTAAATCTTTAGTAATTTATTTTAATAAAACTTTAAGAATTAAATGAAATTGTCCAGAAAATTAAAAACTGTTAAACAGGAAACTTTTTCTGACCTAACAAATCGGACCAAAAATATTAATATTTTTATAACTAGCCATCAAGTTTCTTTAGCTATTCCTTTTTCAAACAAAAAAAAAACTAACTATCCTTCTTTTGTGTTCTTGTAGTTGTATGTCAAGAATTAATGTCGAGTTACAATCTAGCTAAATTAATTTATTGTGTCATTTTGCAAGAAAAAATTGTTTTTAGCGTATAGTTATTGTTGTTGTGATGAACTCTGCTAGCAGTTGAGTATTAACAATAGTTACTGCTAAATTATGTCTAAAAAGAAGGAAGAAAAGGATGAAGGCGGCAAGAGTGTTGACCCTACTGCATTTTTAAAGGACTTTGCCGCTGGCGGAATATCCGCTGCAGTGTCAAAAACAGCTATGGCGCCTATGGAAAGAGTGAAGCTCATTTTGCAAGTTCAGCATGTATCAAAACAAATATCTGAAGATAAACGGTACAAAGGTACATACTTGGATCGTATTATTTCCTATTTAGCTAGAATTAAGACTTAAGTAACCATCTGATTTTGTTCATAGGCATTATAGATGCGTTTATACGGATACCGAAGGAACAAGGTCTGGCATCATTGTGGAGAGGGAATCTAGCTAATGTAATCCGTTACTTTCCAACACAGGCATTAAATTTTGCTTTTAAGGATGTATACAAAAAAGTTTTCTTAGAGGGCGTTGATAAAAACGAACGTTTTTGGCGGTATTTTGCTGGTAATTTAGCATCTGGTGGTGCAGCCGGAGCAACTTCACTGTGCTTTGTGTATCCTTTGGATTATGCTCGAACCAGGTAGGTTAAACTTATATATAAAACCTAGTTATATGAATATATAAATACATAATAGCAAGATTAATAAAAAATATTTTTTAAAGATTAGCTGCTGATGTCGGAAAAGGCAAAGGAAAGGAATTTAACGGTCTCATTGATTGCTTGACGAAGACTCTTAAATCTGATGGGCCTTTGGGATGGTATCGAGGTTTCATTGTCTCTGTGCAGGGTATAATAATTTATCGTGCGACATATTTTGGACTTTACGATACAGCGCGTGGTATGCTTCCGGATCCAAAAAATACATCTTTGTTCTTTACTTGGCTAATTGCTCAGGTATGAAAAATAAAATAATTTTGCTGGATTATGTTTTAAATCTTTTTTATATAACAATTCCTTCTACATTAAATCTAATTATAAAACATTTTTAGACTGTAACAACGATCGCGGGGATCACGTCATATCCACTAGATACAGTGAGGCGGCGAATGATGATGCAGTCCGGACGGCCGGTGCATGAACGACAGTACAAGAACACAGTTCATTGTTGGGCCACCATCTTGAGGACGGAGGGCCCTGGGGCATTCTTTAAAGGCGCCTTTTCAAATGTTCTTCGAGGTACTGGTGGAGCATTTGTATTGGTACTCTATGATGAAGTTAAAAAATTGCTCTAACTGTAATTGGCCTTCGGAGAGGGATTGTATATTCGCATATATCATATCCGATCTGGTATATTGATTTGGATATTAGTCAAATTCAGCACTTGTGAAATGCTGAATTTAATTAAATTATTTTATTAAATTTACCTTAATTATATATCGGGCTCCTCTATTACATGTATTTTATAATATCAAATTTTACCTGGTATCACAGTATCGTATCGAATTATTCTATGAATCCTCTATTTACTTGACTTAGAGGATAATTGCTTTTAATACCGAAATGTTTTGCTTAATTTATTTGTATTCGCATGTTATTGTCGTCTTTCTGAATTGAATAAAAGATTTAACATAGGTGTAACGTTCTTCTTTTTTCATATCAAATTTATTTATTGAGAAATTTTAAAAGTATGTTCTATAAAGATTTTATTCTATTTTTTCAATACATACAGTATTTGTATGTATTGAAGAAATAGAATACTAGAGATACTACTTCAGCAGATGTTATTATCGTACCACTGAAAAGGCTTGTTTAGAATTTGTCATGTTTATACTTTTATATTATATTTTAACATAATCGAACTTATTTGTGCAGTAGTTTTGGTTATTAAATGGTTTCAAAAATGACTTTGAAATTTGACGTGTTTTAGGAAATTTTTACATACTCGTAAGTATAATGCTAAAAGTAATACAGTCTGCTTGACACGGACAATTAATAAATTAAACGTTGTCACAATAAATATTAAATAATTTGAAATTTAAATGTAGGTGAAATTGCATATGAAAACTTTCAAATGCCTAATACCATGTCTAGTTATCATTGAAACTTTGGTTAGTTAAAGTTGTTGAGCTGGCAATTACAAATCGATCCATTTGTTTTAATAAAATATATAGTTATCTTTTCACGTTCATTAAAAAATAATTACTAACACATACATATTGCTTTATTAGTGCCAGTTATCAATAGTTTAAATCATATTATTTTATATCACACAGCAATGCTACGCCCCTTAACGTCCAATGTCGTGGATTACTATCAGTTTCGAAGTCGATCGACCCGACATATTTAGCATCTGTCCTTTGAGGTTTTCTGTAAATTGGGCATTCATAAAGTCTTGGATCCTTCCCAGCTGTCGTATTGATGGCAAAAATGTAGATTACAGGCATCTGCTCGTATAGAACTTTTGGTTTAGATTCAATTAATTTACCGGATTTTCTATCGAGAGACGCTCCTGCAAAGAAAAAAATATTCTAACTGGCATATCAGACATACTATTCTAAATACGCAGCTATAAACAATATTTTTGTTCTTTTTCAGTACGTTTCTTTATTATACACTAAACATTAAAAAAGACTTAGGTATGTACCTTCTAGAAACAATCCGTAGACGTAAACACCTTCTGCTGGTCCTTCATGAACGTCTTCTCTATTTAATTTTGTTATGTGATTTTGAAGAACAACAGAATCTAAAGCCCAACCTTTATGACTTCGGGTTACCTCCTAAAATATAAATAAACGTGCTACATTTTATAAATAAATGAATAAGAAATGCTAATAAATAAAATATTATCCAAAATTCACTAAAACGACAAGATTTGGCTTGTGCGTCACTTTGATTAGTAAGAGTTTTTTTGAACAAGCACTAGTTTGAATCATTCGAAAATATTATATTAATCAAGTAGTGAAATGTCAGCGATTAACTGCATTAGCATTGTTTAAATTTACTTGTGATGTTAAGAAATTAATATCGTATCTATAGTTGTTTATAACTGTGACAGACTCTATTAAAGGTGAGGAAAGTCATTGTAAATATGATTATACATAGACATAAGATAAAATAATCTTATTTAATATCTCTGAGTCGGGCGTGGGATGTGTTTTAACTTGGACGGGTGGAGGGTTAACCTGTCTCATTGCAGTGAGAAATCCTTGTGGGTTAAAGAAACCGGTCATCCAAAAGGCGTTGGGTCTTCCATTTTTAAGCCAGATGCGATATTGTTGTTCTCGTTCCAATAGTTCCGTATACCAAAATCCAAGTGTCGCCGACTCCCATGATACCTGTCACATAACATGATGTCACAATGTTATTACATCAGGCGCCTATACAAATATCTTTTTAATTAAAAATTAAATATTATTTTGATTATTTGTTCACATTTATGATGAAGAAAATTTATAGGTGAATGTTGTTTACAAACAAAATGAGCGTCCTTTGCTAAAAATTCAAATAATTTAATTCCAAATTTTAATCTTGTCATTGCGTAAATACCAAAAAAATACTACCTAAATCTAGCATATACTTTTAATTAAAATAGAAACCTCAGAAGCTTAGTATTGCCAAGATTTTTCAAATATTAGGACCCCTATCAATATATTGTTTATACAATGTTTATAAAAACATCTGCACAAAGAAAATCTAAATATTCTTTCCCATGCAACATTTTGACAAATTGTCATTCATTGCTGATTTGAAATCTCAAGATTTTCTTCAAAAATATGTGAATAATGATATATGTATACAAAACTATTAGTTTTATACCTTTAACCATTGCGCAGGTATGCGAGCATCATACATTGCATCCAAAGATTCTCGCAAGCCTTGACTCATGACAATTGTTCCATCTATGGCAAGCTTTAGATCACAAAGCGTTGTGTGAACTGTTTTTATAACTTTTTGAATGCGATCAATTTCTTGCCTACAAATATTGACTTAAGAAATTAAACAGTTTATTTTTTAATAAAAAAGAAAAACATTATTTACCTTACAAATATATTCATAGGTAAAAATGCTCCCATTTTAGCCAGCGCTTCTTTAACTTCAAATCCAATATATTGTTTAGGTAATTTCTCCAACATATCCTCAGCCAAACGATAAACTATACTTTCTCTGGTTTCACCGCCTTGAGAACCCCCTTCTTTTGGTTGGACGCTTAATATAGTGTCCAAAATATCTTTCGCACTGTTAATTTGATACGTGATGTCTGCGTTACCGTGCAAACCAAAAACTTCTGGGGTGTCTGTTAGGGGTAACTGGTTAATATAATCTACGTAACCTTGCAGATTTCTTGTTTGTGGTACTTTGTAACCCTTGTAGAATTCAAAACCAGGCCGCAAAAGGACATCACAAAACCAAACGTTTGTAAAGGTGGTCAACAATCGTTTATCAAAGTCATCCGTGACTCGCCCACCGTACTGCACCTCCCCAAGCATATAACAGATTGTTGGCCAGGAAATTCCCTTCTTGGGGTCTATTTCATCGAGATGATTCTGTATGAATTGTACACTGGCCGCATAATCTGCTTGATTAAATTCGTATGGAATATTCCATCCCAGTGGCCCAAACTTTCTTCGCTCTTGCACAATAGTGTGTAAGAATGCCACTGCATATAATAGTGGAGGCCACTGTGATAATGATGAATAATCTAAAGTATCTTGGCTGATGTTTTGATATGTTCTTTTCATGCTGGCGCGTATTCCTTGTGGTGGTTCATTGGTAAATTTTATAGCCATTTGTAAAAGTCCTATAGGAAAGTCAGCATGCACTTCTGTAGTTAGCCAGAGGCGAAAAGAATCTTGTATATGTTCAGTTTCTATGAGAGCATCCATAGCTTCAACACAAAACGGTAAAGACAAATGTATGTTTTGTAGTAATACCCACCCTCCTTCATTCATAGAATCTGATATCATCTTTCTTGCTACAATTTCCTGACCTTGCCCCATTGATACAGCTTTAATTACTATGAAAAAAGTAAAAATAAGTTATTTTCATTACATATTGTAATAATAACAAAAACTATACTAGTATATTTACCAATATCTTTAGATTTAGCTAGTGAGGATATTTGTGTAGATGGATCAGATCCTATTGAAAGTATACATATGAGCGGAGTACGTGGTTCAGACTCTTCCCAGGTTTTTTCCAAATTTAGAATTCGACCTTCGCCATATTCCGGTCCAAGAGAGTCTATAACAATAAATGATTTATGTGCTATTTTTTTATATCTATATAAAATAATTTACGAATGTAGTATACTATTACTAACCAACTATATACTTTCTTGCTTGTGAGAGTGTTCGGTCCGGACTCCATGATCGAATAAGTAAAAGTTTTCTAAATACATCAAGACTTTCATGAAAGCCGCTAGGTATTATTTCTTCTTCAGGCTTTGCTTTTTCATACCATATGCGCCATTCTTTTTCATTACTAGATATCTATCATAAAAACCGGTTAAATAATTTGTTATTAAACCTGCTATAAAAAATGTAAATTCGTTTACCTTGCTTAATACATCTGAAAATACTTCTAATTTACTAATTTCCACTAAATTCAGCCAAGTTATATCTAGAATCCATTTGAAAGGTTTTGGAGCTACTGCATTTAGATCCAAAGATGCACCACCCTTTACAAATGCCATGAATTCGTCATGAGAAATAAGTTCCCTTTGACAATCAATTTTCATTGCCAACATAAGAGTAAAAAGCGATTTATGTCTTTCATATAAGCTGCGCAGAGTAAAGGCCCACACTTCGTGTGTTAAATATTTTAATATTATGTTAATACGTTCCTCTGTAACATTACTTTTTCCAGATTTTGTTATAGAATTGTCAAAGATATTAAGAAACTGTTTTAATGAATTCTGATACATAAGGTTGACGTTACTCATTTCAACTATTAAAAAATATAATATAGAGCCTCTGGCTGCTACAGCTCTAAATTCTTCCCTCGCTTTAATTATTTTCTTTTCTGTTACTTCTGCTACCTTAAGTTTTTCATTAACTTCTTCGGCCGTTGATTTGGTTATTTGTAGAACTTGAATTAAAGCTTCGTCGTCTACTAGTGAACCCTCTGAAGAGGTTAAACGACAAAGTAAATTGCTTTCCAATTCTTTCATGCTTCTCTGATTCTTCATAACAGATTCAAATAAAGCCACTCGTTCTTCTTCTAAATCTGACTTTTCCATTAATATCACTCTACCCAATAGTTGGTCTTCAAGTCCTTGCATTGTTACTGTGAAGTCAATAATTGAGGTTTTTGCACTAATTTCAGGAGAATAAGCAGGGTTAGGTAGTTTAGTTGTAATGTAAAGCATAAATCCAGGCATTACGTCACATTCCTTATCACCTACTATTACTTTTTCAATTGATCCTGATTTTATAAAGTTCTTTTCCAAAACATTGTCTATAACAGGATCTAATTCTATGCCTACATCTTCTATGAGCAGTGGTCTTCCTAAAGAAAGGCTATCTTCTAAATGAGTTCTAAAATATTTATGGTTTAGTGATGTTATTTGTAGTTCATTTGTGGATTCTTTATTTTTTATCCAATTCTTTCCTTGGCTTTGAGGATCTACTAAAAGCGGATATGAGCTAGATTTAGTAACAATTAGTGCATTTTGAACTGATAATTCATCGTTCGGTAAACCTTGAAGAGTCCACTCTGATATTGTAGCACTTTCAACTAACATATTTGTTATATTTAAATTGTCAGTCACAGGTATCTGCTTCTTTTTTAATATTTCCATCCATGTATTGAACAGACTATTTCTGAATTCTTGATTATAGGGCCCGCAGTAAGAGAGAAATCCTGTGGCTAATACAACATCTCCTACTAATCTACCAAGTTGTTCTTTGAAATCCTTACTTTGTTGAGTCCATCTTATTTTTTCTCCTCCCAAACCATTAATCAATTGAGTTGCTGCTGTCATTTTTCTTAAACAAACATTTGCAGCATCTGTTAATTGCTGTTTTTCAGAAACTGCTGCTTCGTATTGTTCCTTAACTTTTCTTAAGGACATTTCACGTTCTTCGAGTTGCCTTTCTGCAGATGCTAAGTCCTCCATAGCAACCTGAATCGAAAGGAGACATTTGGTTAATTGGTGTGTATTATTAATAATAATATATAAAAGTTAAAGTTAAAATTTCCAGTGTTTTGCGATGCTTCTTTTATGGTTTTCAATAACATTTATATAAAGTAGTCATGAATATGCACATTAGAAAGAAATAAATTTAATCAATGAAAGCAGTTGCATATACATCTGTTAAAAAGATTTTGGAAAGCTCATACCTTTAATCTTGCTTCTTGTAACATTAAGCTGGCTTTCAGAGGTAAAACTTCTTTATTTACGCTATGAAAAAAGGCCATAGCCTTAGTCCATGACAGTAATCCTGCTACATCTCCGCATACTCGTTTAGCTGTGTCCATATTATAATCTTCCATTTCGAAATAGGGTTGTAGATGTTCGACCATTTCGTTATTAATTATATCTTTTGGGTAATTTTGTAGTTGAAGTAAAAAGGTAGTGCTTGCCATCATCTGTTTCATGTGCAAGAAAGCATTATGTATGATGATGATTTATAAAGCATTATGTCAAAACACGACTTAAATAGAATTTTCTCTTTCAGAAACGAATTTAATAAAATAAAAGTAATGTTAATTGCGACTGGTTGCTTTTATTTCTTCGATAAAACTAAATTTTTGCCTTTTTATATAACGTAACAAAGTGTTATAATCTAAATAAATCTAAATCTAAATAAAAGTGTTATAATCTAAACAAAAATGTTATTAAGCAAAATTCAATAATATGAAAAAAAAAAAATCATACTTTTAGAGATTCAGCCCAAGACGGCTTAGGGCATGGAGCAGCTGTATCAGGTATAATAGGATGCAATCTGCGTTGGAAAAGAATCAGTACGCAATCCATAATACGCATAATTAAATGTGGTGGTCTGCCTAACTTTCTCACAGTTGCTATATGGGCTGGTTTAATAGTGTTTAAGGCCGCTTCAGCTTCTTCTAATGCAGGTTTCGCTGCTTCTAACTTCCTTTCGGCTTTTTCTTTTTCTTCGGCTATATATGCTACCAAAGCTTCAGCTTTTTCTTTAACAATTTGTACTTGATTTTTTACAATTTCGGCTTGCATCGCTCTCTCAGTAACTTCAGAAAGTACACGATCTGCTTTTTCAGAAGCCAAAGCTAAATCTTGCTCCATCACTGCCAAATCCTTCTTTAATACTTCCACAGATATCGATGCCTCACGTAACTTTTCCAGACCTGTATCCATTCTTAACGCACCATCACCTAACTCTTTTTGTTTCATTTGGTATATGGTTTTATAGCCACCTATAAAACTAAGATAAGATTTAGGAGTTACATGAGATGAACGACGGAACCTTTGAAAATATTCAGTTGAAACTTGAGAAACCACATCTTGTATAGTTCCTAACACTGTGACTAATTCTTTTTTAACTTCTTTTGTGCATTCTATTTCAAAATCTGTGAGGAAATGGTCAGCAACAGAAACAAGTGCATCCTTAGGCCACGGTTGGAACCAATCAATCGTACACCCTGATATTAGAGCCGGAAATCTTAATGCTCGATATCTGAAAGCTTCACTTACCTACGGACAGAAACTTTTATGTAAATATATCCTTATTTAATCTTATTGAAACAAGTTAAAACTAATTTTATACCTTTGTTCAATTTTAAGTATTTATTATATAATAATAAAATTGTTAAATAAGTTAAAACATTCAAATGATTAATTATTAATGAAAACTGATACATTTTATCAATTATATTTCTCATTCTTTGAATATATGAAAAATACTAAATCCATTATATTACTGTTCTCAGGTGATGAAATTGTAGAATAAATTTGACAAATATTTGTACTCACTGGAGAAAAACATAAAACCACATGAAGGTTTTGACATGTTCTGTTTAGAAAATATTCCATAACTAGTTCATTTGTCAATGTTCTTTTTTGATTTTCTCGTTTCATTATAGGTGTCAATTCAGAAATTATTTCCTGTTGCTCATCTTTTGTAAATAAATTTGATATGACGCCAGATGACAAAATGTTATTTAGATATTCTAAAAACCCTTCTTCTTTAATATCCAAATCAGTAAATATGAATGTAGTGCCCTTTCCTTGTACACCACATGATCTATAAAGTAACTTTAGGTCTTCTAAAAAGTTTCCGACGTTATAAGATCTGGTTAAAGCTATTTGAAAGGAGCGATATCCAGCGATAAATGTTGACAGTTTTGTTAGCGATTGTTTGCCAGACCCTCCTACGCCTACTAACATAACATTTCCTCTTGGGTGACGAATAACTCTGGATATTTTTACTAGGTGCAACATAGCATCAGGGAAAAATACTAAGTCCATGCCGGAACCACGAACCATTTCGTTAAATTGCGATAGGAACATTTCTAATCTATCTCGTAATTCAGAGTAGTCAAAAACAGGTTCATATACTTTTGGTAGTTCCATATCCGCATCTTCACCTTCTTCACCTGTTGGTTCTGGTGCATCTCTGAAAGTACAGATTAATATCATTTCTAACTTGATATTGTTAAAAAACAGTGTATTTGTATGCTTTTAAAACGAAAATTGTTATTTGCCTCATAAAATCAACGAAAACCGGATCCTTTTCCATCATTTTCTTATATTCGGGTCCTAAAAGTACTTCAGCACTATCAAAGAGAGCCTTGTTAAACCAATCTTTATCTGACTGATGTGTAAAACGATCAGAAAAAACTCTTGAACATTCATGTTTCCACAAAAGCATAAGACATTTCTCCGATTCGATTACGGTCGGTAAAGTACCTATCATCCCTTGCCATACTCTTGATAAATCTCTTAAAGAAAATACATAATGAAATTTTGCTGGAGTAGGCAATAAATTAACTCGAGTTTGTGTCCAAAGTTCTCTTGTTAGGGGAATTATTTTTTTAATTAGAGATCGCACTTCAACAGTAAAACCCCTCTTGGCATTGTAGTGTCCTTCACCGATAACTTTAAATATTTTGTCTATAGAATCGTTGTTAGGTAATGGACAATTAAATATGGAAAACTGCCGCTTTAGTCGAGCTGGAATATCATTTCTGCCTCCACCTGTTAAGTGTATTGATTAATTTTTAATAATGAAGTAGGTTAATGATTTAAAAATGTTGACAAAACCATTATACCTGGTTGACCCATTGCTCCCAGAAACTGTATATCAACAATAGTCGTAAAATCTCCCGGTTTTTCTAAACTATAAAAACCACCCATACTCATAGTTTGTCTTACGATCTCATTTGTTATTTGATCGCCCCATTCGTTTATTTGTGGTAAATTTATATCATCAATAAATACAAGCATCTTTTTTCCACCGGGTGGACCAAAAGTCATACCACTACGTTTTTCAACATAGCTTTCTATAGTTTTTTGGAATTGATAAGGACTAGTAGCAGACGAAAAGTTAAATGATCGACCCATAAATTGCTCGGGATTAGCATTCTTCATATAAGCTTTCATCATAACTGTTTTTGCAGATCCTTGTTCACCTAATAGTAACACAGCTTTTCCTTGTTTAGCTATGCAATGAATCAAATAATTAATTCTTACATTATCAACTATTGGTACAAGAATATTGGAGTAATCCGGTGTAGCTGTATCAGGGTACATATAATTTGTCATTAAATCATCCCATAGCTCCCACTTTCCTGGGTGTTTAACATAAAAGTCAAATAAAATGCTTGGTTTGTTATTAGGGTGCGTTGGCAGTTCTAGTAATTCACTAAATGTTGATTTAATATATTTATCGAATCTTAATCTGTCTTGAGTTTCCAACAACGAACTGAATCCCCAAACTAATGAAAATACATAAATTTTATGTAAATGTTCGTGTGTGAATAACACTATTTCTTCTGCCTTTTCCTTGTCATCATCATCGTCAATATCACCATTTATTGATTTATTAGCAGAGGTATCTTCAACTTCTACAATTTGTGGAGGCACAAGGCCCTCCAACAAATTAAGCATTTGAAATACTATATTGCTTTGTAATACCCGCATACTGAAATTCAAATTTTGGGTGCACCAGGTATATGTTGTAAGAAATGTTTGTTCAAACAAGGTGCTAAATACTTCGACTTCTCGAGTCGACCTAGTTTTAAGCCATGCGTGAAGAACTAAAACATAAATAAGATCATATTATTTTTTCTAATCAATTTTATTGCTTTAATTTAATCAAATATAGTTGCTAAAATATATAACCTGGGTCCCAATCTAAACCAGAAGAGCTCATATATACCATTCCATTTCGTGAAACTGTAGCTGGAGATGCATTATCAATATTTTCTGGTTCGAAAATGATTTTAGAGGTTGGCGACATGGTAAGACGGTCACCATTAGCAAGAGTGAGGGTTTTATTGTCATCTAAAACTGAATTTAGATTTTCTATCCAAATGCTGTCAACAGGCCCATCTAGGACTAGCCAAATGTGTTCACCAGTCTTTAGTTTTAATGTTTTCCTCCACAATGCAGAAAATATACCATCTGTCCAATCATTAGTGGCTACATCTAGGCGTCCAAACATTTGTGCTGCTGTTATTGCTTTGGGGTTCATTCGCATCTCTCTAGACATAATTAAAATTTTATAAATATTATCACAATTAAATATTAAATTTTGTTCTAAAAATGTCATTATATAATATGCAGTGTTCAAAGTTCACTAGCAGCAACAACATTTAGAATATTTAAAATAATATGTTTAGTTGGTTTTATAAAATTTTGTTAGGGTAAATTTTAGGTTTTAAATTGTATTATCATTATTTATTTATTTTTTCCAAAAGACCTAAATGATCGTCGATCTAATTCATCACCCTTAAAGATTAAAAAAAAACCGATTCCAAATTCCTTCATTATTAAAAGATTACAATTGAATTTATATTTATCAATGTATAATGAACAAACACCTCAAGTTACATTTTATACCAACTTTATATTATATATATCTGTAAAATTATTTTATTATCTGATGATGCGGAGACTGACTCTTACTTATGCTGAGTCTGAAGGTATAACATTTTTTTTAGTAAAGAAACAGATTACAGATAAAATATTTATATAAACCTGTGGGGCTCTTCAATTTCTGAAAGGGCATCCATTAATGTATGAATACAAGTTGTCTTGCCAGCACCGGGCGGACCAAGAGTCATTATTCCATGACGAACTCGCTGAGTTTCATAAAGCTGAAATGTAAAAGATTTGCAGCTTTTTTAAACAGTCAGTAGAGTGTCTGTACAGTTTATTCTTCGGTAAAATAAAGTCTTTGAGACTGAAATGTGGTCTTTTAGTTTAAATAATTTTGATATTATAATCTTGAACAACATTTTTTACTAGTTCGGAACATTCATATAAGAAATTTTTATCGAGGTATCAAAAGTTGAAATAACTATGAAATAGTTTTATTCAAATCGATAAAAATAAAGATATCAAGACTTATTTAAATAATAAATTTGATTTATCTTAATATATAAAATTTTATTCAATTTCAGCCTTCTGTAATTTAGATCTCCCTCCTTTTTACCTACCTACCTACCCACCTGTTCTAAATTTTTGGGCACATAAACTGCACGAGACTTTCCAGGCAATAAGAGCGATTGTGAAGAAATATCTTGTAATAACAGTGTCAGTTGTTCGATTATATTAATATTTTCTACTTCATTAATATGTTTACCTGGATTATTTTTAGAATCCACGGTGGATGGAAAATTAAACCACTCTGTTCAACATGTTTTCTAATTGAATCCTCAAGATTGCTGTAAGCTGTCTTTTCTAAGGATTGGTTTGGAAATAAATCAGCCACTAGTGAAATAAACAAGGGTTCATCTTCGTCTATAAGTTTTGATAGATTCATATCTCTTAAAACTCTCATTACAATGGTACTTTCATTATCTTTTGCATTTACCCTTTTCACTGCTCCTAGAGTCCTTAAAACTGATAGAATATTTCTTAAGCCAAAATCGTAGTGGACCTATAAATTGAAGTTTTTTTATAACCTGCATATTTATACGTAATAATTAACTTCTATTTTATAATTACTATTTTTACCTGCTTTGTTAGTTGTTCTTCGCATAATTTGTATAAGGTATAAAATTTTCTGGCTAGAGTTATATTCTCCAGAAAACCGCAGGATGCTAGTTTTACTCTTATAATGATTTGGCGATCGGGTACCATCATAGCAACTGTGCGGAATTGTATTTTTAAGTTTTCTGGCAGCTCTTTGCGGCCAGCATAGCCAGGATTCTATAATTTTTATAATAAATAAATTTGTAATTTCAAAACTTCTCTCATTAAAAATAAATAAGTATAAAATTATATTTTTAGAGTTGTGAATAACATAATATGAATGAAGTTGACCATATTTTACATACCATTGTAATAAATATACCAAATTCTGGACACATTTCAGACATATCCCCGTCAGTAAAAAGAAAAGTCTTTTTCTTTTCTTTTTTAGCGGCGAGTACAACAGCGACTTGCTGAGCCGCCACTGACAAGACAGGTAACTCGATTCTATTGAATTCGTCGAAACATCCCCATGAACCGGATTGTGCCAAACCTTTATAGATACGACCAAGACCTCTGAAAGAGCAATATTATGGCTGTATATGTCCTAATTAAATGAAGTGAAGTGAAACACTGTCTTGTGTTCCTCGTAGAGACCTTTCGGGGTCTGACATTACGTTACTTTTATTTTTTACCCACTTTTGACTCTTCAAGTTATGGTCTATACTACAATTTTTATAAATGTCATTTGAATAGTTAGACTGATGTATCTTACGTACCTGTAGTCCATTTGATCAGAACAGTTGAATACGACGACATATTTTGCTAGAGTCTTTCCCATATCTTTCACAGTTTCGGTTTTACCGGTTCCCGCTGGTCCACAAGGTGCCCCACCCATACTCATAGCGAGAGCTTGCGCTAAGGTTATGTAGCATCTATTCAAAAAGAATGGTATAAAGGAATTAAAAGGCTTTTAAAATAATCCTATCATATCATCTAATGATTGATTGAATGAGATGTAATTTTTATTATATTCAGTGTCCATAACATATATCAGAAACAAAATAGTTTATAAAAAAATCTTAATTAAAAAAATGTAAATTATAATTATTATAGTTAAAAAAATTACGTATCTCGCCGAAAATTCTATATCTGAAACACATACTTAGCGATAAGATTGAAAGCGTTCCATTTTTATTTAATAAAATATTTTAAATAATGACATAACTCTTATTTTTAGTGAAAATATTTTATTTTGTTTCTCATATACGTTGATTCAGTTTTGACTAGCAATAACATAATATAATTTCGAACCTGTCGGTTAGTGGTGTAATAACAAGTCTCTCAGTACATCCCAAATATTCGTTTTGGTACGTAAAAGTAACGTCCGTGACTGATATCCAGGTCTTGTCTGCGTCTTCTTTGAAATAAAACCGGCATTGCTTTAACCATTCAAAGTCGATAGCTGAACGGACATTAAGTCGGCACTGATGATATAAAATAATAAAGCTTAGTTTGCTCAGATTATGTAAATATATGTAGGTAAGAATTTAAACATTTTATAATATTATTATCAAAAGAGCTTATTGGTTCTACAGAATTTCAACATACAATTCGTTTCTAACTTAAAAACAAAAATTTAAAGTTGACAATGAAGAATAAGTTACATCGAGTTCGCTGCTCTGAACTGAGTATAAATTTCTGCTCATTTGTAGATGAAGAGTAGAACGAAAGTTCTAAATCATATTGTAGATAAGGTAAGAAAATGACATATTATTCTTAATTATTGATTTCATACTTTGGACATTCCGAAAATTATGTACTTTATGTTTGAAAAAAATCTTTTGAAATGTTAACAGAAAAAAACGTGGATTTAATACCCATTAATTACTTCTAATAGAATGATGTTGTAGCTCACATTTGCAATTCAAAATATACATTCAAAAAAGTTGCCCTAACTTAGACTCTAGCCCTCTTAACAATTATAAATGTTCTTACTAGCATGTCAAAAATGTCTCTTTGATGAACATGTATAGTAATGAGTGTTTCGAACTTAGTTCGTTCTATTTTCGTCAAATCTCTTGTTGTTTGATCGATCAATGTATTTAAAAGTTCTAAAAATTTATTGTTTGTTTCAATCATTATCTTTTTATCTTGCCGAGCTTGCATTAATGCGAGTTCGGAATCACGGGTCCAAATAATTTGAATGCCCAGAAGTCCAACCTGAAATCGAGAATATATACATTAAGTGCTACGTGGATACAATTTAAATAACTTATAATTTTTATCTTTACCTGGGCAGGCATTTTATCAAGAAATAATAGGAGATTAAAACTGGGATCGTTTATTAAAGAAACACCGTTTCGTATGATGGAATGCAGACTGCTTTGGGCAGATTGTAAAAGAGATGTAAGCCATGTCTCCACTGAACCCTCGGCACGGACAGGACGCTCCAGTTTAATTTCTTCTCCCTCCGAAGATATGATAGCTACCATTTTGTTATATTCTGTCCAGGAATTTGAAAATATTTTAATTTTATCACTATGTTTGTTTCATTGTATAGATTAGACCGTTCGGGAGGCATGTATTTAGATTATTTATTTGATTAAAAACTATAACCTATTATTATAATAAATTGTATGATCATCTTTCCTGCCTCTCGAGAAATTAATATTCACACATTGCATCTCTGACAGTAAATGAAAGTGTGGTAGGTATAGTGCGTTTGATTTAAGCTGAGTTTTGCATTAAGTCTTTTATCAATCTCATTATCCTCTATATTTAAAACAAAAAAAGTAAGTTTATTCATTTATATTTGACATATAAGATGGTATTCATAATCAGATATATTTTGAAATTTACTAAGAACAAGTAGTTATATATTTATACATAGGAAGAAGGAGGCATACCAAGGAGTAGAGAGTTTTCCAATTTAGTATCTGAAATAATCTCACTCAAAATGTAACATTTAAATGATAGCCAACCTTTTTACAAGCAAACATGTACATATTTAATCATTTGAACTGATAAATTATACTAGGTCAGTCATTTTAAATCCCGGACAACTTTATCTTGGATTATTAAAAATGTGTTTTTTTTCTAATTACACGGTTTTTATCTATTCTTAGTGAGTTTCTAACGGATATTTAAATTCAAGGGGATCGCTGTATTTTACTTTATTTAATAGTAATTCTTACCTATGTCGTGGAATTTGACGTATCTGATGTTATCAAAAATGGACAACAGATGGTTTTGTATTGTGTGAGAGTCAGAAGCTTGACCGAGAATTTCTAAAAGAGCTGGATCTGAAACGAAGAAAAATCTTGGAAACATAGTCCTCTTCCTTTCCAAGTAGCCACTTAAACTTTTTTGGCAGAGTTCGAGTTGTTCTTGGAGATGTGGTAATAGTTGACGTAGGAGGTCGTCGCCAACGCAACACGAGACCACACCAGGGGTTTCATGAGCTCTTTGCATAATTTTTTGCCATGATTTATCGATCTTTGAAAATCTTTTTGCTTCTTTTGGCAGCTGTTTAGCGATGTCACCTCCAACGAATACAGCTTCGAGATAAACCCACATATTTTGAACGAGGAGCCACCTTTCAAGGATTTCATTAGTGCTTTGAAGATCGTATAACCATTGTTGTATTTGTTTTCGAAATGGAGCATTGTATCTATAAGGAAAAAGGAGGTGTAAGGTATGGGTTCTGAATGGAATATAGATCAAATTTATAATAAGAATTATTTTAGTGATTGAAAATATTATTCGGTGGTGGTAGGTGTTTAGGGGTTGTGAAAGATATTGAATTAAATTATAAAATATTATGGTTGCTTTCAAGAACTAGAACAATTTCAAGTAGCTATAGATATGATCGCCTCACCGTCACTACAAGGCTCACTAAAACTTAATATACTACGTTATATACCAATTAGATTTTTCATACCGATTCGACAATAATGATCCCAAGATCATTAAACTGTCTTCCAATTGACCAATTGTTTCAGCTGTGGTATCGCCTCTTAATAATAGCTCCCCGCGATTATTGAAAGTTTGAAATGTCAACTCGTGAACGGACCACTCGTTTGTAACTTGACGGAGTTTTGCTTCAATATCTTTCTCTTTCATCGCCGATATACAAATGTCCTAAAAAAGTTAAAACTATTTATTGAGTAAATATAATTATCTATAGATAAATTCATTTGTGAACCAAAGTCTTTACGCAATTGTGTAAAAATATTGGACGACGACATATCTGTGAAATTTGGTCAGTGAAGGTTTTTCAAATTAATTGGAAAGTTTGCCTGTACCTTTGTTTTCTTACACTTGCAATTTGTATATCTTCAAGAAAAAAGTGTACAATGCCTTTAACTTTCATAGAGCACTTATCATGTATTAATTAATTTCCACATTCCATTAGTTGAAATGATAGTCAATAACTATCCAGTTTCTATTTAAAAAGACGTTATATGTTTAAAAAAATGCATAAGATATATGTATAATACTTTCATATCGTAAATGCAACTCACTTGTCATTTATCACATACATGTACACGTACAAGCACATACACATACACATTCATAGTTTTATTCTTGTTATATTTTATTTTGTCACTACAAAAATCAAATTTTTTAAATACAACAACTTCAGAAGGTTTAAATACAAACCTCAATGTCTTCTTTATGCTGTAATAATGGAGCTTCCAATATATTTTTCAAACAAAAGTCTTCGTTGTCTAGTTCGAAAATGTATTTTGTAACTTCCATGATACGTTGCCAATGGCGCGGTTTCATAGCTTTATTAGCCATCAGTTCCAGCAGAGGGCACATATCATTAAAGTCGTCTATCGTTTTTTTCAAAGCGTAAAAAGCAGGCCATTCTTTAAGACTATAAATAAAGAAGTGAAAAATCATTACAAAAGATTTATTAAATTAAATTACTTCGGACACATTGCTTACCCTTTGGGTAGTTTTCTGCATCTATTTTGAAACTCCATTAACTCATTATTTATTTCTTCTATGTTCACCTCCCCCCATGGTATATCGTAATAGCTACTCACTCTGTCAATCACGTCGTTGTATAACTTATAGAGTTTCTGAAGTAGGTTTAACTCTTTTCTTATTTGGGCCAGTTCAGGATATTCTGTGTGGGGGAGTCCAAATAATTCTTCACCATTTTGATATGTTTGTAGTTTGCGCCACATACCATCAAAACGATTCTATAATATTCCATTTGTAAATTATTAGATGCAAAATAGAAGAATTTATAGAATTAAAGAACATTCGTTAAATGTATCGAGAAAATAAATAAAAGTTAGAAATACATAGGTAACTTCGATTCTACTTTTGATGCTTTCCTACTTCTATTTTTAAAACGGGCTATTATAGGCACTTTGTATTAGAGTACAACAATATAAAATACCTGAAATAGTATTAATCTATCTGACGCTTCTCTTGGGCTTAAACCAGGTTGCATTGGTCCAGCGTGTCTGTACTCATGGCAATAGTCAGTATTGTCATCTCTGAATCTATTTAAATTATTCTTGAGGTCATCCTCAAATTGTGGCTGCATCGTTAACAATTGTACGTGAGACGCTAACGCTGTAGCTTGCAATTGCTGCCAGCTGTATCGTAAATTATCCACTTGCTCTAGATCTTCCTTATTTACAGGAAGTTCATAGCATGTGATGACATTAAAAGCTTCCTGGAAAATATTTTTTTGTATATTCCCTGATCTAATAAATACTCGTATATACCTCATACTGTCGTGATTCAATGGTTATGGACAGCTTGTTTTCTACACACAAATAAATAAAATATTAATTAAGAGGTATAAAAATTAATTTTGTAAAAAAGGAACGAAATAAAAATTAAAGTGAGAGATGTTAATTAAGGTGAATACAAATACAAAATGTTTATACCCATTTCTATTTTACGTTTTAACTATAGAAATATTAAATGTATCATTTTAGAGGTGACTAGCACGTTATCATTGTTTATGTGATTACCTTTATATCTTTATGTATGTATCCTAAATTCGTTAAGACAAGATCAAACGGAAAAAATAAGAGGTTTTAACATATAATTTTTAACATATAAAAGTGTCAGTTTTATAAATCATATTTTGGCACTGGCTCATGCATTTTTTAACAATAATATTCATATGTATAGCAAAATTATGCTGTAATTTATTACATAATTTTATTTAACTTTTATATAATTGCATAATTTTATGCAATTATCTATTATGAATGAAACTTAAAATTTGGAATGAAGACTTTGGAATCAATAAGATAAAATTTTCTTGAGAATCTCTTAAATATACCCGTTACCAGTTTTTTTTTATGACAAAGGTGGCAAACGAGCAGACGGCCTACTAGATGGGCAGTAGTGACCGTCGCCCATGGACATCTGCAACATAGATGTTACGGATGCGTTGCCAACCTTAATTGTTGAGGAAAAGGTAGGGGTGGGAATCGGGAAATAGCAGGAAAGGGAGGGAATAGGAAAAAGGCAACCGGCTCTCTCACTCATCGGACGAAACGCAACCACTAAAAGCTACTTCACGTCGATCTTCTGTGAGAGGGCGGTACTTCCCCGGTCGAGCCAGCCCATGTTCGAGCTGTAGTAACTTGGCTACAGCTAGGCTCTTCCACCTCAAAAACAGTTAACACCTAGATTATAATTTAAACCTAGAAGCTCTTACTTCAACAGGATCAATCTTTAATTCCATGTCCACTTCTTGTTCTCTAATCTTCTTCAGTGTTTCCATAACAGTTCTTACATCATCTAGATCTCGGATAGGTCTTTCAAGTTTTCTTTCAAGGTCATTCATTATAGCATAAACGTAATCCATTTCCCGTTTGTATTTTTTTCGCATTGCCTGACTTATTCTGAATGTACCATCTGCAGAAAGATCGATGATTATGATTCATACAGATTGCATTACCTATTTTTTAAGAGATAATTTAGATGAGGTTTAGGTACTTTTTAGTTCCGTATTTAGGCCCAATTTTAGTTTTTCAGTTGATATAGCAAGACAATTCCCTATTATAAGGACATCGGGTTCAGTGTCCAACTTAGCTTCTAGTTCACTGTGTCTTTTCAGAGCTAGTTCGAAATCGCTTAAATTCCAAGCTAGTAACTGGCGTAATGTTTTTTCACACTTCCATAAGTAATGGTATGGGCGCCAACGTTTCACGAGTAAATTCAATTCCTGGAAGCATATGTGTAATAATAGGAAACTATATAGGTTAAGTATATCATATTATGTTAAAGTTATTAATTATTATGTAATGTTTTATTGAATTTATTATTATTATTTTTTTTAATTTAAATTTTGATGTACTACAATTATTATATTTTGCATGATGTGATAGCCTATAACTAAAAGGACATTTAAGTTATTGTTAATAGTTTGATAATGAAATGAATGTAATAATGTTTTCTGTGGTTGGTTATCCAAATAAATAAATAAATAAATAATCACAATAGTTACCGATTTGACATTCTGTGTGCACATAGACAGGAGGGCAAGAGTTTTCATAATTTCTTTGTTCTCCATAATGTGATTGTAGAAGTTTTTTTGTTGAAATGGGAAGACTGGTTTTTCTTCCGATTCTAAGCGGTAGTATTTTTTTCGTCTCATTTTAGCAGCTTCAACCATTTTTATCGATTTCTGTGCCATATTCATTGGAACCGTCATTGATTGAACCTGTTTGTCAATTTTGGTAACTACTTCCAGCAACTGATTAGATTGATGGCCCGCCAATTTCTTCCAGCTTATCTGGATGCAGGAAAGCGCACGAAGAAACAAATCGCAACAAAAAGTAGCAGAAGTAACAAATAAATAAAAACCATGATATTTACAAATGAAAACACAAAATAAGCAACATCCAGTGTTTGACAAATAAATACAAATAGCGTTCAGCGGTGAAATTAACAATATATATGCAGACAAGACCACAGACATATCACACATTTGTACAGTGCATTTTATGGACAATTCACAACAATAAACACCACACAATTGAAGGAAACAAAAAATTTACTTATTAGTTAGCAGTTTGGATCATATAAAGTATGTATAGAATTTAAAAGCACGACTCGCATAAAATATGTACATTTTTAAATTTAGGGAAATGTGTCAATAAGTTTTATTACGCTACCGGTTTAATGAATATTGTCATTAAACTATGTACTATGAGCACGAACCTGAGTAGAATCTTTTTGAAGATCTGAGGGCTAAAATTAATTTAAAATGAAACTTTTTATATTAAGACATCTTATTAGATTTTATTTGTATTGAGAGCAATATGTATTTAATAATAATTATTTTTTATTCATCTTACCCTAGAAGTTTTGCCACCTGTCCATTGGGCAACACCTTTGGACAATCCTGATATATGTTTTCCGGCTAATATAAGAATTTCTTGAATTTCTTCCAGTGTCGGGGTCACTGATACATTCGGTATCATCAGAGTGGCTTGCAGTAGAAACATAGGTTTCTTCGATTTGTTGCCTTAAAAGAAAGTATATAAGTAAATTTTATCAAATTGCATAGCTACATACATATAATAATTTTTAATTTAAATTCTTATATAGTTTTAGCTTCCTTTACATTTCTATGTTACCTATCTGGTAATATATTAATTGAATGGTTAAATGAATAAAAAAAATTAAGTAGCCTTTAACTAACTCTATATTTTTGTAAGCAGGAATGGAAATATAACTTTTTGATACAGCTTTCTGAACTTAACTACACTAAGTTTAAATTAAGGTTATTATTATTAAGGTTATTATTCATCTAATACATATAAAAAGTTATTTAAAATTGAAAATCTTGCATTAAGAGTCACATCGACAAATAAAGTAACCATTGTCATAAAAATTAAATAAATATTTAAACAAAATTTCAGCTCTATCGGTTGAAAATGTCTAGAAAATTGTGTATCCTACTTTCTACCGAACTAATAATATTATAAGTCAATTAAAAGTTTGTAAAAACTACCAATAGTCAAAGAGACAAAGGCTGATTACAAATACATACATTCATTCATAAATTTATATATATATATGTATAAGGCTCACGTTCATTGGTCAGTTATGCGCAAGCGAAAATTATCTGTATATATGCAACTTCGATAAAGTTATTGAACTAAGTTTTACTTTGCCTACCAGGAATGCATAAATTATCAAGAGTTTATTTAATGTATGATATGAAAGTAAACTGCAGCATATCACACTATATATACTTGCTTCAATGTTGAGGTTAGTAGGAGGTGGACCAAATTTAAACTTTAAGTTTAACTTTTAGATATGTACAGATGTTTGAAATTAAAAAAAATAGAACCACTATCCTGTAAAATTCTAATCGTTTAAAATCTCATTAGAATGGAGTTTTTTCTTTGACAAAATTATTTATATTAAAAGTGGGGAATAACTTTTCATGGTTATCTCCATTGTAGCTCTTTTAACTTTTCCCTCAATAGAACTTTGGTGTTACATGTTTTAGCTTTAGCATTTAAAAACAGTAAACTTGAAATGTTACCTGTCTTGTAGGGTCACGGGCTAGGTATCTAATCAAAATAAGCAATTCTCAACATTATAAATCAAGCCTAATTCACTGGAAATACGAGTAGCTTGGAAAATTTTTGTAAAATAAATAAATAAGAATTAAAAAACAAAAAAAATAAAATAATATTATATTTAAAAAATTGTTAAATAAGTGTTATGATGTTATTAATTTTTATTGTTATTTCATTTTATTTGTATAGATATTTAAGTATTATACTTATGATTAAATTAAAATAAATATTTAAAAAAAAATGGTATCTTATTAAGGAAAGGAAAAATTGGTATCCTTATTAACAGTACAGATTCCTACACTATAGTTTAATTACAACTGGTGCGGATGAACACTGTGCGTCTTTAGATCCGCATCTGTACTAGGAATTCAGAAATTAAAGGATATGTCGGGAAAGAGACTCCAGTCACCAGTCATGAGTCTGTCTCTTTCCATGTTCAGGTGCCAAAAACACTAGCACTTCAGACAAGTAATCACTTCTATCCCTTATAGAAGTGATTATTACTTGTCTGAACTTTATATTTTACTTGTAGAAGATTATTTAAAATTATGAACGAAGAAAAGTGATTTCTAGATTAAGTTGATAGGAATCAAAGTTCTGTAATCAATTGAAGTACAAAGTTATAAAGTTATCGTAATATTCCAAGTAACATCAACTGGATTAAAGTGATTTATCATTCACACTGAAACCAGATTTCATTGTTTTGGATAGAACCAATTATAAACAGATATAAATAATAAAGTTATTGTCATAATATTATCTTAATAACAAATAGAATTTACTTTGTAATAATATCAACATTGGATTTTTTCTGTGCTATCAAAATCAAAAAAAAGTACTTAATTTATTTATTACGAATAACATAGTAAAATCGCATGCGGATGAAAAATGCTGAACTTTATATCCGCAGCTGTACCAGCAATTCAGAAATCAAAGGCGATGTCTGCAAAGAGCCACATAGGGTACTATTAAAATAAACCTTAAGGTAAGAGTTGTGGCTAGTGCGCATGCACGAACTTTACAAGTAGTCTTTATATTAAGATCTAAAATAAATTTAGCATCCATTCTTTAATAAAAAAAGTGATTTTATGGTTCTAAGTAAGGCAAGTAGGAATAAATTACTTTTTATATACTTGCTTTAATATATAATTGTTTGGCATAGTTGATTCTTTGTATTTTTTTACGTGAGAAAACTGTGCTATATTGACAATTAATAAATTTGTATTTTTTTAAGTAACCTATAATTGTTGAAATTTCTAAGTAATGTGCTTAGTGTTATTCAATATAAAAGGAGGAAAACAAGGAAATTGCTTGGATACCTAATTAGGGATACATATAATGATCATGTAATTCAAACATCATTCAGAAGTAGAATTAATTATGTATTTTTAGTTTTCTTATTAAATTACGTTAGATATACGAACGAGCAATATTGTTTTTGAAAAATTTAGTGTTACATTGCCAAACATAGTAAGTTAGAAATATTTCAGATAAGAATTCCGTATTGTAGGCACTTTAAAAACATACTAAATGTAAAAGATATTATTGGCAGTACTTGAGTTTGTGGATAAATTATAAAAATCATTTATGAAAATAGTAAAATTTTAGGACATTTTTCGTTTGCAGTGTTTGATGAATCTGATAAAATATTGGTAGTAAAAGTAGTTTAAAATTTTTAAATATAATTGCTCAAATGAGATGATATTTTTAGATAAAAAGTGTAGGTACATAGTTTTTTTACACTTAATACAATGAAATATATTAATATAATTTATTTTAGCGATAAGGACGACGTAACAATTGAATATTTATTATACAGGTACTTTGTATCTTAAGCCTGATCGAATATCTTTCTGAACCTCAGTTTAACTAAAAACAAATTAAGAAAATTAGGATGGATTTTTTTTGTCAGAAATTTTAAAAATCGATGCTAGGACTTCTTTAAATACAATAATAATTTGTAGGTTTCCTTTTCTACATATATAAGGGTTCATTAGAATACGTACTAATACAATAATAAAAAAAATTACAAGTACACATTTAATTAAGGAAAAAATATATTATTTTAAAAAAACAAAAATGCAAGTCATGTCTAAAATAAATTTTATGAACACAACTACAATTTAGAAAACTGTCATCTAGATTTTAGTTTAACAAAGTACTTTGTTCCACTCCTGTTTACTTGCAGAAAGAAGAACAGTGCGGAAATTTATATCCGCAAGTGCACTAGGAATTCAGAAATTAAAAGGGTTTTAGTAATTTAAAAGTACAAAACAGTTTACCTATGCGCATGACTGAATTTTAACAGTTGAACCCGGTAATTCATATATATATATATATATATATATATATTATTTAACTAAACTTAATCTTTTAAAAAAGTTTATTAAAGTAAAGTACAAGTGTTTAAAGACAGAGGTTAATATTTTATTATAAATATGACATTTTCAAGTTATTGAGAGAGTAAAATAAAGTAAGGGAATGGGGTCCAATCATATCATGGGTTAGCTTTATAAAATATTTTTTTATTGTCCTTTTTACATATCTGAAAAAAAATCACCTTTTAGCCATAAATTTATTATTTATGTTTACTTTGTTTTTGTTTAATGTCGTTGCTCATATTTACACTAGTTCCAAAAAAAATTCTTATTATACATATTTATTATTTTACTAGTTTTTGCCCGCGACTTCGTCCGCGTTAGTTTGGTCAAGAGTAATATATGTAGGTATAGCTGACCAGGCGAACTCTATTCCGTTTTAGAGGCCATAAATAATCAGGTTTTTCCTGTTTCAATCAAACACAATGATTAACATATTAGTTAGTTGTCAAATCTAATGTCAAAATAAACACGTTTGTATGGGAAATAGAAAAGGACTGTTTTTAGGGTTTTCTCGGCAATTATTCCAATTTTTCTCACCTTTTAAACCTTCCTTGGACTTCCAGGAGTATTTCAAGACTAAAATTAGCCAAATCGGTTCAGCTGTTCTCGAGTTTTAGCGAGACTAAGGAACAGCAATCCATTTTTATATATATAGAAGATAACCTTCAGAATTAATATCGAAATAAATTATTAACTTGCTCATGATAGTTTCCTAAATCACATAAACCATGAAACTAATTTAAGTGCTAAAACTCAGGTTCATTAGGATCCTACAATCTATAGAAGAATATAATTGAAAAGAGGATGTACATACATATGTATACCTTATATGTATTTTTAATATGAAAAGAGATGTGTAACTTAATAAAGAATATTCATGATCACAGGCCAGTTGTGCGCAAGCGTAGTTCAAACACACACATACATACATACATTTGGAAATATTGAACTAAGTTTAATATTACTTACCAGGAATGCATGAACTATTAACAAGTAGTTTAAAGTACAAAGTAAAGTTTAACAAGGTCACTAATAATAATTATAATCAGTTCAATACGGCAGTCTAACCTGTAGAGGCAGATGGTACACATATTTTTGAAACAGTTCTATCACCAGCTTTAGAAATATGTGTAAAAATCATGAATTGCAAGTTTTTTAATGATTGAGAGATGAGTGAAACTTGGATTTTTTGTAAATTGGTTTGTCAATAAATTCTAGGTAAAATAGTTTACTGGACACCCACCTCAATGGTTTTACAAGCAAATCAACTTGGATCTGCGACTATCAAAGGCGTTTGTTTTAAAATTTTATTTTGTTTATTTAAGATATTTTTATAGCAGTTAAATTGTATAATTTTTATTTTAATGAAATCTATTGAATAAAAATAAATAAAGATTGAAAAATTGATATTATAAAACATGTTTACACAAATACTTTGTTGTTTTAAAATAAATTACAGCTGTTAGAACCGCGTGCGTGTAGAATTTTATCCGCATCTGTACTAGGAACACAGTAATTGAAGGATGTTTGAGAAAAACATGCTATGTCAATGATCTAGGTATCTATATATGAAATATACGTTCTACGAGCTCGTTCTACTAGCAAAATCAACCTTAAATGCTTTGGATAAAAGTAATTGCTAACGCGCATGTCAAAAACTTAGTGACTCAGGAAGCGGGTAATTTAATTGTTAACCTTCAGAAAAATACACATTTTTGTTTATTAAAACTATCTTTCGGCTGAAACTTCACTAACGTACTCGTATTAGTTGGAAATGGATCTAATAGAAATAACAATTCTATGTAGAGCTCTTAATTTTATTATAACACTTAAATGATAATTTGAAAATGTTTGAGTGCTTACATAATAAAATAATCTTTTGTACAGATAGTGCAGTGGGTTGAAGTGTTTAAAATCATGACAATGAAATGACAAAGGAAATCAAAATTCTATAAATAGTGCAGTATATCATTTATAATATGGATGTTGTTTTTCTAGAATACAAAAAATAACCAAGTTGATTGTTTCTAAACAGGCGTTGCACTAATAAAAGCACTAGGAGCTGTTAACAAACAGAATTCAAAACAATGAGTGGTGATTAAAGATCCACCGAGGTCGGTTAAACTAAAAATAGTCATCCTCTCTGGATGACCATTTTTGGTATGCACTCGGTATAATACAATTTATTAGGTCGATAAAGTAATAACTTGAAAAAACACAACCGCATTTATTCTAGAAAAAAGAACTTTTTCACGAGAACTTTGGAGGGCAGTACATATGCCCATCTTCAAATTTTGTTCCAATGACTATTTGTTGTTCTCAAACTTGAAGAATTTTATTTTTCGAAAGAGATCAGCTTTTTTCACAAAATTGGCAAAACACACTTTTCGTAAAGAATAAAAGACATTAGTAAAGTTCAATTAACTATCATCTCGTCTGCCCGTGATCACGGTTGCTGTAAAGTAGCTGAAACGTCGGGAGTATCTAGTTTTTTTAGAAAAATAAAGTTGCGTAGTATAATCCGAAAAATATCAGTTTCATTTAAATGTATAAAACTCGCGAAAATCTTAGATCTCTTTAAGTTCTATTAACATTATAAGACCCTAAGGAGACTTTTTGAAACCATTCAATTTTTTTTTTCATATAATACTAGTATTTCAATCAACATTCACGAAATTATTGGTGAGCGTTTTTACCATAAAAGAAAATTTAGGGTTGTGTCTACACCTAATGCGATGACCGTCATTGGAATTCTTAAAAAGCTTAATAACTTGTGCTTTTATAAGTCTTTGTAGTTTTATAAAAACATAAGTCACTATAAAATCGTGTTTGTCGTGGAATGTAGTAAGGAATGACATTTTTTATTATAAAATTAAAAAATAAATAAAAACTGATCATTTTATGAATTAAATTTATTTAGAGGTAATTATTAGATTAATGATATTTATATTTTTATCTGCAATTGTTTAAATATAAATATGAAATTATTAAAACACAGAGCTTTAACCGAGTTGTTTTTGTGATTTTCAGAAATAAGTCTTGAGTCGCACTGTCAAAAACTGTTTATCCTGTGCGGATAAACGCTGCGGGATCTAAGAGCCGCATCTGTACTAGGAAGTCAGGATATAAAAGAGGTGTGGGAATACAGACTTACTGTGTACTAGCAAAATCAACCTTAACATCATGTAATAAAAGTGGTAACTAATGCGCATGAATAAACTCAACTGACACTTTAAGCGGGTCAGGTCAAATAATTATTTTTTTGTTTAATACTTGCTTCCATTAATGACTTGACTTGACTTTAATTTAAACTTTAAAACTTAAACTTTAACTTAACTTTTAAAATTTACCTTTTTTTAATGTGAACTTTTATTCTTATGTTATATATATAAAGAGCTTCGATAATAATTTGCTAATTTGTTGAAATAAAAAAATGTTTCAATAAAATTAGTCCCCAACACGAAAACAGTGAATTCAAAATGCAGAAATAGATGCAATATAAATTTGTACTAACCGGAAACAAATAATTACTGAGATTGATATCAAAAGACTTAAATTAAAGTTAATTTAAATTTGCAACTATTAATCCTAAGTCAAGTTTTAGGGGAACAAATTATCAAGTCTTCACTAAAGATGTGGTTGCCAACAAGAAATAAACTGAAAAATTTACTAGTTAATTTATAGATTTTGTTGTATTTGCTTTAATTATATTTGCATATTTGTCTTGTCAAAAAATAAAATATTATTTTCCCTTTATTTTTAAAAAATATTTTTCGATAAATACCTAAAAATAGTTATAGTAGTAAAAAAATATTAGTACTAGGATCGCAGAATCCACAGAGGGTATTCGAAGAACACAGATATTATATAGTGATATCGAAATACATATTGTGTTTATTGTGCACATGTTTACAAGAAATGTTGAAGCTCCATTGGCCAGTTATGCGCAAGCGGAGTACATCGCACCTGTAACCTTTTGGATGTTGGAACCAAGTTGAATTTCCTGTACCAGGGATGCATAAATTGTGAACAGGTATCTTAAAGAATAAAGTGAATTTTATTAATTTATTATTACCATTAATAAAGACATTTCAGCATAAAACTAATCTTTAAATAACTGAGACCAATAAAAAATCCAGCATTTCTCGTAGGTAATTATTGATTAGCGACCTATCAGATTGTTAAGAATAAAGTGTACATATTGCACCTGTTCAATAATTTTAAATGTTGAAATATGAAACAAGTGGGTTATTTATGTATAAAGTACTCTCAATTTTCCCAAGATAATTTGCTATTATCTACTGTTCAGAGCTTTGAATCCTTGGTTCTCTAATATAGAAACTTTCTAGAACTTTAAATGATGTAGATATGCGACAAAGTTAACTTTTCCATAGGAAAGGCTGCGGAGAACTCTCCTCGGTTTAACTAGTGTGATAGGCATTCTCCTCTTTTAACATATCTACTCGTACTTTCAATTACATGTATTATAATACGAATAATACAAATGGTGACTAATAATATCAATAATAATTGTTTTTGATGTTTAAAAATACTAATTATATTCATTGATATTATTATTAACACTAAATAGAGGTTTGATATAATAATAGGTTTTGGGTTCGACTTAAGTCTTCCATTAACAGAGCGTTTTTTGAGGTCTTTGTTTTTGAAAACTGAAAGACAGTCTAGAATGTGAAGGTAGTAAATTTTTTTTTAATACATTATCTATATGTTTTTGTTAAATAATATCAAATAAAAATTCATGATAATATTTTTTATATTATATTATTAGCAAGTTTGATTTATTTAGTAAAATTATACAAATTCTCTGTTACACTTTAGTGTGCGGATGAATACTGGTGAACGTCATCTGAATATGTAGTTCAGGAATATGAATGAACCATTTATTAA